GAAAGCAGCCATATCCCTTCTCAGCTTCCTGCAGCGCACTTGGATATGTCCCTTCTTACCACAATAATAACATTCTACATCACTGTAATCTCTGTCTCTTGACTTGGATCTCCATCTCGATCCATTAATCCTCTTTTGAGTCTTCTCTCGATCAAAACCCTCTACAGCTAGTGTACTCTCCCCAGGTGATGAGTTTTGAGCTCTCATAAACCTTTCATTCTCACGCAATAGGGCAGTCACATCATCCAACTTTAAAGTAAACCTGCCTACCAACACAGTCTGAACTAAAGGCCTATAAAACTTGGGCAAAGATGACAGCAAAATTAAAGCTTTCTCTTCATCTTTTAACTCATCAACAGAAATCGCTAACAATTGAGAAACCAATTTATTAAATTCATTCAGGTGATTATGAAGACTCATACCTTCTTTTATCTTCAGAGAATACAGATCCATCTTCAAACATAATCTATTAGTCAACGACTTCGAAGCATAAATACCTTCAAGCTTATCCCACAAACTCTTCGGAGTACTCTCAGTCAACACATTGTATTTTACCTCTGGAGCTAGCGCCAATCTAATAGTACTAACGGCTTTCTTCTGAATCCTATTCCAATTAGCATCAGACATTTTTTCAGGCTTACTACTCTCTAATGCCTGATCCAACCCTTGTTGTACTAACAGATCTTGAATCGTACTTTGCCATAACATAAAATTACTCTTTCCATCAAATAACGGAATTTCAAACTTAGGCATAGACATACCAGACATACCAGACATACTTTCTTCAGACATCTTCAAACACTGCTTCACGATCTCTTGGACCCACGAACCTCGCTCTGATACCACTTGTTGGGAAAAAACAACACCCACGCGCAGCAATCACATACAAAATAACAAGTTCAAATCAAGAATAAAAACACACAAATATTTTTGATTCAGCCCAACTCAAAATGGCCTACTCTAAACCAAATCCACTATCAAATAAATCTTTACAATTGTGAAACTTTTAGAATGAGAAAAGTCTCCTAAAACTCCTTACTCAAAACTTAACCCAAAACCCAATTACACCCTTTAATAGCCTACTCACTTAGCTATTCTCTTGGTGTCTAACTCTTTGGGGTTACTAAACTAAAACCAAAACATCTTATTTATAGGGGTGAAACCCTTTATACCTTTACTAAACTCCCGATGTGGGATACAAGACAAATTCAAACTTACTTAACTTTCGATGTGGGATTCTGAGATTTAAGGCAAATCCCAACAGCAGCGAGGTGAGAAAGAAAGTGAAGGAAATGGCAGAGATGGCTAGGAAAGCTACTATGGAAGGTGGATCTTCAATCAATTCAATTGGAAGATTAATAGAGGATATGATAGGCCACAACTGATATTTGGCCATATATGGTTCTCCATGGTCAGTTAATCGTCTACTGTTTAAGGGAAAGAGAAAAGAAAACTTTTTTCCTATTTAGTAGTTATCTCTGATTATTCTAAATGATATTGCCCCATAAACAAAAAGGATTTTGATGTAAATACAATTATCTGATCCCTCAATGGTTTATGAAATTATCAATCCTATAGTATCATTTTATCAATATTTTTTTATTAGTCACTGTAGCAAACAATTATAATTTTCTGAGTATTGTTTATAGTTTATTAATGTTTGTAAACATTATAATTATAAACAATTATAAGTTTACATAAATAAAAAGTATTCAAATATCAATGCAGGGAGTGCATCCTTAAATCGTCTAAAGAAAAAATAAATAAATTCAAGTAATCTCTAATTGTATTAAAAAATAACGAATTACTTACTTAATAATTGCGGCAATTTTTATTAGTTAACATCAAATTCATGTTACTAATACATATATGAATTTCTTAATCACAAACTATTATTTGGTGCCTAAATTATTTATTTTACTTTCTTCTAATGTTCAAATGAGAGCAGTAAATGTCTTCCGCTTCTTGCTTTAGTGGCTAAAGAAGCCATTAAGAAAGACATAAGGACTTGATTTTGAAACAAGCCATCTCCCTTTTGTAATAGGACTTTGTCTTCTCTTGAAATTAAAAAAAAAAAGAGAGAGAACAGTAAATTTATTCATCTTATTAATTAAAAGTTCATATCAAAACTCAATTAAGACTTTATTTGGTAAAAAAAATAGAAAGAGAAAGATAAATTTTATTTTAATTCAATAAATTTAAACAAGTAAAAAAAAATTATGAAACTTAATTATTATATTATATTTAAAAATATTTAACTCAAACAAAATCTAAAAATAACATATTTATTATATTACATTATATTAATTTTTTATAAACTTATTAAATTCAATATAAATAAATCTACTTAAAAAATGTCCACGCTTAAAAATCTCAATCGCTCAAAAAAAATCCAACAGATTGGTAGAAGATAAGTTTTGTTGACCAAGCATTGCCTTGTGGAATTTGTTGGTCATTGACGTGAAGAGGGTGAAGCAGTCCAAGGAGCCTTGTTCTAATCAGTCAATCACCAAACTTTCACCTAGGTTCAGACTAATTTTCATGAGACAATTTTGTATAGAGTCATGATTGAATATAGGTTATCATGAATCATTCATGTATAAGATCATTATTGAATAAAGGTGTCAAAAGGGAAGGTAGATTTTATGTGCTAAAAAAAAGTCTCTATTTTAAATATTGTAATAGTTTTTTATAGCATAGTTATAAAATTTCATTTACTTTTTAAAAGGGGTAAGCAGTCGACATATTATTAAGCTGTCTCATTGATTAAGATATGTGCTAAATCACCCATCTAAGGTTATCTCTCTAGTTCCGACAATGGTAGGAAAACTCAATGTACTATTCATAATATTAATAATTTTTTTTTATACGAGAACGCCAAGGATCGCCTTGGTGTGCTTTCATGTTGCCCTAACATATCATTATATATGTTTGAGATTAACTTGTGGCTTGTTGATTGCTTGTTCAGATATTGAATTATCCTTGACTGACTTGTGTGGAAGTGTACATTCAAGTGACACACGGTCTATTGCTTTATTGAGAGAAAGCTTAACCTATGACATGTGATATCAGAGCACAGTTGAGAAGTACTAGAGAATTGATAAAATGTTTACAAGTGATAGATTTAATGACCAACAGAGGATTAAGGAGCTTGAGGCTGTGGTGGCTGCCCAAAAAGCTTAAATGGTAACTTATAATTAACAAAGAGAGATCGAGACATCCTAGTGGAAGTTATCTGATACTCTACATAGCTTGGGTGAAGAGACCAAAGATACCTTGAATGTCTTCTAAAAAGAGTTTGAGAAGCTTAGGGCCCAAAGAATGCTCTACAAATGGATGTGGCCAGGTTGAGTTTTGCCTTGATAGAAAAAGGGTAAAAAAGCCAAGGTGCTAGAGCCTTAATGTTATGTGGGGGTAAAAAATGCCAAAGAGCTTGAGAACTTCCTGTTTGACATAGAACAATACTTTCGAGCTATGCACATAAAATCAGAGGAGAATAAGGTTACAATGGCTTCAATGTACCTTGCTGGAAATGCCAAACTGTGGTAGCATTTAAAATTTGTAAATGATAAATGCTCTATTAAAACTTGGGCAGATCTTAAGTAAGAGTTAAATAACCAGTTCCTCCCTGAAAATGTGGAGTATATAGCCCAAAAGAAGCTTTGAGAATTGGTGCAAATGGGAATGATGTGAGAGTTTGTGAAGAGCTTTTCTATCATAATGTTGGACATTAGAGACATGTTCAAAAAGGACAACATATTCTATTTTCTTGAAGGTCTTAAACTTTGGACCAGGACAAAATTACAAAGACAAAAGGTGCAAGATGTGGCCACGACTATGGCTATTGCTAAACATCTTCATGATTATAATGATGGCCCCTTAAAATGAAAGAATCCTTCATAACGTGGCAGTAACTCCAACTTTGAGAGTGAAAGAAAGATGGCTAAAATGGACTGACCCTTCAATGGAGAATTAGATAGAAGGCCTTTCGGTCAAGACAATACCTAACCCAAGGCAAACAATGCATCGAATTTCAAATCAAAGCAACCACTAGCTTGCTTCCTATGCCAAAAGCCACATGAGGTCGCCGAATGCCTATATAAAAGTGCCTTTAATGCTCTGAAAGCTTAGTCTCAAGAGTCCACTAAAGCGCCCAATACAGTTGAAGAAGTTAGAAATGAGCCAACTAGGATAGGTTCAATACGATTCTTTAATATCCTTCATACCCAACTAAATATGATAAAGAAAGAACTTGGGAAAAGTCTGATATATGTGGATATGGTGCTCAATGGAAAGGCCATAAAAGCCATGATAGATACGGGTGCAACCAATATCTTCATCACACCAAAGAAAGCAAAAAGGTGTGGTTTCAAGGTTAATAAAGACTGTAGGCAAATGAAAGTGATTAATTCGCCAGCCTTTGCGATCACTAGAAGCTCCAAGAGTGTGATGACCAAGTTGGGGCCATGGGAAGGAAATGTAAACTTCACGGTTTCCCACATGGATGACTCTAATGTTGTCTTAGGATTGGATCATAATGGCTTAGGCGATCCCAATCCTTGTTGCTAGTTGTCTATTATTTTTGGGAAAACGCTCGTGTTTTGTGCTGGCCATGATCTTTCCTAAGAGTGAAAAAAAAATGATTTTAGCATTACAATTCAAGAAAAAAAGTAAAGAGAGGGGAGCCCTCCTATGTGACCATGCTAATTTACAAAGAGGGGACTGAGTTGGAACTAGTACCCAATGATGTAAAAAGGTATTGGAAAAGTTTGGAAATGTGATGTCAGAGTAATTGCCCAAGATCCTACCTCCTCAAAGATCGATGGACCATGAAATTGAACTCTTCTCAAGAATTAAACCACCAGCTAAAGCCCTATATTGCATGGCTCTGCTAGAATTGGTTGAATGGAGAAAACAATTAGATGACCTTTTACAAGTCGGATTCATAAGACCATCGGGCACCCATGTTATTTTAGAGAAAGCATGATGGGAGTTTACGGTTATATGTGGACTATAGAGCCCTAAACAAAGTCATTGTGAGAAACAAATATCCTATTTCACTTATTGCAAATTTATTTGATCAACTGAGCTAGGCCAAGTACTTTTCCAAATTGAACTTGAGATCTAGCTATCATCAAGTCAGAGTTGCTGAAGGAGATAAGCCAAAAACCACTTGTGTAACACGATATGGTGCATTTGAATTCCTTGTTATACCTTTTAGGTTGACTAATGCCCCTGCCATATTTTGTGCCATATTGACAGATGCAATTCAGCAATTCTCCTACAAAGCCTATCATTCCCAGTTAGTGCAATTGTTGTTGCATTACTGAAAACTCCTTTCCTTTGCACTTGTCCTTCAAAGTGATTGTAGGAGAGATTTAAGTATATCAAGAAGGATAATTTCTCAAGATACACTGGAATTTGACCAGAAAAATTGTTGTTTGACGGATCTAGCTCAGTAATGCTTCTCAAGGAGCTCAAAGAGGCTGGGATACTTCCATAAAAATGATTTTTCCCTAAATAAAGAGTCTCCAAGCTTGTACAACTACTTAGAGTAGCAGGAATCTGACCGGAGAACTTGTTTCCTGATATATCCAGTTCTACCAAAGTTTTCAAGTTTCCTACTTCTGAAGGAAAAGAGCCTGTAAGAAGGCTATTGGACAGATCTAGGTAAACTGAGAGTGTTACTATGCTAAATATCTCTTTGGGAACCAGACCTGTTAGCCTATTGGAGCCTAATGTCATCTTTATTAAATTTTGACATTTTCCTAACTCTGCAGGTATGCTACCCTCTAAGAGGTTATCTTCTAAGCCAATCTCGCTTAGCAGTGAAATATTTCTTAAAGAGGTAGGGATTCTCCCAGTTAAAGCATTTCCACCCATGATTACCGATTGCAGATTTTTAAGCTTACCAAGGGAATCAGGAATAGTGCCAGTCAGTTGGTTGTACTCCAAACCAATTCCCATTAGATTTACAAGGTTTGTTATCCCCAAAGGTATGTTGCCGGTTATTTGATTAAAACCTAGGTATATAAATCTAATTGTTGTCGAAAGGTTTGTTGTGGAATTTGGTAGCAAGCCACCAAATTGATTAACAGCTATGCTAAAAGTTTGCAACCTGCTACAATTAGTTAAGGTGGTTAAAAAATCTAAATCCCCAGCGGCACCACTTCCCAGATTATTTATTTCCGTATTTAGCCAATAAAGATTCTTGGCGTTTTGAAAATTAATGGACACTTTGCCACTGAAATGACTCCTGGAAACATCAAATACTTCCAACTTTGAAGCGTTGGCTAATGACTCTGGCAGAGTCCCAGAGAAACTATTATTACCAATATAAATTCTTCGAACGTTTATAAGTGTGAAGCCTATGTCGTCAGGGAGGCTCCCATAGAATCGCTTATATACTAGACCGAATATCTCTAGAGAAGAGATGTTATAAATTGAAGAAGGAACTAAGCCAAAGAAATTATTCTCGTCCAGTGAAAGATTGACTAACCTTTTAAGCTGGCCTAACGTATCAGGAATTCTCCCTTGCAAGCTATTCCTACCTACATTAAGCAGATGTAGACTGGAAAGGTTCCCCAATGAAACTGGGAGTTACCCAGTTAGAAAGTCGGCATAAATTCGTAGTTGCTCTAGCTTCAATAAATTGCCAAACTCGGCTGGGATATTTCCAACAAGGTTGTTCCGGCTGGCAACAAACTGAATGAGGTTAGAACAATGGGTCAAATTGGCTGGTATTGTTCCTCCAAAGGAATTATTTTGTAAAATTAAACTTTCAACCCTTGAAAGTCGACCAATTTCAGGGGGGATGACTCCATAGAAATTGTTGCCTGCAGGTTGATGAACCTAAGGAAGCTGAGGTTCCCTACATAGGGAGATAAGGTACCCCCCAACCGTTGCTGGCTTAAGTCCAACTTGGTGATCCTTTGATGCCTACAGCCACAAGTTATTCCTTTCCACTGGCACAAGGCTGCAGAGTCGTTCCATGAGCTTGTGACTCCAAGTGAGTCATTAATTTGTGACTTTATGGCAAGCAATGTTTCGCGATCTCTCTCATGTCCCTCGATTGTAGTTCCAGTAATAGCGGTTGGAAACAATCCTAGAAGCAACAAACCGACACACCATAACACAGTGGCTACACTGCTGATTGAAGAACAGATGCTTTGAGACGCCATTTTTGTAGGACAAGAAAATGATAGTTTCTCAGTGAATTTTTCTTTCCCCGGCCCTTCAATTTATAATCAAAGGTTGAATTTACTGACGACGAAGAAAAGCAGACTAGTGACTTTTTGACCACGAGCCATGCGCAATACACTTGAGAGTGATGTCACCAACGACCAATTTTAGTCAAACTGCTTGTCACTCCCGGCCCATCGGTCGTCGCATCCTAGCACCCTGAGCATTTTCCAGGAACATTCAACATCAGATGTATGTAAAAATGTCATTCTGGGCAATCCAATAGGAAGAGCAGGATTCTGATAATTTTTAGACTTAATTATGTATTTAATTATCTTGCAAGGTATTGGCTTAATGTCAAAGAAAAAGCTTTAGAACTTGTTATTGTAGTTCAAATCTCACTGTTTGTGGTGTGATTGTTTTAGTTATATTTAAATTTGTTAGTTGATTATTCAGTGATCATATGAATGTGATATTTGATTATTCAATTGATTATATGAATGCAATTCTTGATTGTGATTATAACTTCAAAAAAAAAATTTTCTTTGATGCTTGCTTAATTGGTGTTTCTGCCAGCGTGGACTTCTGAATTTTTTGGGTCCTCAAGAACGTGCAAAGCGCAAAAGTGAGGCTTACCTAAAGGGGCAATTAAGCACAGCAAGTCCTCCACTATCATTAATCCCCTCTTCACAAGTCCTGGTCAAGCTAAATTGCGTGCATGACCATGAGTCCATGACCGGCGCCAGCCCTGGTGGAGTCAAAATCTCCCTCTAGCTCCCGAGTCCCCACCTCCACCTCCTTAAGAAAGGTAAAACCGGCGCATCTGGAAACTGAAAAGAATAAAAAGTCAAATAATTTTAATTTAAAAGGGATTGATTTTAGTTGTATGGATAACAAATGACAAGTATTCACATTTTCTTTTCTTTTTTTTTCTTTTAATTCTAACTTTTCGGTTTTCTCTTATAAAATTCGAAGTTCAAATACAACAAAACAGGAGTTACGTAGTTCAAATATGCTGTTTACAAGTAGGAAAAATGCAAACGTTAACATTTCTGGCTCATCGGTCGTCGCATCCTAGCATGCTGAGCATTTTCCAGGAACATTCAACACAAGTGTGTAAAAATGTCATTCTGGACAATCCAACAGGAAGGAAAGGATTCTGATAAATTTTCCACTTAATTATGTACGTAATTATTCTATGAGTTATTGGCTTAATGTCAAAGAAAAAACTTTAGAACTTGATGTCGTATTTAAGTCTTACTGTTTGTGATTTCATTGTTTAATTATATTTTTATTTATTAATTGATTATTCAATGATCATAACTTAATTATTACGTAACAATTGATTGTTTAATTAATTCTATAGATATAATATCTTATTATAATTATAATTTCAAAATAAAAAAATAATTATATCAAATATAAACTCTTTATATATACCTTATTTCCTTTAATTTGAATTTCTCCTTCCAAAAATATAATTAATATTTAATATATCAAAAAATAAGATAAATTTTGCTGTCCTTGCTCAATTGGTGTTACTGTTAGTGTGGACTTCTGAATTTTTTGGGTCGTCAAAATGTGCAAAACGTAAACGTGAGGCTTACGGAAAGGAGAAATTAAGCACAGGTAGTCCTCCACTATCATTAGTCTTAATTTTCAAATCTGCCTTCATATTTAGTTAAAACAATTGGTTGAGTTTTCTAGGGTTTTAAGGAAGTTTCTGTCACCGGGGCCCAAAAACCAAACAATGTCCTGAGGTTTTGTCTTTGCGAGTCTAATGGAAGAACAAAACATAAAATTCTATGTTCATAAAACAAAACAGGAGTTATGTCTGCTTAGTGACTAAAGAGCTTTTAAGAAGACATAAAGATTTTGGTTTCCAATCAAAATTTCATCTCTTCTCCATGAACTAAAAAAATGATTACACACTATTTTAAACAGAAACTTGAAGTCATCGGAAAATCATGAACATGTAGACATTTTGCATTAACGCATTAATACCTTTGTCTTTGATTATAGAACTTGAATTTACAAAGTTGAATTGCGTTAACTTTTGTGTTCTTGTTGTATTGGATGATTTTTTTTTTCCTGAAGCTGTTTTGCTCCATATCCTCACATAAATCTTAATGAATTAGTAGAAGTTCTGTTATTGACTTTAAATCTTTAGATAGATAGATTAATTGTTTTTTGTTTCTTTTAGAACAAAAACAATCTAATCCATTGTTCTTACTAAGAAAATATATGAAAGCTCACTTTAAGACTTGGCATGAAGGATGAAGCGGGAAAACTTTATATATAGTTAAGAGTTTAGCTATAATCGGAACCACCAACAACATATTTTCTGCAATAGCCACCGGTATGAATGGCAGCTGTGATGGTAGGAGCTTGAGATTTGCTTAAAAGTGGCCTTAGAAATGATTCATGGCCCAATTGTTTCAAGTGTAGAACTACGTACTGTTAATGAACTTGAAGATTTAATTGTCAAATCTGCTTTCATATTTAGGTGAAACAATTGTTTTCGTTTTCTGGGGTTTTTGGATGGATCCTTCTGAGCTCGGAAAGCCACCGGGGCCCAAACAAAGTTGCCAGACAACCTAACATAATTATTATATTATATTAATTTTTTATAAATTTATTAAATTTGATATAAATAAGTCTAGTAAAACAAATGTTCACGCTTAAAATCTCAATCGCTAAAAAGAAAATCTAAAGATCGGTGGAACATAAGTTTTGTTGACCGGGCGTTGACTTGTGGATTTTGTTGGTCATTGATGAGGGTGAAGCAGCCTAAGGAACCGTGTTCCAGTCTGTCAATCACCAAACTTTCACCTATGGTCAGGCTAATGCGAAACTGAATAAGGACTTGGACTTGTTTGGCAACTTGTCTCCACTTCAATAACATGTTTTTTGGTCACTTCATTACATATTTGATGGAGAAACATTGACTTACGACATTAATAATTAATCATTCAAAATTTCTTTCCGTAACATTTTTTCTCTCTCTTACCAATTATAAGTTTCATTTTCTTTTTCCTACCAATCAAAACTTAATTAAGATTTTATTTGTTTCTTATAAAATTATTTTCAAAAGATAATTTTATATTTTTTTATATTTATTTGATAAAAAATTAGTTAAAATTACAATTAAGTTAAAATAAAAATATTATTCTATTTAAAGAAATGAAAACAATACGCCTGTCATTTTTCTTAATTTTGAACTCGCCATCAAATTAGCGACTCCCTCGATATTATCTTCAGCTATTTAGATAAAATATAAAATATAAAAAAAATATAAAATCAAAATCAAAATAAATAATTAAGATAAATAATCAAAATTAACCAACTATTTATTCAAAAAAATTAAATCCAACTATATAAATTACAAAGAAAAAGAGAAGAAATACAAAAGATAAATTCAGGAGAATATGAAAGTTTTTTAAAAAAAAAATTAAAAAATTACTTATCTTTTATTTTTTTCTGCCAAAACAATTGCACAATCAATTGAATGGAATCCCAAATAAGCCAAACTTTACACATATATTATAATCAAAATTAAAAAACAAAAACTTTTTTGCAAGATCAATTTAAAAAAAAAAATCTTTTAAAAATGAAAAAAAGTCGGAACTAATAAATGGAGGTCAAATTTAGCTTGTTTATAACCAAAAACGACCTCTAATATGGCCACTCTTAAAAAAAAAAAAAAAAAAAAAAACTAGTGAATGCCAACTCTAACCTTTGTATGCGCAAAAACAACTTGATATAAGATGAATTTGGCTTTCGATGGCCATTTGTTTGTTTATCTTCTCTCTTCTTATTAATTTCTCTCTTTTTCTTTTTCTTCGTAACCTACTTTCCATTTAACCCTAAATTTTTTTGTCAAAAGTCAATAACACCCTCAACAGTTTATATAATTCTTTCCTTATCTTTTTTATAAAAATGACTACGGTGAGCCAGTAGTTAATTTATCCTTTCAAACCTTCCTCTATTTTTCTTTTTTTTTTTTTTTCTTCGTCCGTTGGCCTCTCCTTCCATTCTTTTTACCTCCATTCTCTCTTGCTTTTTTTTTTTTTTTCATTTTCCATTTTTTAGAAGTTTTTTTTTTTCTTTTCAGATATTTTTAACAATGAAAATCCAAAATTTCTCTCAACAAAATGCAAAATTCTTTTTATGTCGTAAAGTGAACAGGTGTTAGAAGAAGACTCTTTTGCAGACAAAATTGTATTACAATTAAATTGGATTTCAAATAATAAATATATTTATTAATAATTAAGTGTTTTACGTTTTTAAAATATATTATAAATAATTAAATTTCGAATAATAAATTCTGATGCAAAAATTGTAATCTTTGCCACAGCTCATACATGAAAATTTTCTCTGTATTCATCTTCATTTAGAACTAAACTAACTCTTTAGACTATAATTGATAGCAATAGGAAACCACCTTTAAATGTGTCAGTTCAGTGGCTAGTGGGACTGGTCCCCTGTAAACTTTCAGACTGGTTTTGGTGATCAAGTTCATCCCCTTGGATTCATGTGTAGGTGATTTCACCCAAGTTGAAGGGTAACTCCACGATAAAAACAAGTGCTTGAAGGGAAACGAAAATTGAAGTTCTCGTCTTTTTTGGGTCGATTCATATTCGACTATTGACCATGCCTGGGGATTTCTTTGTGTTTCACTTATTTATTAATTAACTAAACTATTTTGCTTTCCAATAAAAAAAAGACAAAATCAAGAGAATATCTTTGGCAAGCTGGCAAACAATTGGTTCTTCTATCTTTTTCCGATGAAAAGTGTGGATCCCACACTTTTAATTCATTTCTCTGCTATTTGCCCGGTCACTTTTCATGTAAATTATTGTACTTGTGCCGGAAGCAATGCCTTGATAAGCACAAAAAGGCCTACCGCATAGGGCTACAAGAACAAGAAAGAAAGAGCAAGCAAGCTGGGAGATGAAGAAAGTTGAGCTCATATTCATTCCAACACCAGGAATCGGACACGTGGTCTCAACTATTGAGTTTGCAAAGCGCCTAATCCATCAAGATGATCGAATTTGGATTACTATTCTTTCCATGAAGTGGTTTTCAAATATTATGGATGCCTACACCAAATCGCTTACTGCTTCGCAACCTGATCGAATCCAACTAATTGACATTCCTCACGTAGATCCTCCCTCATTCGATCTTTTGAAGTTATCAGCAGAAGCCTATATTTATGCATCCTTTGAAAGCTACATCCCTCCTGTTAGAAATGCTGTCAGAAATATTGTATCCAGGAATTCTAGCTCGGATTCAACCCGAGTTGCAGGATTAGTTCTTGATCTGTTTTGTGCACCCATGATTGATATTGCAACTGAATTGGATCTTCCTTCTTATATATTCTTAACCACAAATACAGCGTTCTTGGGTCTCATGCTGTACCTAACAACTCGACATAGCCAGAACAGCTCAGAATTTGAAAGCACGGATCCTGATCATTTGATCCCAGGATTTGTCAATCCTGTCCCTTCATGTGTTCTGCCTTCAGCTGTGTTTAACAGGGATGGCGGTTATACCACATATTTCAAGATTGCTGAAAGGTTTAAGGATGCCAAAGGTATCATGATAAATACTTTTGAAGAGCTTGAGTCTTATGCTCTTAATTGTTTTTCCAATGGCCAAAACCCTCCAATTTATCCAGTTGGACCAGTGATTCACCTCAATTGGCTGCCTCACCCTGAGTTGGACTTGGCCCAACGCGACAAGGTCATGAAATGGCTTGATGATCAGCCTCAATCATCAGTGGTCTTTCTTTGCTTTGGAAGCATGGGAAGCTATGGAGCACCCCAAGTGAAAGAAATAGCACTTGGGCTAGAGCAGAGTGGGTGCAGATTCTTATGGTCCTTGCGTGCGCCACCATCACTAAAACCAGAAAATGATGCTTCAGGAATTGTTCATCACAAGAATCCTAAGGAAATGTTGCCAGAAGGATTCATAGAAAGGATCCAAGGGAGGGGGATGATATGTGGGTGGGTGCCGCAGGTGGAGGTTCTTGCCCATAAGGCAATAGGAGGGTTTGTATCTCATTGTGGTTGGAACTCAATCCTGGAAAGTTTGTGGTTTGGTGTGCCAATTGTAACATGGCCTATGTTTGCTGAACAACAGCTAAATGCATATATGATGAAGGAGCTGGGAGTAGCAGTAGTGCTGAGGTTGGATTACCGGAGAGATATGTTGAGGTTGGATTACAGGAGAGATACAAGTGATGTCGTAATGGCAGATGAGATAGGGAAAGCTGTTCGGATGGTCATGGATGGTGGCAGTGAGGTGAGAAAGAAAGTGAAGGAAATGGCAAAGATGGCTAGGAAGGCTATCACGGAAGGTGGATCTTCAATCAATTCAATTGGAAGATTAATAGAGGATATGATAGGCAACAGCTGATATTTGACCATATACGGTTCTCTCCATTATCTGTTAATCCTCTATTGTTTAAGGGGAAAAACAAAAGAGAACTTTTTAAACTTTTTTCCTATTTAGCAGTCATTTCTGCTTATTCTAAATGACTTGATGTTGCCCCATAAGCTGAACGGACTTTGATGTAAGTACAATTATCTGATCCCTCAATGGTTTATGAAAGTATCAATCCTATAATAACATATTTTATAAATATTTTTTCATTAGTTACTATATTAAACAATTAAAATTTTTTGAATATTATTAATAAATGATTGATTCAATCGATTAAAGTTATTTTTTTTAATGAAAAAATTTTGAGTTCGAATTTTATCAATAGTAATTTATTTGGATCATTTCGAATGTAACACTTGTAATTATTTATTTTAAATTGTCAGATTCAATATATTTTATCATGATTTAAAAGATTGAATCATTTATCTACTTCAAATTTTTTAAAATATATATAATAATTTTTTGAGCATTGATTATAGTTTATTAATGTTTGTAAACATTATAATTATAAACAATTATAAGTTTACATAAACAAAAACTATTCCAATATCGATGTAGGAATGCATCTTTAAAATTATCTGTAGAAAAAAATTAAATCCAGATAATATCTAATTGTATTAAAAAATCACGAATTACATGCTTAACAATTGAGGCAATTTTTATTAGTTAATATCAAATTCATATTACTAATACATATATGAATTTCTTAATCACAAACTATTATTTGGTACCTAAATTATTTATTTTTCTTTCTCCTAATGTTCAAATGAGAGCAATAAATTTATTCATCTTACTAATTACAAATTTATATCAAAACTCAATTAAGGCTTTATTTGGTAAAAAATAGAAAGAGAAAGATATATTTTATTTTAATTCAATAAATTTACCAAGTAAAAAAATTTATGAAACTTAATTATTATATTATATTTAAAAAATTTTAACTCAAATAAAATCTAAAAGATAACATAATTATTATATTACATTATATTAATTTTTTATAAATTTATTAAATTCAATATAAATAAATCTACCCAAAAAGTGTCCACGCTTAAAAATCTCAATCGCTCAAAAAAAAAAAAATCTAAAAGATCGGAGGAAGATAAGTTTTGTTGACCCGGCATTGACTCGTAGAATTTGTTGGTCATTGACGTGAAGAGGGTGAAGCAATCCAAGGAACCTTGTTCTAATCTGTCGATCACCAAACTTTCACCTAGGGTCAGGCTAATGTGAAACTGAATAATGGATTGGGACTTGTTCGGCAGCTTGTCTGCCACTTCAATGATATGGTTTTTGGTCACTTCATTACATGTTTGATGGACTAAGATTGACTTAAGACATTGATAATTAATCATTCAAAATTTTCTTTTGTAACATTTTTTTCTCTCTTACCAATTGTAAGTTTCAATTTTTTATTTGTTTCGATTTGAAAAAAATAAAATTTGTATTTTTTACTTAATAAAAAATTAGTTAAAATTAAAATTAATTTTAAATAAAAAAATTTTTATTTTAAAAAATGAAAACAAAATTCTTTCCTTTTTTTCAATTTTGAACTCCTCATCAAATTAGTGACTCTTTCAACATTATCTTCAGCTATTTAGATAAAATATGAAATGTACAAAAAAATACAAAATCAAAAATAAAAACTTAAAATAAAAAAATTAAGATAAATAATCAAAATTAAACCCAACTATTTATAAAAAAAAAAAAACCAAATCCAACTATTACAATTACAAAGAAATAGAGAAGTAATACAAAAGGTAAATTCGAGAGAACATGAAAGCCTTTTTATAAATAAAATTAAAAAATTATTTATCTTTTTTTTTTGTCTCCCAAAGTAATTGCCCAATCAATTTCAATGAAATCCCAAATGAGCCAAACTTTACACATATATTATAATCAAAATAAAAATATATATTTTTTGGAAGATCAATTTAAAAAAAAATCTTTTATAAATGAAAAAAAATCAAATCTGACAAATGTAGGTAAGATTTAGCTTGTTTATGACCAAAGACAAATTCTAACACGGCCACTCTTAAAAGAATTATAAAAAAAAAAAAGAAAACCCTATTGAATGCCAATTATAACCTTTGTATGTGCAAAAGGCTGAATTTCGCTTTCGAAGGCCATTTGTTTATCTTCTCTCTCCCCATCAATTTCTCTCTATTTAGTTTATCTCGGTCTCTTTGCCTAATCGTCTACTTTCAATTTAAACCTAAATTTTTATTTTTGTCAAAAGTCAATGACACCCTCAATAATTGATATAATGCTTTCCTTATCTCTTTTATAAAAATGATTAAGATGAGGCTGCAGCTTTTTTCTTCCTTTTCCATAATGACCCTTTCAAACCCTCCTCTATTTTTTTTTTCTTTTCTTTTTCTTCGTTTGTCGGTCTCTCCTTCCATTCTTTTTATCTCCATTTTCTCTCGCTTTCTTTTTCATTTCCGTTTTTTAGAAGTATTTTTTTTATCTTTTCAGATTTTTTAACAATGAAAATCCAAAAATTCTCTCAACAAAATGCAAAATTCTTTTTATGTCATAAAGTGAATAGGTGTTAGAAGAAGACTATTTTGCAGACAAAATTATATAATAATTAAATTAAATTTCAAATAATAAATATATTTACTAATAATTAAGTGTTTTAAGTTTTTAAAATATAATGTTATATAATTAAATTTCTAATAATAAATTCTGATGCAAACATTGTAATCCGTGCCACAGCTCATACATGAAAATTTTCCCTGTCTTCATCTTCATTTAGAACGAAACTGCCTCTTAGACTATAATGCAATTAATTGCAGTGGGAAATATGTCAGTTCAGTGGCTAGTGGGACTGGGTCCCCTGTAAACTTTCAGACTGATTTTTGTGACCAGGTTCATCCCCTTGTATTTATGTGTAGGTGATTTCACCCGAGTTGAGGCGTAAATCCACAATAAAAACAAGTGCTTGAAGTGAAACGAGAATTGAAGTTCTCGTTTTTTTTTGGGTTGATTCATATTGGATTATTGACTGTGCCTCGGGATTTCTTTGTGTTTCATTTATTTATTAATTAATTAAACTATTATGCTTTCCAGTAAAAAAGACAAAATCAAGAAAATATCTTTGGGGAGCTGACAAACAATTGGTTCTGCTGTCCTTTTCCGAATGAAAAGTGTGGTTCCCCCACTTTTAATTATTTCTCTGCTCATTTACCCGTCTCACTTTTCATGTAAATTATTGGACCTGTGCCGGAAGCAATGCCTTGCTAAGCACAAAGAGGCAGATCACATAGGGCTACAGGAACAAGAAAGAAAGATCAAACAAGCTGAGAGATGAAGAAAGTAGAGCTCATATTCATTCCAACACCAGGAATCGGACACTTGGTCTCAACTATTGAGTTTGCAAAGCGCCTTATCCATCAAGATGATCGAATTTGGATTACTATTCTTTCCATGAAGTGGTTTTCAAGTTTTATGGATGCCTACACCAAATCACTTACTGCTTCGCAACCTGATCGAATCCAACTAATTGACATTCCTCAGGTAGATCCTCCCTCATTAGATCTTTTGAAGTTATCAGCAGAAGCCTATATTTATGCATCCATTGAAAGCTACATTCCTTCTGTTAGAAATGCTGTCAGAAATCTTGTGTCAATAAAAACTAGCTCGGATTCAACCCGAGTTGCTGGATTAGTTCTTGATCTGTTTTGTGCACCCATGATTGATATTGCAACTGAATTGGATCTTCCTTCTTATATATTCTTAACCACAAATTCAACGTTCTTGGGTCTTATGCTGTACCTAACAACTCGACATAGCCAGAACTGCTCAGAATTTGAAAGCACGGATCCTGATCATTTAATCCCAGGATTTGTCAATCCTGTCCCTTCATGTGTTCTGCCTTCAGCTGTGTTTAACAGAGATGGCGGTTATACCGCATATTTCAAGATTGCCGAAAGGTTTAAGGATGCCAAAGGTATCATGATAAATACGTTTGAAGAGCTGGAGTCTTATGCTTTTAATTGTTTTTCCAATGGCCAAAACCCTCCAATTTATCCAGTTGGACCAGTGATTCACCACAGTTGGCTGCCTCACCCTGAGTTGGACTTGGCCCAACGCGACAAGGTCATGAAATGGCTTGATGATCAGCCTCAATCATCAGTGGTCTTTCTTTGCTTTGGAAGCATGGGAAGCTATGGAGCACCCCAAGTGAAAGAAATAGCACTTGGGCTAGAGCAGAGTGGATGCAGATTCTTATGGTCCTTGCGTGTGCCACCACCACCAAAACCAGAAAATGATGCTTCAGGAATTGTTCATCACAAGAATCCTGAGGAAATGCTGCCAGAAGGATTCCTAGAAAGGATCCAAGGGAGGGGGATGATATGTGGGTGGGCGCCGCAGGTGGAGGTTCTTGCGCATAAGGCAATAGGAGGGTTTGTATCTCATTGTGGTTGGAACTCAATCCTGGAAAGTTTGTGGTTTGGTGTGCCAATTGTAACATGGCCTATGTATGCTGAACAACAGCTAAATGCATATATGATGAAGGAGCTGGGATTAGCAGTAGCGTTGAGGTTGGATTACAGGAGAGATACAAGTGATGTCGTGATGGCAGATGAGATAGAGAAAGCTGTTCGGATGGTCATGGATGGTGGCAGTGAGGTGAGAAGGAAAGTGAAGGAAATGGCAGAGATGGCTAGGAAGGCTATTACGGAAGGTGGATCTTCAATCAATTCAATTGGAAGATTAATAGAGGATATGATAGGCAACAACTGATGTTTGACCTTATATGGTTCTCCACGATCAGTTAAACCTCTATTGTTTAAGGGGAAAAAAAAAAGAACTTTTTGCGAAAATATTTTACCTCTTTAGCAGTCGTTTCTGCTTATTCTAAATGACTCTTGATGTTGTCCCACAAGTAGAGGGAGTTCGATCTAAGTACAATTATCTGATCCCTCAATGGTGTATGAAATTATCAATTCTACAATATCATTTTATAAATATTTTTCATTAGTCACTATATTAAACAATTATAATTTTCTGAGCATTGTTTATAGTTTACTAATGTTTGTAAACATTATAATTATAAACAATTATAAGTTTACATAAAAACTATTCAAATATAGATGCAGGGAATGCATCTTTAAAATCGTCTGTAGAAAAAAAATTAAATTCAAGTAATCCCTAATTGTATTAAAAAAAATCATGAATTGCTTAATTAATAATAGAGGCAATTTTTGTTAGTATTACTGATACATATATGAATTTCTTAATCACAAACCATTAATTGGTGCCTATATTATTTTTGTTTCCTACTATCAAAATGAATTTTCTTTTTCACCAGTTACCACACTTATAATTTTTTTTTTTCTTAAAAAATGCTAATCTTTGTTTGGGAAACTACCAAGAGAATCTGAATGGGCTTGGCCCATGTTCTCCAAGCGTCCTTCCTTATAACAAAACAGTCCTTTAAGCAGTGAGCCTAGCAAATCAAAATCTACCCCAACGCAAAAGCATGGAAACAATAAGCACCCCTCTCTTATCTCTTCCACATCACCTAACTCCCCAAACTGTCAATAGCAACCATGACCAACCTGTTCTTTCATTTATCGATCGATGCACCAATTCAAACCAACTCAAGCAAATCCATGCCCTAATGATCCGTACAGGCCTTTTCTTTGACCCATACTCCTCTAGCAAACTCTTTGCAGCGTCCGCCCTGCTGCCTTTTTCAAGCTTGGATTATGCTCGTAAGGTGTTCGATCAAATTCCCAAACCGAATCTTTACACCTGGAATACCCTCATTCGTGTTTATGCTTCGAGCCGTGAACCCATCCAAGGACTTTTGATCTTTCTAAGAATGTGTAATGAGAGTCCCTATTACCCCAATAAATTCACTTTTCCTTTCGTGATCAAGGCTGCCGCGGAGATTTTCAGTTTATCTGTTGGCCAGGCTCTTCATGGGATGGTGATTAAAGCCTCACTAGGGGCAGATGTTTTTATTTCAAATTCTTTGATACATTTGTATTTTTCGTGTGGGTATTTGGATTCAGCTTATGGGGTGTTTATGATGATTGGTGAAAAAGATGTTGTATCTTGGAATTCAATGATCACAGGTTTGGCACAAATGGGTCGTGCTGAAAAGGCTTTGGAGCTTTTTAGAATAATGGAGGCCGAGAGTGTGAAGCCGAATGATGTGACAATGGTGGGTGTTTTATCGGCTTGCACGAAGAAGTTGGACTTGAAGTTTGGTAGATGGGTGTGTTCATATATTGAAAGGAATGGGATACATGTGAACTTGACTTTGAGTAATGCAATTCTCTATATGTATATGAAATGTGGGAGTCTTGAAGATGCAAAAAGATTGTTTGATAAGATGGAGGAGAAGGATATTGTCACATGGACAACCATGCTTGATGGTTATGCTAAATTAGGAGAGTATGAGGCAGCAAGGCGAGTTCTTGATACCATGCCTAGGCAAGATATTGCCGCATGGAATGCCCTTATATCTGGTTATGAACAGAATTGGAAGCCAAAGGAGGCTTTGTCCATATATCATGAGTTGCAACAGAGCAAGATTGCTAAACCTGATGAGATCACTCTTGTTAGCACTCTATCAGCTTGTGCTCAATTAGGAGCCATGGAAATAGGTGAGTGTATCCATGCCTACATTAAAGAGCAGGAGATTAAGTTAAATTGTCATCTTACAACCTCACTCATCGATATGTATTCTAAATGTGGAGATATAAAGAAGGCACTTGAGGTCTTTTATTCTGCAGAGAGGAGGGATGTGTTTGTTTGGAGTGCAATGATTGCTGGTTTGGCAATGCATGGACAAGGGAGAGCTGCAATAGATTTGTTCTCTAGCATGCAAGAAACTACAATCAAGCCCAATTCTGTGACTTTTACCAATGTTTTATGTGCTTGTAGCCATGCAGGGTTGGTGAAGGAGGCCAAAACCTTTTTCAATCAGATGGAGCCAGTTTATGGGATTCCACCTGAGATCCAGCACTATTCTTGCATGGTCGATATACTCGGTCGTGCGGGCCTCTTGGAAGAAGCTGTTGAATTTATTGAGAAAATGCCAATAGTTCCTAGTGATTCTGTATGGGGGGCTCTGCTTGGAGCTTGTCAAATTCATGGAAATGTTGAGCTTGCTGAACTGGCTTGTGGCCATTTGCTTGAATTGGATCCTGGAAACCATGGAGCTTATGTTCTTTTATCTAATATATATGCCAAAACTGGGAAATGGGATAGTGTTTCTAGATTAAGGAAGCACATGAGAGTGACTGGGCTAAAAAAAGAACAAGGTTGTAGCACCATTGAGGTCAATGGAGTCATTCACGAGTTTCTGGCGGGAGATAACTGTCATCCTCTTTCCGGAGAAATTTACTCAAAATTGGATGAGATTGTGATGAAATTAAAATCAGTTGGTTATGTACCCAATAAGTCCCACCTTTTGCAACTTATTGAAGAGGATGATATGCAGGAGCGTGCTCTTAACCTTCACAGTGAGAAGTTAGCAATTGCATTTGGATTACTTTACGGGAAAGCATCTCAGCCAATCCGAATTATAAAAAATCTTCGTGTCTGTGGAGACTGTCACTCAGTTGCTAAGCGTGTATCCAGGCTTTATAATAGAGAGATAATACTAAGAGATCGGTATCGATTCCATCATTTTAGTGGAGGACAATGTTCATGTAAGGATTACTGGTGAATGTTACATAACTACATGCAATGGAAATCACTCCTCAAGTATCTAATCATGAAACTCTTGTTAGTTTCATTAATGCTAAGCTTTCCGGTTTCTTATGATTGAGAGATAACTGAATTTGTTTGGTTCAGTTTTGTCACTCACTTTCGCTTGGGTTGGAACTAGTCCTATGGTTTTCCCAACTAAAACAATTGTTTTAACATGTATTTCAAAATGGGATCTTGTTTAGTTTATCTAAATTTCCAGCTTGACATTTCCAATAAACTGCAAATAGGAGTTGGGGTACTCGGAAACTGAAGGAACTGAAATGCATAGAACAGGAAGGTAAAATCTCTTGTTTTCTATTAACTATGAACTTCCCTTGAAGTATGTTTACACTGACTACCAAGTAGTGGTTCTTGGTTTACTCTGCAATCTAAAAGTGGTCAAAAGCCATTCATGTAAAAATTTAGTTGCAAAAGGAGTGCTCCTTTGGGGAACAATTTCTCTTGGTGAGCTAAGATCAATAGCAGTAAGCACACAAAAACCATGTTGCACAAGCAGGAAAGGTAAGAGCGCAAAACATGCAAATCAGCCATGAGATTTTTTATCTTAGGCTATACATGCAAAAACTGCTCTAAAACTTAATCAAATCGAATTACCAATTAAACAGTGAACAACAAACCATCTGAAAATAACAAAAATTGTGAAATGCCTATGAAATATTTATGATGAATACAGATACTTCAAACAAAGGTTAGGATAAACCCAGGCCAAATTAAGTAGATAAGGACTTTCAAATATGAGAGAAGTGCACCTTCCACCATACAAGGTCAAGCACATCTCTGCATATATAAAAAGTTTATCTATCAGACTTACGGTCATGATCACCCCTCTCTGCATGTTGATGCGATGAAGAATCCCTGTTATAGGTCTCCCCACCTCTCCTATCACAATCTTCTCTTGGATAAGATTCTGATTCATTCCATATTTTTCTTTCTTCTCTCCTGTCACAATCTCCATTAGGCCTTGGCTCCAAATGATCATCACCGTGCTTTTTTTATCTATTTTCGTCCCTCCTATCTTCTTTTATTCTAGCCCTATATCCATCATCACCATGCCTTTTTGATCTCTTTTCATCCCTCCTATAACGATCTTCTCCTGACCTTGGCTCAAAGTCACTATCATTGTGCCTTCTAGATCCTCTTTCTTCCCTTCTATACCAATCATCATCATTATGCCGTGTTGATCTCTTTTCTTCTCTATGATTATAATCTTCTCTTGATGTTGGTCCAGCATCTTTATCATCGTACCTTCTAGATCTCTTCCCTTCCCTCCCATCACTTTTCTCTAAGGTCTTCTCAGCACCCTTTGCAGGTCGAATACCTTCTAGAACTGCACGCTCCTGCATACCAAAACTTTTCTCACTCTTTTTTGAACCCTCAAATTTGTCATTTCCCCATCTTGAACTTTTATCCTGAGGACCCCAACCAGTGTTTGCAGCTCTCTGGGTACAGAATGGAAAAAGACATAAATAGGCAACACTATAACAATAGAAACATAAAAGACTGTGGCATAAGCATAGCTTATGATATATGAAAACTGCATTCTATACATGATATGTTTAAAACACCAGGCCTTACAAGATGGAGAAAGAATGCCAAGAATGATGAATAACAGAGGCAAAACAATTTTCCATTTTTCAAAAAGTAAACAAAGCACACTTCTCTTGTGCCATCATAGTTCATACTTCACACAATCAATTGACGATAACATTATTGCATTCGGATGAGAAATGACCCACATATAGTAACACAATCTAGTAGTTGATTACCTTTATGACCTAGATACTGAGTTCCATAGAATAAAAGAATAATAAGATTATTCCATTCAACTCAAAATTAAAAATTACAAATGGTAAATTAATCTTATTTTCAAATAAATAAACTATTAGACAAACATCCCAAGACAAAAAGGTAAGCAAAATTTGTATCTAGCATCAACCATTCATGCTTTAAATTCATCTGGACTCTCAACAGTGACTTAAAAACACTAATTCATGATTACTGCGATATAGCCATCCAAATCAATTACATGTATCAAAAAACAATACTAAATGGAGATGAATCTTACTTGCTCATCATGGGAAAATTTACATCCAGCGCCACGAGTACATTCACCTCTCTGGAAAGCACGACAAACCCCTCTGGCCTCCCTCCTCTTCTGTTCTTCCTCTTCATCTTCTTCTTCTTTCTTCTTATACTTTTCAGCATGATCAACCCTTATAATTCGACCCAAAATCTGTGCCCCATTAAGATTATCTTCAATGCCAAGGAAAAAAGAAGGCTCAATTATATCACTTTCCTCATTATTTAAAAAAAAAAAAAAAAAACTTAAATCTGAACTGTTAAGGGATAGAAATCCTAACCTACAGCTAGGATTGTACTTCTTTGATCCTCATAAGCAAGAAAAGCAAAGCCTCTTGATTTCCCAGTACCCTTATCTCTAACAAGATTAACATCTACAATTTCTCCATATCTGAGACAAATTAATTAATTAATTTAAACCAATAAAGAATTCCAATGAATTTTTTCAAATTGGAAAAAAGGAAATTTGAGAAAGAAAACTCACTGGGCAAAAACAGCGAGGAGATCGCCTTCGGTGAGATCGAAGGGAAGGCCGCCGACAAAGATGTAAGCTGAATCTTTGTACTTGGCGTGCCATGATGCTTCCTCCGATATCCCTAAATCTGCTTCTTTAGCGGTTATGTTTTGCAATCGCTTTACCAACGTTAATGGATTCATCGCGTTCTAGTTCTTCCTCGGCCGAAACCCCTAATGCGGAATCCCAAATTTACGCAAAAAGTGATATTGAAAATTGAAAAGCCAAAATAGTCCACTGGGTATGAAGATCCGGCCCAATATCTCTGATTTCAGGGTAAGCCCAAAATATCCTCCAAGTGGCAGGTTATGGTTCTTTTGAAAAACAGAACTGAAGTTAAGTAAAACGAAACCTCTTTATTAAACTACAGTTTCTTCCACCGAATAACTCTCAAGATTATATTATTCCGTATGCTAACGACCAAACCCTACGGCTATCTTTAACGATCACCGGAAAATGAGTTCCCGCCGAGGAATACCCTTCACCTTTGTTCTCTTCTTTTGCCTTATAATTTCGTCTCGCTCTCTTAGTTCTAACTATAGTTTTGGAAAGAAACACAAAATCAAAGGACCCATTAAAACTTTAGTTATCCTCGTCATGGAAAATCGTTCCTTTGACCATCTTTTGGGTTGGCTCAAATCGACCCGACCGGACATCGACGGTCTCACTGGATCCGAGTCAAACCCAGTCAACGTCACCGATCCCAACTCCCTCAATATCTCTGTCTCCGATGATGCTCTCTTCGTAGATTCGGACCCTGGCCACTCTTTCCAAGCTATCTGAGAACAGATTTTCGGTTCGAACGATAGCTCGGCTATCCGGGCTCCGATGAACGGCTTCGTCCAACAAGCGGAGAGCATGGGTGACGGAATGGGCAAAACCGTGATGAGCGGATTTAAACCGAGTCGGTTACCGGTTTACACGAAGTTAGCGAACGAGTTCGGCATTTTCGACCGGTGGTTTGCTTCAGTTCCTGCTTCGACTCAACCGAACCGATTTTATGTCCATTCAGCGACGTCGTTTGGGGCCACGAGTAACGTCAAGAAAGACCTTATTCACGGTTTCCCTCAAAAAACGATTTTCGATTCGTTGGACGAAAATGGCCTCAGCTTCGGCATTTATTACCAAAACATCCCGGCCACCCTTTTCTACAAAAGCCTAAGAAAACTAAAGTTCGTGACCAAATTCCACAGTTACGCTTTGAAGTTTCGGCTCCATGCTCGGCTCGGACAGCTACCGAATTACGTGGTTGTAGAGCAACACTACTTCGATGTGGAAGCGTTTCCGGCGAACGACGATCACCCGTCGCATGACGTGGCGCGTGGGCAGAGGTTGGTGAAGGAGGTGTACGAGATACTAAGAGGTAGTCCGCAGTGGAAAGAGACGGCTCTTTTGATTACGTACGATGAGCACGGGGGTTTTTATGATCACGTGCCGACTCCGGTATCCGGTGTTCCTAACCTGGACGGCATCGTGGGGCCCGACCCGTTTTATTTCAAGTTTAATAGGTTGGGAGTTAGGGTCCCTACTATCTTGGTCTCTCCCTGGATTGATAAGGCCACTGGTGAGTTTTCTTTTTTTAAGAAAAATTACTTTTTTTAATAATTTAATAGGTTTATATTTGATGGGCTAATAATTTATTGTACTATAAGTTATATACTGTAAGTGAATTATCATTTGCTACCTCATCCTAAAAAATTTGTAAAGAAAGTTTTTTTTTTTTTTAAAATCATGATTTGGGGAGTTTAAATTTGTTGACTTGTTGTTTTTCTTTGGGTAGAAGTCATTTGTTGACTAACACATATAGGAAATCAGAGATAAAACCCTTCTATTGTTATTTGACGGAAGTTTGATGGAAAATGTTGCTTCTAAGGTTTGGTTTGAAGTTTTCTCATTTTAGTGATAATTTGGAGGGCATTGCGTTGCTTTTAATAATATCCTGTTTTTAGTTGGATGATTTGTGTTTATGTATAACTAGTGGGGTTAGCTATTTGGTTGAATCAGTTGGCTCAATAAAGTGGGAAAGTCGAATTGCCAGCCTAGTTTTTCATTAAACTCGGTGGAATTCGAGTTTGATTTCTTTTCCATGTCGTATCAAGTGACATGTTAGTGTGTAAATTTGATTTAGGGTGTTTGTGTGCAATGCGTAGTAAGAGAAATAGATTGGATTCTTCAGTGTACAAGATCTTAAGACAAATGATCTTAATATAACAAAGTATATTGCAATAGAAATGAATCATTAATGATGTAACTTATAGAAATAGATAAGCATAACTGATACTAGTAGCTATAAGTTGCAGCTTATAGCATATAGCAAGTTCTAGCAGTCTATTTCTGAGTTGACAAAGTAGTTCAGAACTTGTTTTTATTTGCTATTCTTTTATTCAGAATTTCTTCTTGATATGCAAGATTTGAAATTCCCACTTTTGTTGAATTCAGAGGACATGGCTTACTATTTCAGAATGAATCAAACATGTCTGACATCTCCCTGGGCACTAAGACCTTATTATTTGCTGTTGATTCTAAAGCTCTGAAGTTAAACTTTTGTTTAGTAGGTTGAGCTGTGTCCTTCTGTATGTTGCTAAAGCAAAAGTGACAATATTGTGTTTTTTCTCCTTTTGCATCAGTTCTTTGTTTCTTATTTTGAACTGATATTTTGAGCAGTGCATGTCCCAGAGTCATCTATCAGTTGTCTCTCCAATCAACTTCATTTCTTGACTTGCATGCGGTGTTGTTTACTAAATGTTGTAATGCCTGTCCTTTCATCTGTTTGACTGTGCTTTTATCCAGTAATCCATGAGCCAGCTGGGCCAACACCAGATTCACAATTCGAGCATTCTTCCATCCCTGCAACAGTGAAGAGGCTTTTCAACTTGAATTCGAATTTCCTGACAAAGAGGGATGCATGGGCTGGTACATTCGAGAATTATTTTAACCTGCGAAGTACACCACGTGATGACTGTCCAGGTATGTTCAATTTCCTTGATCATAGCATTGCGTTGAATTTTCTTTACAAATTGCTTTTGTATTTTATTAATCCAGTTACTTCCGATCAAAGTTATATAGAACATGGTTTTGCACTGTGCTCTTATATTACTTTAGTGGTGAAATTTGCTTCTGTTAGTATTTATGTTATGTGCATTCCTTTGGATTGTTATCTTTTTTCTCTTTGCTAAAATCGTAGTCATATGGAAACCCTTGGACATGTCTACTTGCCCCCTCCGCTTCTAATTACCACATCCTCTCTCTTTGCTCACATGGCTGCCAGCAGAAGTAAAAGAAGAAATACTAAGAGTTGGTGTGGCAAGACGTGCCATATAGTGGAACAGAGCATGTTTTGGTTGTATTAGTTTGATTTTGCCTATTGAAAGCCTAACTTGTGTCAACTAAGGGTTTCTGAATGTCATAATTGTCAGATATAGAGTTCAGATTCTTGTACGTTTCTGATCTAAGCATTGTCACAAAGTATCCATTACCTCTTTCCCTGAATGGTTTATAATATACCCTGAAATTTGGATGCAGAAAGTCTTCCCGAGGTGAAGACATCATTGAGGCCATGGGGTCCAAAAGAGGATGCTAGCCTCTCAGAATTCCAAGTTGAACTCGTCCAGCTTGCATCACAGCTCAATGGCGATTATGTCCTCAGTACTTACCCATTTATTGGCAGAAGCATGAGAGTAGGTGAAGCCAACAGATATGTAGAGGATGCGGTCAAGAGGTTCCTGGAAGCTGGAAAGGCTGCTCTAAGAGCTGGAGCTAATGAATCTGCAATTGTAACAATGCGGCCTTCCCTTAGCAGTCGAGTTAAGGTAGATCGGAGCAGCTATGTGGAATCCTATTAGTCCTTTATATAATTGCCCACTGTAAATAGAAATTATACCCTTTCCCTGTACATATTAATATCTATTACGAGTTAATATCATTGACAAAGGTCAAGTCTACTTGATTATGTAATACATAACCTTATAAAAATACATGCCTTTTGTTTACCAAATGTTCCTTGATGAGACTTCTATGGTTAAATACTTGTTTTGCGTTACGATAATCCTATACCTTCTAGTCGAGATGGCAATTTTGCTGCTAAAGTTTCAACCTTGCTTCACTCTGTTCTGTTGTACTTGGATCCATGTTAACCCATCCGAGTTGAGAGAGTATCCGTCGGTTATCCAAGTCATTGAAGTAGAATGCACGGCTAGTGCAGCCTACCACGTTCAAAACTGGGCCTACCCTCAAAAGAAAGTATATATAAAAGCACTCACAACTGATCACATCTCCGAGAGCATAGCTACTATTCAACGAACTACTGTTAATACATATAAAGTTGAAAACTATCTCGCTATATCTTCCCTTTTCCATCAGAACTAACCAATACCATAACTGTCTTTCTCACTTCCTCTCTGCAGCAATAATGGATATCTTTTGGGAGCAAAGCGTCACCTATTCTATCAACACTATCTACCTTCTATTTTCTGTTTACTTAGTCTTTGTTATGCAGCTTGGCTTTGCCATGCTCTGTGCTGGTTCAATCAGGGCCAAGAATCATTATGCTCACAAATGTTGTAGATGCGGTTGTTGGTAGCAGTAGCATTTCTTACTGCCTCTTCGGCTTTGCCTTTGCATTTGGTGATACCTCCAACCCTTTTATTGGCACAAACTTCTTTGCTCTCAAAGATATACCAAATAGTTCATATGACTACTCTTTCTTTCTTTACCAATCGGCTTTTGCCATTGCAGCTCCTGGAATTAAAAGTGGATCAATAGCTGAGAGAACCCAGTTCAGTGCGTACCTGGTTTTCTCATTTTTCCTCACTGGGTTTGTTTACCCTGTTGTGTTCATTGGGTTAGGTCATCTAGCGGTTGGCTAAGTGCTAGTTCAAGCAATTCGCTGTTTGCTTCTGGTGCTATTGACTTCCCAGGAAGTAGGGTTAGTGCGGTGGTTAGGTGCTGGGCTTTGGGGTTTTCTCATAGAAGGTCCAAGAGTGGGCCGTTTCGATGCATTTGGCAAGCCTATGCCACTTCGTAGGCATAATGCAACTCTAGTGGTTCTTGGGACATTTTTGTTGTGGTTTGGATCGTTTGGGTTCAACCCAGGCTCATTTGACAAGATTCTTGTCCCCTATCCTAGCACAACCGATCAAGGTAATTGGACTGCGATTGGCAGGACGGCAGTTACGACAGCGCTAGCCGGTTCAACAGCTGGAATAGGAACACTGTTCGGAATAAGGTTACTAGTGGGCCATTGGGATGCACTTGATGTATGCAATGGAGTGCTAGGAGGTTTTGTCGCAATAACATCGGGCTGCTCAGTGGTTGAGCCATGGGCTGCTATTGTTTGTGGCTTTTTGGCAGCCTGGGCTTGATTGGGCTAAATATCCTCGAAGTGAAATTGAATTTTGAGGACCCATTAGAGACTACCCAATTGCATGGGGGTGTGGGGCTTGGGGTGATTGTTTGCAAAAGAGGAGTTTGTGATTCAAGCCTATGACTCAGGAAAAAGCGGGGTTGTACGACCCTACGGTCTGTTCATGGGTGGAGGCTGGGGCCTGCTTGGGTGCCAAGCGATTGAGGTTATGGCTATAGTGAGCTGGGTAAGTGTGACGATGGGGCCTCTTTTCTATGGCCTTAATCAACTACAAATCCTGAGAATATCTGTCTACGAGGAAATTACAGGCCTAGATATTTCCAGCCATGGCGGATATGCTTATAACGCTCATCAGGAAGAAAATCAACCTCACTTTTATGCGGATTATATGAGAATGAAGATCAGTCATAAGCTTGCCAGCCACTCACAGTCATAATCATGGGTGAATGACCTTCACTCCCGCATTGTATTTATTCAAACTTCCAATGATCATGAGTTTTATTGTTTTTTAAGAAAGAAATGATACATTTTGAAACTACTCAAGAGGGCTATTGCCGGCAAAACATTTACATTTCAAAATGGTAAGTATCATGAATTTACAGCCATGCGAGTTGTATACAGGCAGTTATTTTTCCCTGTAAGTGCTCATCTAACATGAACATCATAGGGAACATATACAGTATCTGGGACAATAAGAGGCAATTTATCAATGTACATGAAGAGCCTCTTACAATTCTCTTTGAGAATCGATAACAAATCAACAATATCACTCTTTTCTGTGTAAATCCAAAGGTCACTAGAGTTTACCCTTTTGAGACTATCCCGACAAAAGGGGCATGACTGAGACCGGCCATGCCTGAAATTAACAGGAAATACAACAGCATTGGGTCACTTACAAAAGAAGAGTGGAACATGTACCATAAACTTGTAACAGAATGCAAACATTGACCTTAAAACCAGTAAAACTGGCTAGTCATCCTCATGATGAATGTTAACTGCCCATACCAATAGCACTACTATTGAAGACTAAAAAGGTTACAGCCAAGAATGTACAACATACATACGACCATCAACCCAAATAACAGTTCTAAATGATAGTGTAATAGTAAATTAGTAATAGCCTATGATTTGTACTCAGAGAAAGGAATAACTTACCAATCCCGATAACACTTCAAACACAGAGAATGGCTGCAATTAGGCAATACAACCATGTTGTTCATCTCCATGCAAATCCCACACTCCTCTTCCCTTTCTAAGTCAATTTCAGAGAGCTTCCCCCTTTCAAATTCATCCTTCCTACGGTACCTCATGGTACAAACTTCTTTCTGTTTCCTATCTTCCAAATCGGTAACGCCTCTTTTAAGTTGCAATAAAGAAGGAAATATTATCGCTGTTTACAAAAAACAAACTAGTGAGCCAGATTTCACTTCAATGAGCTAAACAATGCTGACAGCAAAAACAGTTGAAGAGAGAAAGAGGTAAGCATTCAACGAAAATTTTGACTTCTCAAAAACCTGCTCACCATAAAATTCTCTAATACTGGCTCTCCTCTCATAAACAGACATGGTGGTCTTGCCATCAGCATAAGTCTGCATCAATCCACCAGATTGCCACATACCAATTGTAAGTAGTTATTAGGTGCCATAATTGACTACGATTTTGATCAAGATAACGAACAGTGAAAGACTTGGGGCTGGAGTAGGGAAGGAAATGTTGAGAAGGAAAGGGGGAGGCATTAAATGAAACACAAACAAACAACTGAAGAGAAAAAGGGCTGAAATTTGTATGGTGGAAAGAAACATGCCATATAAATAAGTACTCTGAGCAAACCAAGGGCACCAGCAAGTTGACAATCAGTCCACAGAACAAGGAAAAGGAAAAACTGGGCTGCCGGACTGTAGGACAGTCTCATTTGAAAACGTGCTCCATCCTTCTCCCTTGGATAATCTAAAGCCCTGACATCAGATAGGTAAATGCAGTAAAAAATACAAGGTTACCATCAACCAGTGCTGATAACAAAGCAAAAAAGAATTTGAAAACAGAATGTCTTTACTCATATTTTGCACTCGTAATCTTTGACAATAGCATGGATTAATGATATTTTAGGCATTCATTTGGTTCCCCACTACTTACAGACTTAAGGACAATGTTCCATAATCCAATCATTTTTTTTTGGCCAATATAATCCGATCGATTAGATGTATAAAGAATACTCCTTTGTCTTGCAGGTTACCATGTGTCTAATATCCTTGCAATGGTCTTGACCACATGCAAGAGAAGTAGAGCTCTTACTACTACAAAATAGAGGGAACAAATTCTAATACATACATACATACATACATACAAACATACATACATATATATATATATATATCAATATCATCCAAGAAAAGCAAAAATACAGTACATTGTCAATTGTCGATTGTCCACAAACCAAATAAAAAGAAAGCGTAAAGTTTAGATCATTCAGAATCAAGTAGCTAGTAGCCTTCACTCAGGTCCCATTGTTGGCTTAGAATGTTTCATTTATTTATGCGGTTATGCCTTCACATCATCAATTCACAACCCAGAAGTCAGAAACGCTTCCTTCCTTATAATACATTTTTACAATTCATAACCCAACAAAGTTTTACTAAACATTTTAAACCCATTGCTAGATAAACACTATGTGACATTAAGGATTACAAGTACTTAAATAGTTTTTGTGACCTTTGAATGAATGAATAAGTATTACCCTATGCTGGAATAAAATGTTCAGTGCTTCAATAATCTGCTATGAACCTTTCATTGCCAAACACAAAGTACAGAAACAATCAACCCCAAAAAAACCAAAAACCATAGGAGAAAACCCCATGAATATTTAATCAAAGTTTCGCCTTTTTTTAGTAGAAAGCACTCTGCTCTATTTTAAAAGGAAAAAAAAATCATTTTTTCTTTAAAAAAGAAAAGTTTCAAGTCAAACACTGCTTAAACAATCAACATTCACAGAAAAAATATTAGAAAAATCCAGAAAATAAAAATTCAAACAGAAAAGAAAAAGAAAATATAATCAAAAAAAAAAAGAGATATACAAAGTATTGGCGTGTTGAATATCAGCCTCGAGCGCTTTGAGTGAATCCTTAAAAGATGACTTTCCCATGACCGAGTATTATCCGGAAAATTATTCCCATCAAACAAACACAAAAAATAAGGTAGCTAAAGAGAAACTCTCAAAACGAAAATTCAACTCCAAATATACCCCAATTTCCAAGACAAAAAAGAGAGAAATAAAATGGTATTATTGTAATTTCAAAACAACCTCGTAAGCAACGACCAACCTAACTGCACTCTCCAAACACGTCGGTTACGACATCTTAAAGCAAAGTGAGAAGGGGGTTTCGAAATTACGATGTTGTCCTTACCTCAACCAAATCGGATAATAGATCGTCTATTGTCAGGCTTTTTGCGATTCTGTTTCAAAAAGCCGATGACATGGAAGACAAACTAGATGGAACGAATCCATTCCTGATGATGATGTGGCGATATACTATTGGTCAGATGAATGGCCTGGCATGTGGTTGTCAGTAGGGACTCTACTAAAACCAGGTGGTGGCGGCGCCTAGAGTTTTATAAAACCAAGGACATGTTGAAAAGAGTGTACCATAATTTATTATCCAAAACATATAATTTGTTAATTAATAATCTTAATTAGGATGAAAATCTTAAGGGAGTAATTATGGGTAAGATATAATCTGTCCTACTCATATTTTTGGTAAGTTAATACAAGGAAGATTTTTGGATAATTTAAGTTGATTGATTAATGGAATTTACTGGTGTTCCTAGTTAAAATACTATTTAAACAAATTTTTTATATCTAATACATTATATTATTAAATTAAAAATATATTATAATAACTATATATTTTAAATATCATCTTAATCCATATTTAATAAATAAGATTTTACTTATATTCGTGTAATTTTATATTTTAAAACTTTTAAATTAAAAATATTTTTTTAATAAACAAAAGTGTTTGGACCCTTACACTTTTGCCTAAGAAAAAAAAAATTATATATCCATTCACAAATTATGTTGAGATAATATTTAATACTAAGATAGATAAGCTTTTTCATAATAAAATTTTAAAGTCACAATAACATGCAATAACAAAATGAACATAATTTATTGTGAAACTCCTCTCGGAATGGCCAAAAAAAGAAACAAAGTAGTTCAAGAAACATGAGGGATGAGGGTGGCTCCATGATTAGTGCATACAGACATAGGCCATGAAATGGATAAGGTGAATAAGCCACCTTCTTAGCTAAAATGTTGGCAACTTGGCATATATCTTTTATCCTCCAATTATTGGTTTTTCTAATATTTTTAATAATGTTCAAATCCTCACAACAATAATAATAAGGAATCAAAATGAAAAGCCAATCAATTTTGATTTCTAAAAATATCTACTGGAAACACCCTGGTGCCTTAATGGGGCTTTGATGGTTATGTGCTTCCACGACTTTTATTGGAAGTAGTTTGATGAAAGAGACTCCTCATCGACAATTATTGAATGGACCAATTAAGATTCCTTACCATCGAATACTTTTGTTTCTAAAAAATCTTTATTTTTAAATTTGAATAATTAATAAAAAAATTTTATCAGATAATGAGAATTTACACTCAATCTGTAAAATATTATCCGTTTTAATTCAAAAATTTTATAATTTTATTTTACAAAAAACATTTCATAAATTTGAATTGAAACTTCTATTTATATATCATAATAAATTATCAAAATAAAGCATGCAAATCCACATAAAATCACATTAAACATTATGTAAATCTAACACGAAGCATATACAAATATTAAAATCACATCAAATATTAAAATTTTAGAAGTAACTCGTATCATATAATACTTAACTCACGGATAATTTTAAAAATGATTCACATGATATAGTACTTAATTTTCGTTCAACTAATAATGCTTTAATACAATTTATAAAAAGACTTACATTTAATCTACAATATATTATTTATTTTAATCCAAAAATTTTATAATTTTATTTAAAAAAATATTTTATAAATTTAAATTTAAATTTTTATATTATAATAGATTTTTAAAATCTCGTGACATTTGATAAACCCACGTTCAACCTCACAGAGGGATGCGATCTCCACAAAATCAATATTCAAATGAAGGTTACACCTTCCAATAGGGTTTGTGATTTGACCTTGTGAGGAGTAAATTTCTAAATTCCATCACTGCAATTATATGGAAATAATTTAAACAAAAAGAAAACAGGAACAGATATGAAGCCTATGGCCTAAACCCATCATCCAATCGCACAGAAAGCGATATGTAAGCCTTGGAGTTTCAGTTTGTGCTGCCTATACATGTCTTGTCAAGAGATTATTGAGAAAGGAAGAAGCTAAGGTACAAGTGAATCCTTTGGAATAGAATGAGTAAACTGAATTATCTTATGCCAATCTGTTTAAGTATCATTTTAAATCGGATTTTTATATTTTAATTATTTTAATTAATAAAATATTTTAAATTTAAGTTAAAATATAAATAATTAAATTTTTATCAAATATAAAAATTAAATTTATTTTTATATGTTAATCAAATCTAATCGAACAAGTTCGAATAATATAATTTTTATTTTGAAGCGAAATTCAATTAAAAAATAAAATTTAATCGAGTTTAAGTCGAATATCAAATATCAAATTTAGAGTCGAATTTAAATTTAAATTTAATATTGTATCAGTTCAAATTCATTTGATTACACTTTTACGTGAAAATAAAGAGTTTCTTTTCCTTTTTTCCCTCATTTCAACGTCTTAGTATTTTTACTGGCAGACTAAACTCTATTACCAAAAAGAAAATCCAGAAACTAAAAATTCTGTCAGGATTGAGTTTTAGAGGAAAAACATGAAATATAGATGGTAACCTCAACGTATGGTTGGCTAGAAATGAAGAAGATAAGCCGTACATTGAACTTGCGGGTTGGAAAATTTTCTCTTACCAATTATGTTAAACCTGGATAATTGAACAAATAGCACTAATCAGACGAGCATATGAAACATAAATGTTAGAAAAATGATCTCAATACGTAAATCACCTCATCTATTTCAGGAATGCTTTATAATTATATAGACAACGTATGGCTAGGGATTGCGAACTAGAGAGAAGCCATGTTCGGACATCAGCTTATACATACAGTATCTTGATCATCTTGATTTTCGAGGCGCTCAATGGACCAAATATGCATGTCTCTTAGATCTGAAGAGCAGCAGCTAGCTTGATTTATACCATAGATCGGAGATTTACATATTGGTATGACTATATCCTGCATATATATAGTAAAACTTTATTTTTAATTAGCGATTGCTGATGAATTTAGTCCTCAGCTCCCAAATGAAGTTAAGGCCATAAACACTTTGTTATCAGTTGCTGTTTTGAGCTGACTATAGCTCATGAATGTCTTCCACCATAGCGTCGCTGCCTCTGCTGATATGAAGTTAAAGCATCTACAAACTCATCCTTTCCAAAATCAGGCCAGAGTTCTTGTGCAAAGAAGAGCTCCGTGTATGCCAACTGCCACAATAAAAAGTTGCTGACTCTAAGTTCTCCACTGGTTCTGATGAACAAATCCGGGTTTGGAAACTCTGTACAGTTGGTTTCCAATTCTTGTTCAATTAGGCCTTCATCGATGTCTTCCAGTTGAATTTGCCCATCTTTTGCTTTCTTAGCAATGCTTCTGCATGCTTGTACAACATCATATTTCCCACTGTAACTAACTGCAACAATGAGTTGGAGCCTGGAGTTTTCTTTTGTTTCCTCCTCAACCTCATTGATCATATTCTGCAGTGATGTGGGAAGCTTTGATGAATCCCCGATCACAGATATTCGAATGCCTGCCCTGTTGAAACAAAAATTGTGATCAGATAATAAAAAAAAATGGGTAATTTGAAGCAATTGGTATCATGAAATTGGGCCATAATAACATTGTAACTAATAACTAATGTCTCCCTCATATATAATTATTAATTAATCATGTATCAACCAACTTTTCCTAATGAAATGATTTAGATATTGTATGTTCTAATTAAGCAATAAAAAGGAGTAATTGGTTAGTGTAAATATGCCAAAATCACAAGAGAGGGGTCACTGGCAATGGAGAGAGAATGATGGACTATACCTAGAAAAAGACTCCAGCTCTGACTTCAATGCTCTCTCAAACAAACTCAGCAAGAAATCAACCTCCACCTGCACTATTACTGCCCCCAAATTAATCAATCCAAATTAAAGCTCCCACATCTTAATCTTAATAATCAACATAATAAAATTATATTTCATCGTTAGTCACTCCATTTTGAGCAAAATTTTATTTGGATCTAAATTTTCATTTATCTCAAAAAAATCACTAAATTTTATAAATTATATCAAATTTAATCACTTTAATAGATTTTATTCAAAAAATTGAAGAACAAATTGATATGATAGCCACTTAAAAACTATCACGTCAAAAAAATCACCAAAAAAGCTTTTACCCTAATTCTAAATCATCAATATTCTTAAATGTTTAGCTCTTATTCCGACACGCTAAAACAACCCACTTAGGATTTCAAGGGCATGAGTGGGTAGGATATTTTTTATTTTTATCCTATCATCAATTTTTTATATTATATTCATTTATATATTTATATTTAACTAATATTTTAAATTTAAATTTATTTTTATCTTTATAAATATTTAATGAATACAATTAATTTTTATATTTATAACTTTAAAAAAATAAAAATTATTTTTTTATTTTTATATACATATTTACATAATTTGTTATAAACATATATTTTTAAATACAAATATATTAATTCTGATTAATTTAAAAAATTTTATATTATTCAATAAAAAATCAATTTATTAAATATATATATAATATTGATATGACATGAGTACTCTATTATCTATCCTCATATCTACATACGATAAAAAATTAAAATTATATCTATTTATGTCTCTATTTTTTAAACTTAATATCAATCTTCATTGATATTAAAATAAAAAATCACATTTTCCTTCAAATTTCGACAAAATTAACGTAACTAACCCTACAATTCCTAGCTCTGGTGCTGATGTGATCGCTTACTGACACCACAATTGGATTTGACATAGGTAACAAAATAGAATGATCTAATTGATATAAATTAAAATTTTGTGACTCAAATGAAATTTTGATAAAGTTTGGTAACTAATGGTACATGACAAAAATTAATTTTAGTTAAGTAAAAATGAAATTAGTATTTTTTTATTTTTATTTTTTAAAACATTTAAAACGTAATTAATTAATAATTACCTTAGGCCGAACCCAGTTCTCAGAAGAGAAGGCGAAGACAGTGAGAACCTGAATCCCCCAACGACAACACAGCTCGACGAGCTCCCTCAGCGATTTTACACCGGCTTCGTGCCCAGCCGAAGTCGGTAATCCCCGTTGACGAGCCCACCGACCGTTCCCATCCATGATCACTGCCACGTGCCTTGGAATCAAATCACTCCTCAGCCCCTCAGGCAGCGGCTCCTCCTCCTCTACAGTGAACTTATCTCCCACCTCAAAAAGCCTCCCATCCACTACATCCGTGGTAGCTGCTCGCAGCTTATAATCATATCGTTGGGGAAGAGAAAACCGAGAAGGAAACAGCAGGTCTGTTTGGTTCCCAGCGGTTGGAACTAAACCAGGCTTTGGTTTAGGCTTGGGAGAAGCCAAAGTACTCACGGTTGGAATACCGAAGCGCAAGGATAGCATTATCCTTAGTTAAGAATAGCCTTTAAAAATTTGAAGCCATTAGTTGTGAACTACAGTTGCGTTTTTGCCGCCACAGCCTCTTTCGAACAGAGAAGCAACTTCTTTGGTGGTATATAAAAAACGATAAGCCGTTGTGGGGACCGCGTGACGCCAAGAAAGATGCTGGAGGTGATTTGAAAGGACAGCGTTTATGAGCCACAATAACTAAATACATTGGGTTTTAAAATGTGGCTTTAATTTTTTTTTATACATGTTGATAATAGATTTTTAGATTTATTTTGGTTTTCTTTATTTGCGTACATTGCTTGAATTCTTAATTTCGCATCTGCCACTTAAATTTTTTTGGCTTTTTTTTGGAACTCACTAGAAGGGGACTTTACTAGTCAATAATACAAAAATAAGAAAAAGTTTCCGGTTTTGGCAAGTGGCAATAATGATTTTTTTGATGTAAACTTGGGGGATTTTTTGGTTCAAAAGGATAAATTGGTGATGAATAGATGTGAAATTGAAAATAATCTTCAGGTTGGAATTAGATATTTCAGTTTGGTGGATGGTAGTGAACAAATTTTTTTTAAAAAAAATAAGTCAAAAAATAAATAAATAATATATCCAACTCCTTTAAATTTATTTATTTATTTATTATATAAAAAGTTGATGAGAGTTGGGTTATTCTAGAACATGAAACTTACCTGTCTCCAACTCTGGAAATCTCTACTCCTAAAACGTATATTAAAAATAAATAAATAAATAAATAAAGAAACTCGATGCCAATGAACCTTGTTTTAGAGTAAAGAAAAAAATTATAAAATAATCTTGAGGTCTCAAATTCATATATGTTTCATAATGTGTGTAGGATTAATTTAATTTTATGTGAATTTTTTTCAAATGTGTACAGTTTCATTAATTTAAGCCGGATCTGCTGTTTGTAAACTTGAGCATAGACGTGTTGTGAACTCTGCATATTTCTTCTCTCCATCGTCTGGCAGCAAAATTCGTACTACATCTCAGGATATAGGGATATATTCCATCTTTGGACTCACCAAGTCGGGAAATTGTACATAAATATATAGTCATGATTTCATTCGACATTTGACTACTTTCCGAGCTGAATGGGATCCTAAGGTCATAAAATTTGATACGAAAGATTCCCTTGTTCCTTCTTGTGCAGGATCCATCAGGGTCTCCAGCAGTTGGTTAGGAAGCAAAACCTTGTGTACTGGAGTGGAGAAGTCCATTTTTGTAATCATATCGTTCTGTGATGATTTTTACAACACTGTCTGTTGAGCAATGAACGGGCTTGCCAGTCTTTTATTGACATCCGATCTTCTGTTGAAAAATACATTTGGAACAAAAGTATTTAATGAATCCAATTCCTGATTATACTACGTACTAATTACTAGAAGAAGAAAAGAAAATGGGTATTTTTGAAACTAGAAGGATTGTTTTCTGGTGACTGTTATGTAAACTTATTTGAAAGATTTATTTAAAATTTATTAGATATTATTTGATGAATAAAAAAATTTATAAAAGAAAAAATCTAAGAAAAAAGAAATTTTTAATAGATAAATTTATATATTTATAAATAGATAAAATCTTTATAATGTTAGATATGAAAAAAAGATATAAAAAAGTTGTGAGATTTTATGAGATAGACATCCCATAAAAATATTAAAGATTTACATCTTATGAGTGTATATTATCATAATATATAGATCCAAAAATCTATAACTAGACTTATCAAATAAATAAAGTCATCACCAATCTTTTTAACTAAGTGTGATTAGCCACCTTATGAATATATCATCTTACGGAGCTCTTAAACTTGACTAAGGGTCTCTAAAAGAATAGATTTGCATCTACAAACCAAAATAGGGTTTAAGAGTTTGATTACATGTGAAAAATGTTATAGCACCCTCACATACCTATCCAAAAAATTGTATCATTTTATTTTTAATTTATCCTAAAGTCTTAAGTCTAATGGTTTCAAATTTTTATGTTAAATATTGAAAATAATTTATAAGATTCTTCAATCAATCTGATAGAACTCTTAAAAATTATTTTCTTACTTCAAGAGTATTCAAGAATCCAATTTATTTTCTTGAAAAAGCTCTATCATCGAAAAAATATTTATTTATTATTATTCTTCTTTTTTTTATTGTCAAAAATATATCTAATTATTCTACTATTTGAGCCAAATTAAAAATATTTTTTTATCTTGAATTTCTAAATTTTTCACCATTAGAGCCTATTTAGAAAATTTTTTTATTTATTTATTAGATTTTTAAATTTTTTACCATTTAGGTCAATTTAAAAATTTTTTTCGAAATTTTTAAAATTTTCACCATTTGGATCTACTCAGAAAATTTTTTTTCTTTTTATTTTCAGAGAGAAAATAATATGATAATTATTTTTTAATTGAAATTTCATTTAAATTCTTTCACTATTTGAGACAAATTTAAAGAAATTTCTCACCTAGAGATTTTTTAAGAATTTATCGTTTGAAATTTCTAAGAATCTCATCATTAGATAATTGTCAAATATTTTCAACCAAAAAATTATTTTTTATTTTTTATTTTTTTGGATTGGAAATAAATATTAATTATTGTTATTAAAATTTTATCTAAATTATTCTACCATTTGGGATAAATTTAGACAAAATTTCTCTCCTAAAATTTTTTTAGAAATTTACCATTTGAAATTTCTATAAATTTCATCATTGAATAATTAATATTTATTCCTAAAATTTATTTTTATTATTTTATTATTTTTAAATTTTTTATTATTATTTTTTACAAAAAAGCTAAAATAATCAAATACATAAATAAATAATTAAAAAATACCAAAAAAATATAACGGCTCGGTTGAATAGCTTCAGCAAGATTCAACTTTAGAAATAAAGAGCGGCTCAGAAGTGTGGTTTAGGGCGTGGCTCGGCTCGATTCAACTATAAAAATCGATAATGACGTGGGTCGCAAAAGTGGGTTGACGTGCGAATTGAGTCACCTGCTAGAAAATGCATAGATCTTGGGATTTATTTAAACAACAAAATGACGTCATTTTGAGGCGATATAAAAGACAAAAAAAATTTTTTCCTTTTAGATTTCCCATCCCCTTCTCTCTCATCTTCCTTTTTCTTTCTTCTTTTCTCTTCTAACCCAAAAATTCGATTGAATATCTTACTGAAAAGTGGGAAACAACGTCGAAAACTGAAAAATGTCGCTGAAAATTTCAAGTTTGGCCAAAAATTTCGTCAGAATCTAAATTTTTCCAAAAATTCCAAAAAAAATTACCAAAAATTTTTAAAAAATCTTTAAAACTCTAAAATTGCTTCTACTCTTCTAAACACCCTTTTTTTTTCTTTTTTTTTCTCTATTTCTCTTTTCTATTTTTCTTTTGTTTTTATGTCAATTTATAAGACCTAGCAGAAGTGTTCCTGATTAACCAGGAATCCACCATTAACCAGACTTTTGTATTATCACAAAAACATCAAATTTATCTAATAGAAATCGAAACCAACTTCAACTTTGCCACCATCCACTCACGGCACTTTTTTTATTTTATTATTATTTTTTTATCACCTAAAAAACTAATAATAAATCTAATAAAATAAAAATACAAAAAACAGATGAATCAACAAAAACATAATGATTAATCATCAGCCCAATAAAACCAAAAAATAATAAAATAAAAGAATGGCCAATTGGGCCTGATAACCTAAGCCCTATTGAGCTGGGCCTAATGGGTTTGGGCTCAAACCAAGTGGGGTATCTACATATATGTTTAAATGTTTACGAGTAGACTAGATAAGATTGAGAGGATTCATTTATGTATGATGCATGTGAAAAGACTAGAGAAGACTGAGAGAGTCTACATAAGTGTGATGAATAAATGCACATGGGTTTATATTTATTTGGGTTAAAAATACTCCATAAGATTAGAGAAAATTGAGATGGTCTATGGATATTGATTGTTGAGTAGTTGATATGATTTGATGTATGTTTATAATTATCTGCAGTTAGTGAATTTTTTTCTCATCCGTGAACGTAAATCGATTAGATCCAACCACATTAAATTATTGTCTCTTGTATGATTGATTAATTATTTGATTATGCTTTCGTTAGCTTAATTGAATAAAGGTTTTTTGCTTAACAAGTGGTGTTAGAGTTGTGACAATTTTCAACAAGTAATATCAAAATTGTCGTAATCTTCAATAAGTGATATCAGAGCATAGTTTTAGCCATAAGAAAAAGCAAGTCCATAAGAGCTCAATTTAAAGAAAAAATTCAGATTCATGTTTTGAAGATTAATTTACTTGAAGCGTGAAGACATACAAAAAAAAATAATGGTGAGACTTTCATTGCAAGTAGAGCCAAGCATGTCTAATATGAAGATAAATGATTTGATGAATTTAAGTCAAGGTAGAGATTGTTGAGAATAATGACTCGAATCCCATAAGGGATTTATTTGAAATTTGTTAGATATTACTTGATGAACAATAAGACTTGCAAAAAAAAATTCTAAGATGAAATGTATTTTTAATAAGTAAGTTTGACTTACAAAAAAAATTCTAAAAGAAAATAGATTCTTAACAGGCAAATTTGTATGCTTATAAATATATAAAGTTTCTACAATATTAGGTATGAAGAAAAAAAATGTAAAAGAGTTGTAAGATTTTATGGGATAGACACACCACAGGATATTAGAGATTTATGTCTTATAGATATATATGTTTGAATATTTATAAGTGGATTAAAGAAGATTGAGAGACATAAGTATGGTGAATGGGAGATTTATGTTTTATGAATGTATATGTTTGAATGTTTGTGAGTAGACTAGATAAATTAAGAGGATTCACATAGGTATGGTGCATGTGAATGGATTAGAAGAGACTAAAAAGATCCACATAAGTGTGGTGAATGGGTGCGCATGGATATATATTTATTTGAGTTGAGAATACTCTATAAGATTAGAGAAAATTAAAAAAGCTTATGAATATTGATTGTTGAATGATTGATATGATTTGATGTATATTTATAATTCTTTACAACTAGTGAATATTTTTTTTTATCCATAGACATAGGTCGATTGGATCGAATTACATTAAATTGTTATCTTTTATGTGATTGATTAATTATTTAATTATACTTCCATTAGCTTGATTAGATAAGGGTTTTTTGCCTAAAAAAACTTTCTATCATGCAACTTGCTTAAAAGAATCTGTGCCTCTTATTATGCAGGAAAAATTTTCCTCTATCTTCTCTTCATGTTCCTTGCCTTCACCTACTATACCTTTTTATGGTTTGATGGCTGTTGGTCTCACACCTTCTCAGCAAATGACAGCTGTCGTCTCTTTCGCATTTTACTCTTTATGGAATCTCCTCCCAGGTTTTCTTATCTCAAAGCCGGTAAAGTAGTAAAATGCTCTCTGCATATTCTAATGCTGATCTCTTAAAATGAAGTTAATGATATTTCTCTAGATCTTTTCTATCTTCTTTAATAGGTCAAGATTCAAGAAGCATAGTTAGATCGGTAACTTGCTACAAGCCTTGGATGGGCAACTTGCTGAAAGTGCTTTTTTTTTTTTCTAATTTTCTCAGTTCTAAAAGCCTTTTTTTGGGTACAAGTTGACAAGTTGTTCAATAATGGGAAGGACATTGGGGCATTTATTGTTATAAAATATGTGATGATATCTAGGGAAACACTTTTTTACCCACCAAACCACAATCGAAACCATTGATATTGGCCAATAATTTTTGAAATACTTACTGGTATTGAAGTTTTGGCTAAAGAGCATCAAGCACCCCTCATGTACATGGTGATTTCACTTATCCCATTGGTTTTCTTTCATACTATGTCAAATATCTCAAAGCACATTGATTATATTTAAGAAGTTTTGAAGGGTTTTCATAGTGTTTAAGCTTTGTTTCTTTTCTTTCCATCCACTTGGTTATATGCTTCATAAGGTTGACACTTTCTGTTTGTTTATAATGGCTATAGGATGAGATGACCTATTTAGCCACTCCAATGCGTTTGACCAGCATACTTCTCTGATAAAAGTTGGCTGTGCCTATTTGAAATCCACCCATAGTGGGAGAGTGTTTATTCCTAAGAGTATTTGAAATCTACTCATTGCTTCAGCCCTTGTGGTTTCCAACCAAACCAACATTAACAATTTCCTTCTGCAATTGGACTGCAGAGAATTCCAGGATGGTGGATCTGATTCTACTATGTCTGCCCTGCTGCATGGACCTTAAAGGGTATTACCAGCTCTCAGCTTGGCCATGTGGAAACCACGATTGTTGAACCAACATTTCAAGGCACTGTGAAAGAGTATATACTTATTGTTTTTGGCATTGATCCTCGGATGATGGGGCTTTCAGTATTGTTAATGTAGCAGTAGTGTTGTGAACTTACCAGTCATTATTGTATCTGACCATCTTGATTACTGTCGAACTCGGGAATCATACCCCTGAAAATTGTTCTAGTACAGAAACCCATTTTCCCTCTCTTAGCTCTGTGAAGCTAATAATCTCAATTGCAACAAGTTTAGACCTGCTTTGATGGTTAGGTTATGAAAACAGGAAAACGAGGGAAACTTGTGTGGACATGACATCTACATTGTTTAATTTGCAAATGCAACTGTATGATCATAAATATCAATTAGTTTTATTTTCTTTAAGATCCAATTTGTGGTTATTTTCTCTATTGAAACGAAATTAAATGAGCTATGAGCCTCAAGCAAAGAAGCGAGTTGACAGTTAGAACTACCTCTTTTAAAATTAGAAATAAATAGACTTACCTTTTAATTGACTAAAAATTATTAACCACAGACTGATGCTTTATCCAAAAATTTTGATAATCAAAATTATCGATAAAAGAACCAAATCGGGTTGAGAAAGAAAAAGAAAAAAATTTTTATTAAGCATCTTCGCTCTTATTTTGATGACTTTATCAGAATTTTTTTTATCATATTAATTCTTAATTTATCTTCCCTGAGTTCATTGTCTGAGGGAATCCCGTATCATTTTAAAGCATTTCAGCAGATTCCTTCCCATTTCTGTATTTTATAATCTCGTTGGAAATCATATAAAGACAATTCCTATTTGAAATAGTTATTTGTGCAAGTATTTTACTATTAAGAAGCATGTGTTTCTAGTACATATCGTTTATTAATCTACTATAATCGATACTCCCAATCCGTGAATTATTGCATTTATCCGAGTGATCCAGATATGATAAAACGACGTCTAGGGAATCAACTTTTCATCTCTCATGAAATCAATCCAATACAGGATTGAATCGAGCGTGTTATATTTCATTGTAAAACCAAGCTGGTCAACTTTAGCTCGGGAACCCAACAATTTTCCAGGACACCGAAACAAAAGGTCCAAGAACTGCCAATTGGCCAAATCTTTCATCTTTGTCTGATGCAGATTTTCCGTCATCACAATTTCTTCCCATACTTTTTCCTTTTCTCGCATGGCTGTTGTAAGCCGAAAATCTTCCAAAAACATGTTTTCAGGCGCTGTAACTCCAAATTTCTCGCCAAGAGTTGGCCATATCTGCTTCCAAGTAAAACTCGAACCATTAATTGCGTTGAACGCCTGGCCATCAGTGGAAGTTATTTCATCAGTTGTGGCTGCCCAAATTTGCTGTTCAGCTACTAGCCTAGCATCAGAACCATCAATATAGCTTTCTTCCCAGCACTCCCTTGTCCCTCCAAACACAAAAGGGAGGTTTAAATGTTTACAGGTAGCACCATAAACACATAAAGTTCCTATGAAATTATAGAAAGTCCTATGAGAAGCACCAATTAACAAGCCAGGCCTATGAACAGACCACGCCACCTTACCAGCCAGCGTCTCATGGAGCAAATCTTCCAGGACATAGTAAAAGTTGTGGCTCCCATTCCCTCTCGGCCATTCTTCATCAAAAAGAATTGTTTTCCCATTCACAGGTACATAATTACTCATCCCAGTTTGAAGAGAAAAATGCTTCAATCCCTTTGCTATAGGAAGGATGGCGCTCAAGGCATTGCACATCATGGTCTTGTTCTGCTCACAACTCTCTGGACTATCCAGAGGATGCTGGCTTGCCCAAGTGATCCAGAACATATGAGTCACATCCTGTAATACAGAGAGCTTCTGCTTGGTGTCGACAGGATCTAACAGGTCACAGGATATGAAATGGTAGCTGGAACTTTTGATTGGTTTGATCTCAGGATTTCGAGCTACCCCATAGACCTTCCACTTGGATTTTGAAATTAGCCTTTTGGATAGCTCTTTTCCAACAAGCCCAGTAACCCCAAAGATAATGGCAACATTGTTACCGGCAGCTTGTGCTTTTGTATTGCATTCCCTGTCTGCCATTACTTCTAACTTGGATAGTTTGGCTCTGTCTAAACTTTGAACAATCTTTATAGAAACAAATGCACCTATCAAGATGTTGGATTTTTTCAAAATGGGTGTGGAACAATCCCCCGTTGGATGGCAATTAAAGGAAAAACAGTCGTTCCACCTATGCAAGTTGCCTGCATCTTAACTCTTACTATGACTTGATTACCTTAAAGAAGTCTTTTAATGATTTTAAATAAAAAAACCTTCTTAGGCCGGTTGTGTAGATGTAATGAAATACAAGGTCTAGGGTTAAATCCCATTAAAGGAATTAAAGCAGTTTTTATAGTTAATAATTGGATTGTTATTATTTTTTATGAATAAAAAATGGTGAGAAAATGAAAATCATGTTTCACTTGATTGTAATGAATTTTGTCGAAATTGATTTATGCGATCACTTTTAAAGATAATATTAAATAAATTTAAAATTCAAGTCATAACTTTTATAATTTTTTTATATCCCTAAACTATCATTTCTTTTATAAAAAAAAAAAATGAAAATCATGCTTCGAGAAAACAGGAAGCCCTTTTCTTCTTTTGAGGGAGGATTTGGCCTGCATATAAAGTTAACATTTTGGATTATAATATGCAGCTAGTTTTTATGGATATAAGAAAATTCCAAAGCTATTCTCTTACTTTTTAAGTTAAAGCATGCTTTATTATTGAGATTTGACTATGTTTTTTTTAGTGATTGGCATGTTCTTGCGGCGTCAGTCAAAGCTTTGTAATAGCTTGTCTGCCGGAAAGATTGTAACCTTGGCCGATTCTATGCTGGCATCTTGGATACAACAAGAAGTTTAAAATATATATATATATATATATATATATATATTGGCTTTAATAGTATCCAAGTTTGCTTGTCAATGGTCAAAGCAGTTATTCAGGACCAAATTTCCTTGATGGCCACAGTTTAATAAGGCAAATTAAAGAACACAGTTTCTTTTTTTTTTTTCCTCTTTTTTTTACTAAATTTCTATCTTTACTTCTCGAAAAGAATAGGAGACAAAGGGTAATTTGATTATTATGAGTTTATATTTGATATATTAAATCATAAGTTATCAAAATTTTGAAAGATAAGAAATTCTTAAAAATAAGTTGAAGTTAATTTTCTTAGGTTAAAAAACTTCAATCCAACCACACCAACGAAAGTAAAATAAAATAATCAATCATATAAAAGATAATAATTTAACGAAGTTTAATCTAATTGATCTATATCTACGGATGAGAAAAAAGATGTACTAATTGTAAAGAATTACATCAAAATAATCATTCACAATTAATACCCATAAATCCTATCAATCTCCTCTAATCCTATGAAGTATTTTCAACTCAAACAAACATATATATTCATATGTACCTTTTCAACATAAATAAACACATACACATATGTATCTATTTATCATACCTATATAGACCCTTTCAATCTCTTCTAGTCCATTCTCATATACCATATCTATGTGAACTTTCTTAGTCTCCTCTAGTCTACTCACAAACATACAAATATACACATTCATAAGACATAAATCTCCAATACTCTTGTAGAGTATCTATCCCATAAAACCTTACAACTCTCTTACATCTTTTTCTCATACTTAATCTTATAGATATTTCATTTATTTATAAGCATACAAACTTGCCTATTAAGAATCAATTTTTCTTAGAATTCTTCTTTTACAAGTCACACTTGCCTATTAAGAATCTTTTTTCTCTTAAAATTTTTCTTTTATAAATCTTTTTATCCATCAAGCAATATTTAACAATCTCAAATAAATCTGTTATAAGAATTTAGTTACTATTCTTAATAATCTCTACCTTGACAAATTCTATCAAATTATCTGTCTTTATGCTAAATATGCTTAGCTCCACCTGCAATAAAAGTCTCACAATCATCTTCTTTTATGTGTCTTCATGTTTTATACAAACTGATCTTCAAAACATGAACTCGAACTTCTTTTTTGAGTCGAGCTCCTCTAGACTTACATCTTTCCATGGCTCAAACTTTCAGCTCTTCTCATGTTTCGAACTTTCAATTTCGATACCACTTGTTAGGAAATCAACATAGCCTGATACCACCGGTTAGGCTAAAAAGCTTCAATCCAATCACATCAGTAAAAGTGAAATCAAATAATCAATTAAACAAGATATAACAATTTAACGTAGTTTGATCAAATTGAGCTACGTCCACGGATGAAAAAAAAAGATCTACTAGTTATTGAGAATTACATCAAAACAATCATTCACAATTAATACTCATAGACCCTCTCAATTTCTTCTAGTCTTATAAAATATTTTCAACTCAAATAAATACATACCCATATATACCTATTTATCATACCTATATGGACCCTAAATCTCCTTTAGTCTACTCCTATGCACCATACTTATGTGAATTTTTTCAGTCTCCTTTAGTCTATTCATAAACATACAAACATACACACCTATAAGATGTAAATATCTAATAAGATCTATCCCATAAAATCTTATAACTTTCTTATATATTTTTTCTCATATCTAACTTTATAAAGACTTCACATATTTATAAGCATACAAACTTACTTATTAAAAATTTATTTCCTCTTAAAATTCTTCTTTTGCAAATCAAACTTCCCTATTAAAAATTTATTTTCTCTTAGAATTCTTTTCTGTAAGTTTTATTGTCCATCAAGTAATATCTAACTAATTCCAAACAAATCTGTTATAAGATTTGAATAACTATTTTTAACAAACTTTTATTACTTACATTTTAAAATTTTAAAATTTTTAATTTTTTAATATTTATTTATTAATGATATGATAATTTGTATGTTTTACACTATCAAAACTTAACGCTTAAATTAATATCGATCAAAACTTAATGTTTAACATGTAAAACAAATCTGTTATAAGATATGAATAATTATTTCTAACAAACTTTTATTATTTACATTTTAAAATTTTAATTTTTTAATATTTATTTATTAATGATATTATAATTTGTATGTTTTACACGGTCAAAACTTAACGCTTAAATTAATATCGCTCAAATAAAGGATGACTATGAGGATGATGTTGTTATAGTGTTGTAGTCAAGTGCTAAGTATTCCTGTTTATCACGTTGGCAATCTGGGTTCAATCCCTGACAATAGTATTTTTATTATTAAAAAAAAAAAAAAACCAAATATGAGGACGACTGCATTGTAATTGAATATTGTTAACTTGATTATAAAGAAATTGGATAGTATAGCACATGTGTTGGCATTACTAAAATCATAAGATTCTATAGTTAAATTAGATAGGAAACCTCAATTTAAAGATTCCATGGTCGAACCGTGAGAATAAGGAAATTAGATGTATATTATCACAAAAAAAATACTACCACTCATTATAGAGTTTGACATTTATATTTTATATAAAAAAGTTGGTAATATAAAAGACGAAAAAAATGGAAAAGTGTTAAGATTTAAATATACAGGAAATACTACTATAAGTTAATTGTCATCTGAATTTAGTCCGGAAATGTTTAAAATGATCATGTTAATTGTTGAGATGTTAGAGAAGAAGGTTACAACAGGCTGGAATGATGGGTGGTATGTTACTCCAAGTTGATGGGTTTTCTCTCCAAGTTTAATTGGAGAAACTATAAGCTGCATTATCATTTTAGTTGGAAATGACATAAAGAAGTGAATGGAGACAAGGGGAATCATGTGTTTGGCTTGGGGAGACCATGCCCACAATTGCCAATACTTTTGTTTATGAAACTGTTTTTTAAAGTTTAAACACAAACAACTAGAAGGCATGAATGAAGATGTGAGTAAGCCGCCATGTGTCAAGGGCAATTATGAAGACATCAAAGCTTAAAAAAATAAAATGTTGGAGCAAAATATATAACAAAGGAAGGTCAATTATTGCCTCCATTCATTAATGTCACATTTAAAGAAAGAAAAAAAATTAAAATTAAAAATTATGTATTGTTTTTTCCTCTTTAGGAAAACAATTAATTAAAATTAGATGAAGTGTGAGAGAGAGGAATTGAATTTTCCAAATGTCTGTTAGAAGTCAAAGAAAGAAAAGTGCTATGTCAGGCCAATGTTTTAAACGATTTTTTTTTTTTTTAATTTGATGAAAGTAATATATTAAATATAAACTTTTTAAATAATATTTTAATTATTTTTATCAAATACTTATGAACACGGCCACTCTTTAATCAAATCTATATATTAATTCATTTTGTAATTTGAAATTGGGCAAAAATAGAGGTTTTTGATCAAAGTAAATAAATAAATCTGTTTGGTAAAGAGGACAAGGCCATACATGAATTAACACCAAGGGGTTAATTAATTACAATAAAACATAAAGTTTCCCAAAAAAAAAAAAAATTTGGTTACAAGTTTCAAGAATCTTGATTTTTGTACACCTCACCTAAAATAATATATAGTTTTTTTTAGAAAAATAATATATAGTATATATATGTTCATAAAAATTGAAATAGTTAATTAATGTACATGTAAATTTTGTCAATCCCCTGGTACATCTTGGGTATAAAAATAAATTATTCTAGTGTTCAGTAAACAAATCTTATAACATATAATTTATTTTTAAAATAAATTAGATAATACATAACCTGAGCTTAAATCTGACTGTTTTCCAAACTTTGGTTATCCTTTATAGAAGAAAAAAAAAGAAAAGAGATGCAAATAAAAAAATAATCCCCTAACTTGGTTTGGAACAAGAGGAAGGGTAGCTTTCTAGAGCCCACTTACAAGCATGGGTCGTAAGGCCCATCTTATCTTTCCTCTAATTTCCCTTCTTTTCTCGAGACAAATTCAAAGGTTTAAAGGAAATTATTAAAAAAATTTTAAATTTCACATGTGAAACGAATAAAAGTGATACATATCTTTTAGATTATATTATAAAAATATAATATGTGTTAATTTTTTAATTCTATTTGTGTAATTAAAAACTCCATTAACAACATAAAAAATCATTTCTTAAGTTTTAAAAAGAACTTTTTAATGAGTTATATTTTTATAATATGATAAGATATATTTTTGAATTTAATTTTTTCTTTAAATAATTTTACAAACATATTTTCTCAGATGCATACTTTTGAATGATTTTAGTGATAAGGAGACATTAACTAATTAACTAATTATATTTTAAATTTTATAATATGAAAATTTTACATTTGAATTTTTTGGTTATAAAAATTATAAATGAGTAAATTAATAAATATACTTGTCACCAGTGGAATATGAAGATTCAACAAGTTGGAACTGTGGAGTGTGGAAGATATTTTTATTACTACTATATATATATATATTTAACTATTTTTTATTTTATAATTAAATATTATTTTTCATTTACTATTCAATCAAAACTAATGTAAACGACCAACTAACATTAAAGATGGAGGATTTAATCAAAATAGAGTAAGAGCATCATGAAAAAAAAATAGTAGTAATAATTCCGTTTAAATTTTTAATTAATAAAATAAACTCTGATCTGGAAGGTTTTTCTTATTAGCTGATTATTATTTATTACATCACCTCAAGTAAATGGCATTTAATCATTTATCTCAGCTTTAGCAGCATAAAATTGATGGCATAAACCAAGTACATGTCAATGAACAGCTAGAGATTAAAAATCAGAGACAAAAACCTTATTAAGGAATCACAGGAACAGAGTTCATTTACAAACATTTTTCAAAGGAGAAGTAGGGTTTCTTCTCATATATTAACTTGAAAATGGCCTCAACTTTTGTCTTGTCTGTAACACTCTTCTCGGAAGGGTCCTCTTTTTATCAAAATGGAAATCAAACATCTTTCAAGGTTTGGGACAATGGAAGATTGCAATTTTTTGGCCCTTGACTTGGGGTAGAAAACCCCGAAAAGGTGGTCCAGCCGGCTAGGCTGAGGATCCAGATGATGGTTTGAGTGCTCCCAGGTTGACATTAGTATGATCTAACAAGCAAATTTTGCAATTAATTAGTGTTTACTAATTAACGAGAAAAAAAAAAGGACACCAAGAGAAAGGGCATCGGAATGTAGCTGGGGTACACTTTTACTTACCCAACGGTGCTGGAATTTTATGAACAAAAAAGCATGCAGCAATGGCTGTGTAACAAAGGCAAAGAACTACTCCTTTCATGTAATGTGATGTTCCATCCTGAAAAATAATTAAGAGAATGAATATTTATTTTACATATAACATATAAATCAAGCTATAATTAATTTTAACATGTCATGGAAAAAGCAAGAGGGATAGATTATACTAAACCTGTAAAGTGAAGGCTACAATAATTATTGTCAAGGCTAAACATCCAGTTTCGAGAAGACTGAAATCAAGATCCATTTGGATTCTCATTATCCAGCCAACTATAACACATAAGGGAACCTGAAATGTGTAGATAATTATTTGGTTAGAATTCCATGAAATATTAATTTGTTGAAGACAACTTATCAAAGCTGTTTCAGGGCTTTCTAAATCTTACAGCAAACATAGAAATTTGAGTTGCAGAACCCAAGGCAACACCCAGAGATATGTCCTGAAACAGGTCCCAAAATTTACACTGTTAAGTAAAAATATAAATGAGAATAAAATTAATATAAATAAGATTTATTCATGTACCTACCAACTTATTCTTGAAAGCAAATATGATTGCTCCAGCATGTTCGGCAGCATTCCCCACAATAGGGATCAAAATTATGCTGATAAAGTTAACAGAAATGCCCCAAGATTCTGATGCAGCCTGTTTAAGACATGATATATATTTTACAATCCATCAGAATTTACAGGCTGCAATTTACAAGTAAAACTGAAAGTACTTAATTTTGTACCTCAATTGTGCCCACCACATACTCAGATAACAAAGCTATGATTAGTGTCATACCAACCAACCAGCTAAATGCACTCCAAAACCCTATCACTGCCTTTTCTTCATCTTCATCTTCCTGCCATCCATTGATCAATTAGTCTCTAGCTAGGGCTTATTAGTCAGGACATGATAATTGCTTGCTTTAATTAAGTTTCATTTTTTGGGTTCAGTTTTTCACTTTAAAAAATGGATTGAACTTTTAACTCAACCCAAAATCAATTTGGGAATTGGGTTTTTACTTCACCTTTCAACTTTTATGGAAAGGAAGTAACTTCCTTTTATGGGTTTCCAAATGGTTGTACTTGTCATTAGTGTCAAGAACCGTTTCTTCTTTATTTTTTTTTTCTCTTTTTAAAAAGTTTTCTGTACTTCTTAACTATAGACATTTCGTTGCACAATAGAGAACTCGAGAACCTCATGCATGCAAAGACACGGGACAGCTACTTAAAAGAAAACATTCTTTTTTTATTTCCCATTTATGAAGCTTTGTTTTCTTAGAAATAATCACCTCTTGAGACTCGAAAATCTGCCTATGAGTTTTAAGCTGGAAGAAGATATATCCAAAATAAGCTATTAGCATAACGATGCTACTTGCTCTTGACAGCTGAAGAGTAGAGTCAGCAATGAAAATGCCTGGCGTTGCCGCATATCTAAACATCAATGGTAACATGTGGCAAAGCAATCCCAGCAACAACAGGAGAGAGTTTACATCTGCCTGTTTCTGTATTAATTAATAAATAAATAAATAAATAAATTGTCAGAATATAAGCTTTCCCAAACTTCCTTCTATAGAAAAAAAAAATTTGTTTAATGTCTCACTCTATCATATCTTTGCTCCTTTTTGATGTTGGCAAAGCCCCCACAAAGGAGAGAGGTGCCAAGAACAAGAAGAAGGTTTGAGAGAATGGAACCCAAGAGAGAGTACTTGAGAACATGTATTTTGCTTTGGTAGAGAGCAAATAAAGCTATTATTAGCTCTGTTGCATTACCACAAGTTGCATTCAGGAGTCCTCCAACTGCAAAATTCAACCCCCTCTCATCGTTTTCGATTCTCACTCTTAAATTCAGCATTTAAAAGGATTGTCGTAATGTGTGGAAATGTAAAATTACCTGTTGGACCGGTGTAATATGCAATTTGTCTGAATTTTAATGAAAAAAAAAAACTTATCAGAAATCTTTCACATAAAAAGATACAGATTCGAGGAATAAAGTACACATGAAACTTACTCAGTGAGGAAGCTAACACGCTCAGCAAGTGGGGTAAGTCCAAGCAAACTCAAAGCAAATATCCAAGGCTATTTGCCACCATAATTACGATAGTCATTAGCATTTAAAAAGAACCCATTTTTTAATTATCATTTGAGAGAAATATGATAAAGAAAAAAGACTATCCAAGAAGATGGTTATTCAGTACTTACTCTTCCAAACTTATAGAAATCAGCCGCAATGGCTAAAGGGATGGCAGGGAAGAGAACAGCAAGTTTAGTACCAAAGATGACCTCTTGCAAATTGGCTAAAAACTGTCTAAGCATATGAAACCGAACTTTTGAAACCAGCATTGGATCGGATTTCTTCCTCATAAGCGAAGTGGACATGTTTTGAGCTGTTCTAATTCCATTATTCCATGATTCTTTGCTCATCAAGTCCTTATTAGACTCTCCATTCTCCATGTGAGAAAGCTCCCCAGCAACAGACTCCATTGATGCAACAATATTATGAAGAACAATGAAGTGCAAAATCAAGCAAAGTGGAGGAGGTTTTGGCTGTGTTTTTATATGCAGGTGGTTATATATATAGGGACAAGGCTAAAAAAAAAATTGTATTTGCAATTAACGTTGAAAGAGTCGAGGTACCGTTTCATGTTTGCCTTGTGCAGCTTCCTGGAATTTTCCCACCCTTTTGTTTTCATTCTTGCATGAGCTTTTAGCCTTCCACGTACTCGTTACATACATACGAAGTGTCTACATATCTATTAGAATTAATAGTTCTGCACCTCTTGGTAGAAATCTAATTTGGCAGCATTACAATTTACAAACAAATTATTAACACTGGAAAACTAAAAAAAAAAAAAAGGAAAAAAATACGTATTTGTCATGTATTCTTAATTTTGAGAGAGAAAGGAAAAGAAGGATGTAATTTTATAATATAATTGTAAAATGAAAAAAGAGTTAAAGATGCCAAATTAGGCTCTCTGATCCAGTACTTGCTAATACTGTTTTGTATTATAGCGAGGCTTCCCTTCCCAAAGCTCTGATCCACTCTCGAACTTTGCTTCGAGAACACCCCACGTCTCCCCCAAACCCCTGGCTCATGCATGCAAGACCGTTGAGACGTTTAAAACACGGTGCATTATATCACAAGTTTTGCTTATTATAGAAAACCTAGCTATTTTATTAACCTAGAAAAATATTTTATTAACCTAGGTTTATATTAAAAATTCGGATTAATTTAAATGGACTAATTCTTTTATATTCATTTTAATCCGATATCATATTTAGCTTTTAGGATCTACAAGTAAATTTAAATTAAATTGAGTTTAAGATTTAGTATTTGCTCTTGAATTAAATTTAAACATAAAAAAATTTAAAAAATGATTTGATTCGAATAGGATAAACTTTTTAATAAAACTGGACTGTTTTTTTATTGATCTAAAATTCTTTTAGGATTGGAATTGAATCCCATATAAGCAACCTTAAATCAACACAACAGAATCAATCCAACACGATAATCTCATCAGCAAATATACAAAAGCATTAAAAAATAAATAATAATAATGTAAAATATTGTTCTGTATCATAACGTGGGTTCCCTTCCCAAGGCTCTGATCCAGTCTCAACTTTGCTTCAAGAATACCCCACGTCTCCCCCATGCAAGACCGTTGAGAAGTTTAAAACACGATGCATTATATCACAAGTTACGTTTAACATATACATAATCTCATTTTGCTCGAGGTTTATTTCGAAATTTTAAATTAATATTAAATTGACTAATTTATTTAAATTTATTTTAATTCGGGTTTGTGGTCAAATCTGACTCTCGTGATCTACAAGTAAATATTAATTAAATTGAGTTTAAGATTTACCTTTTTATTTTAGGCTCCAGATTTGTCTTTTGGACTTTGAATTACTCTGGGACCCAAGATTTATTAAATTAACAAATCTATCTTTAATTAATTATTTTTATTGTAAATAATTAAAATATATTGATTATTATTATATATATATCTGTTTCCATATTGGTATAGGGTTAATATTAAAGTACAATGTCACCTAATTGATTATAATTTCCTGATTAAATTTTTTTCTTATGGAATTTTTTATTTTAATAATTTTATAATATTTCTTATTATGAAATTATTTATTATAATAAATATATATGTTAGGTTTGTTAGTTTATTTAAGTTGAAACTAAAATCACGTCAAAGTTGAACTTTTAACAAAGGACCTTCAAAAAAATTGCTAATTGAATTTAAAAGGTGTTTTAAATTTCATTTTATGTAGTTAAATAATTATTTTAGTTTCTATATAAAAAAGAAATCAATGTAGAAAATTATCTTTAGTTAGACAAGCTAATGAACATTTTTAAAAGTAGTTGATTATGCAATATGAACTCTATAAAGACAAAAGAAAGTATATGCTCCAACTCCAAAAGTTACCATGATAGATATTAATTTGAAAATTTTCTTGAACTATGAATTATAAAGCTTTTACATATGCTTGTAAAAATCATTGATAAATGCAAATTTTTAATGAAACTCATTTTGATATAAGTATTTCCATATTGATAAATGCAAAATCATTTTTTTTTCTATAATATTCTCCATGACTAATAAAATATGAGCAGAAACAATGGGACAATGGGACAATGGGACAAAGAGAGATATACTAAAATGCCCCTAATGTCAATACTTCAAAACTATCCATTTGTTAAATAACATTTTCGATTACGATTGTAACTTTTTTTTACTTGTAACTTCTTGAAAAAAAAATCCAATTATTAAAAAATCATAATCTCCCATACCATGATGATTGATGACCAAACAAATGTTAGACAATTAATTTCATGATGAGGCCATTTATCATGAGGCTATTATGAGTATTAGAATTTGACTACAATCCAATTGGATTCTCAACAATATTGATTATTCAAATTTTAAAAAAAAATTAAAAAGATTATTGCAACTCAAATAAAAAATTTTCTATAGTTAAATCTTGGATATTTCTCTCTCACAAATTCTAATCTCAAGGTCGTGAAAAAAGAGGAATAAAACATTAGGAAACCACTCAAAGTTCTTGTGCTTTAGGGGTATGAAGGAACTCCTCGGAAAAAAATATATGTATTTATCAGTGGGTTCATAATTGTAAAACATTATATATAGATGAATATCGATCCCAAATGATGATGAACGTTGGAGACTGCAAGAATACCATGATAATATGAACATGGGAGCACGTAAAACAGCTTCCTTCCTCTCCACATGTTAAGGTGGTAAGGCAAGTCTTGACGTGGAAATGATCCAGTACTGCTGTGTAGATGATAGCTAAAAGGGATCGAGCAGCAACATCCGTAAACATTAAAAGGTCAGAACCTTCCTCGTATCTTCATAGCTTCCATTGCAAAGAATCAAACGGTTTTGTATCATTTTTACTTCCTTAGTTTGATCAAAACCAAATGATAAAAATGACAAATTTAAAAAGTATACATATATGTACGTACTGCCATTTTGATCGCTATTATATTTTTGCAAGGAAGAAAGTTGTTGGACGAAATTTCCTCACTGTTTTCTTTGATAGAGCTAGTTAGTTAATTTGCTTATAACACTTGGTAGCAAGGCAAGTGAAGAGTAGATTTTTGCATATAGTTTAGCTCAAATTACTTGTACTTGTAGGTAATGAATGATCGATATTTGTGCAATTGTGCACATCTTTGAGGTCTTCTACATGGATAAGATTATTATCTATCTCAATCTATGATATAGTTAATGTTTTTTTTTTTTATTATTTTACATATTCAATGTGCTTATGGTATAGACATTAGATTTTGAGTATCATCATGATATTGATATCGACTGTAATATCTTTGAATTGATCATGTATTTTGATATATAATATTTTTTTTATGAAAAAAATTTATAGTTGTATACATTCAAGAGTTGGAATAAGTGAATTGAATTAAAGGATAATAGAGAATTATTTTTTGTCATATTAGTGGATAAAAAGAATTTAATGACTATTGTTTGATATCATAAAAATTATATAAATGGCATAAAAAAAAAACTTTATTTAGCTCAACAATGTTTTATTTAGACTTGTCTTTGTAATTGGAAAATTTGAGTTTTGGTAAGTATAGAAAATTCATCTTGCTCAAAAATGTTATAGCGTGTGTACATATATATATGCTTTTTTATTAAAAGAAAATATATTTGAGAAAATTATTGTAAATTATCTTAATTACCTACCATCTTATGAAAAGGAAAAAAGAAGACAAACATATTGGATTCTACATACCACTTATATTTTTTTTGGTTTTCTTATTGTTCACCTAATTTTATGTAGTTTTAATGCCATTATTGAAATTTAACAAATGCATTACTAAACTTTTGGGTAAAGATAAAATAGAAGGAAATTTCCCTTTAGGTTTTATTGGACAAGCCACCTTCAAGTTGCTTTCATGGTTCAACAAGTACAAGCTTGGATTATTTTGGCTTGTGGTTTGTGATAGGTAATGACGATTTCAATGAAACCTAGATACAAAGATTTTTGTTTAATTATCCTTTCTTTTACATTTAACAAATCATATAAATCTAAATTGTACAAATGTAGACATGTAGTTTGACTCCAAACTTTATTACGAAAGTTGCCATTGTCATCTTTTATGAAAGTGACAACACTATGTACTTGGATAGAAAAAAGTCCCCTAATAAATTGAACCGAAAAAAATTATTTCTTTCTTAACATGAAGATTAATCAAAAGATCATTTCTATCTTAACATGAAGGTTAATCAAGAGTTATTGGAGGGGAAGTGACTTCAAGTACATCCATTTGGTAATTTATATGTGTATATATCTATATATATATATAGAGAGAGAGAGAGAGAGGAGAGAGAGAAACTATATTAGGGTATTTTAATATTATGATAAATAAAAAAATATATGATAATATTTTAATTTCGTTTATAACATTTAAAATTTTATTAACAATATATAAAACAATAATATATAATTTATGAGTATCTTTTATTTCTGTAATCAAATTTGAAGCATTTAAAAAGTAAGCATGAATATATATATATATATATATATATATATAAAATCTAGATTATGTACTAGCCAATGAAGATGAGATTTCAATTCCACAATGTAAAGGCAACCTAGTTACTACTTGCTAGTTCAATCATATTTGATGCCTAGTTTATTTTGTTACTTGAACATACAAGAAAATGAAAATCAAAGGCTCGAAGTGTAATTTACTTTAAAAGTTTCCCTAAAAAGAAATATGGTAAAAGAATAAGGACTAAGATGACAAATTATGAAATTCTAGGAATAGAAGTTTCAAGAAAAAAACCAAAAACAAAACCAGACTTAAGATTAGCAAAACCGCCCAAACCGGTACAGGAAAGAGCGCCAGGCAACAGAAAAAAAAAAAAAGGATTCAAACCGTAAAAGGATGTCGGAGAAATTGGCTCCTGAAAAACGACATAGTTTCCTTCACAACGGTTTTCCTCTCATTCCCTGTCTTAACATTTCAATGTTCTTCTGTTTGATGTTCGTGATTTTGAATTTTTATTGTAATTTTCTTTTCATTTTGTTTTCAGATGAAAAGGTGTTTGAATGGGATCAAACCTTGGAAGAGGTAAATATTTACATAAATTTACCGCCGAATGTTCACTCCAAGCAGTTTTACTGTAAGATTCAGTCCAAACATGTCGAAGTTGGAATCAAAGGCAACCCTCCTTATCTCAATGTTAGTCTCTTTTTTTTTTTTAATTTAATTTATCATTTATTTTTAAAATTTGACGTTATTTGTATTTTTTATATTTTCAATAATTCTTTCCTTTTTTGGGTATTTTTCAGCATGATTTGTTCTGCCCGGTGAAGACGGATTCATCTTTCTGGACGCTCGGTATTTCTTGTTTTCTTTTTCTGGAAACTATTGTTTGGTTTAATTATGTTGTTTTAGGCTGAATTCATGATTAGAATGATGGATTACTATTTAGATTCTTTGTTTTTGGATAATTGAGTTGGGAAAGTTTGGTTTTTTGGAGTTGAGATAAAATGGGGTGTTTTAATGTGGCCAGAGGATGATATAATGCACATAACATTGCAAAAGAGGGACAAGGGTCAGACGTGGTCATCACCTATACTAGGTCAGGGTCAGCTGGACCCTTATTCCACTGATCTCGAGCAGAAGCGCCTCATGCTTCAGAGGTTTCAAGAAGAGGTGAATCATGTGTTTCCCTCTTAAACTTACGTACTCTAAATGTTATGATATCCATTTTCAATTCATTCGTGTGGTGAATGATTCTATTGTTACAATATCATTGTCATTTTTTATGCTATTGCTAAACTTAATGTGCTCACCTTATTCTTTCTTAAGGTCCACTTGTTCTTTTGTGATGGTGGTTAAAAGTTGTTCACACAGACACACACCTATGCCTTGACAAAAGATTTGTTTTTTCGTTCCTGTCTCTGTGTGAACCGTATTTATTTTCATTATAACTTTCAGGCTTTCTCTCCAAGTAAGATATTCGTTAGATGTTTTTCATTTTAGCAAGCCATATTACCATATGTAGCTTTATATTGTTTCATTTTTGTATTTCTTTCATGTTGATTCCATAGTTTTTTGAGATTGTCCTGCAATTGCTGTGTCAATTACATGCATTAGTTCTTTGAATGCATACTTGTTAGTTGTTACTTTGTAATGCGTCTATATTCATATTTGTGCCATAGTAACAAGTACTATTATGGGAAAAACTTCTGAAGAAAAATATCTTCAGTATTTGACAATGTAATATGCATTTATAACTTAAATCCCACATTAACTAATGCTTGATCCTCATATGTTTCACATGGGTGAATTCTACTCATCTATTATAATTATAGACTTTGAAATTTACGTTTCTCTAGAAGTATGAAATCTTAAGTCTTACTTTTCTCTAAATTGGTGAGGAATGATCTCACTAGAAGCATCTATTATTTTTACTCCTATGAAGGGATTTAAATTGCGGTAGCGGTCACGTTTTCGGTCGCGTTACGTTTGTCACAGTTGCGGATATAATAGAGACCTTCACGGTTATTGCGACTATCACAGTCATGAATTTTTTTAAATTTTGCTCAATTAGCTATAAAATATAATAATTTTAATTATTAATCATAAAACCTCTTATTTTATGATTTTTAAAGTAATTTATATCATATCATGTGTTTTATTTATTTAAGAAAAAATATTTGTAGTAAAATATTCATATTTAAAAAATTATTCATATGATAATTAGCAAATAACAAGAGATAAATAAACATGTGAAAAATAAATAATCATAACGAATGATATATTTAATTATTTAATTACCGTACTCATCAAATTATTACCGAACTATAATATTCATAAATCAAATAATAAGTGATTAGATATCCATAAATTAAGTAAGAGCATTACTATTTATGAGCCAAGAGAATTGTTTTTTATGAGCTTACAGTAAATCAAACTTGGCAGTCTCCATATTGTGGGCAATCTTCAACAACAATAGCCTCAAGTCTACTTCCTTTGCTTCTTAACTAAATTGTACAGACCCACACAACTTTTCATCCCCTCACCTTGCATTCATAATTTTTTTCTCCAAACCTTCATCCTCATCTCTCAGTTCTTTTTTATTCTGGTGTGTGCTATCTGCTCGTCTCCGTCAATCTCAAGTCTCACTCTCATCTCTTGTCTCTCATTTTAAGTCTCAGCAACTCCTACCCCCTTCTACCAATGCACCATAGCCCAATCCAATCCCAAACACACAAAATCACGGCAAATTTGAAAATAAAAAAAAAACATAATTTAAGTGTTGAATTAATTACTTACCTTAAACTGCATATACTTGATCTTAATTGAAGTTGAATTTGAGAGAATTGATATTTTTGGAAGTTTAAGTTTTGTGGTTTTTTTTTCTTGAATTTGTAAATTGATGTTTATTTTCTTTCTTGCTGTTTTTATTTTAAGTTTTAAACAAAATCAAATGAAAATTTTTTTCTTGAATTTTTGAATGAACAACAGAGTAGCGGGCAATAGCGGACCACCATTGCCATTATTCAACTTTACGCCACAATTTGTAGATGCTATACGTCCACTATAGATGAGATTCAAATTCTCCCCCGTTTTTTCTTTAATAACGATGGTGGATAGTGGCGTGACCGCGAAATAGCGGCCGTTATACCGCTATCCGACCGCTATTTAAATCTTTGATCCCATCATGAAGCTGCCTATTGCAAATTTTGTAGGACTCATGATGTAGCATGGACCTTACTTTGTGATTCTTCTGCTGTATTTTGTTGCTTAGCATGTGAGGTTAACCACCAGCAAAATGAAGAGAGGCTCTAGAGGAGAAAAACATGATATAATCACATAAATGCAGTTTCTAACCTCTAATAATAAGCAAAGCATTCTATAATCCAAGTTGAGGTAGGTACTACCATCGTAGGTAGATTTGGCTAATCTATCAGATAGGGACATAACATAATATACTTTATGCAACAAAGCAAGATTGAATTAATAATTGATCAAATAAAAGTTAAGTTGCTTCCAAGAAGCTGGCTCTTGGATTAGAGTAATATCATCTATAAATGTGAGTTCAATCTGTTCTATATTAGGTTGTTTCAGAGTTAAACATTTTGTACTGGAATTGATGGTAGTAAAAATGCTAGTTATATGCATTTATTTTGGAATGTTTTGAGTTTTGACACCTGCAAAACATATTTTAAGTGTTCATTTCTCTTTTGATCTCATGTATGTAAATGATGCATTTTATGAGAAACTCTTAATTCTCATAATTGTCATTTAACTGTCGTTTTGTTTACACATTAGTTGCCTATCTAAGTGCTAATGAACTGTTATCAATTACTTGATTCTTATATAGTTCATCACAACCCGAATCCACGTGATCAAACATTTGACTTGATACCTTGTTAAAACCATATTCCAACTACTTGTGTAGGTGTGACTTGCACATTACAATAACAATGTTATTTTCTTTCCGCAGAACCCAGGTTTTGACTTCTCCCAAGCTCAGTTTACTGGGAGCTGTCCAGATCCAAGGACTTTTATGGGTGGTATCCGTTCTGATTGACAATCTTCATATTCTGGTTTGATCACTTAAATTATCCTGTTATTAAGTCCTAACCTTTACTTAGCAAATAAACAGTCTAATGTGCTTTCTCCCCTTGGGCATAAGGCTTGAATTAACTTATTGACTCAGCCATCAATCTGTGATGACGGTATCGCTACTATGTGGTTTGCAATCACTATGTTCAAATGTAATATGAGAAATTGGATTTATCTTATAGGTTTTTTTTATCCTGCGTTGGAATATGATTCCGTTTTTGCTGAAAAGCTGCCTGCTTTGAGTTTTGGAGCAGTTGTCTTTGCAAATGTTGTGTGGTGTTTGTGTTCAAATTTAGTTTTTGAACCGAGAAAAGGATTCAAGTAAAGGCAGAAAAAAATGGTTGGAAAAAAAGGAGTATCACATTCGAAACGCCAAGTATTCTCACACGGAGAATACAAATGTAGTCTCGAAATGTTGAAGTAGAGAATCATATTCCTTTGGTTTTCAATCACCACTCAGTTTCCTGTCCAAATCAAGAAAATACTAACAAAAACAAAGTAGTATTAAGTTTGGCAATTAATTCGATTTATTATTATATTTATCGTTAAAGATTGCGGGAATCAGTCAGTCTTCTTTGGTTCGCAATTCAAAGCACTAAGAACAACCCTCTGATCACTGCCAAAAATATGCAATTTTCGCAGTCTTTGGCCTTTTGCTACCTATAAAACGTAACTCTCTGGCGCACGTCCTCTGTGTCTTGACACCTATATCTTTGTCTTCAATTCACGGTCTCCATTTCTTCCTTCTAAATATCCCTCTCTTTCTCTATCTTTTTTCTCTGCTTTTGCCTTTTATTTTCAATGGATTCTCTCGTTTCTTAAAGCTTCACCATTGTTTTGTTTTAATCTCCATGACCCCGAACCCCAGCAGAAGAAAATTCCTTCCTTTTTTCACTTCTCCACCATGGTAACCACCACCCCACAAACCCAAAACAACCCAATTCAAAGTGTTCTCATCGTTGGTAATTACTGCCACGATGTCCTCCTCCATGGCGGTGCTGTCGTCGCCGAAACCCTTGGAGGAGCCGCCTCTTTCATTTCCAACGTCTTTAGTGGCCTCTCCGTTTCTTTCCATTTAACCGCAAAAGTTGGGCTTGATTTTAAGTACCCGGTTAATTACAATCCCATCGTGGTTCCCGTTTCCAAAACCACCGTTTTCCACGCCTATTTCGATCTGGGTTCTAACGAGAATGCTCATCAGGATCGGGTCTTGAAACGGGTCGAATCCTGCGACCCAATTAACCCATCGGATCTACCCGATAAAAGGTTCGAATTTGGAATGGCGGTTGGGGTTGGCGGAGAGATGCTACCGGAAACGCTGGAAAAAATGGTTGATATCTGCGATGCAGTTTTTGTTGATATCCAAGCTTTAATCCGTGCTTTTGATGAAAGCGGGACGGTAAAACTTGTGGCGTTAAAAGAGAGTGGGTTTTACCATTTGTTACCGCGGCTAAAGTTTTTAAAGGCATCATCGGAAGAGGCATTGTTTATGGATGTTGAGGAAGTGAGGCAATGGTGTTGTGTGGTGGTAACGCATGGGAAAGATGGGTGTGAAGTTTACTGGAAAGATGGGGAAATGAAAATTGGGCCTTTTGGGGCTAACCAGATTGATCCAACGGGTGCTGGAGATAGTTTTTTAGGTGGTTTTGTTGGTGGATTGGTTCATGGTTTGGTTGTTCCTGACGCTGCTTTGGTGGGGAACTTTTTTGGTTCACTTACTGTTGCTCAGATTGGTCTCCCTAAGTTCGACTTGAGAATGTTACAGGTTTGTTGCTCCATATTTTCTGGAAATGTTAGTACTTCATGAAATTGTTTGAGCTGACATTTAGGTACCGTTTCATTGATGTTCTTTTTTTTTTTTTTTTGCTGGAACTTAGTTGGATAATGTTGGGAAAATTGCCTTCTTTTATTTGAAAAAAGGTGAATTATTGAGACTTAACTTGGGATGAGTTTCGGACTTACAGTGAACTACTGAGGGATTTTAGTTTGTTAACGTTGGCAATTGTCATTTTTAGATAAAATGTGAATTTTTGCAACTTCATTGGGATGAACGAGTTAAATATTGATACTGCTTTTTTGTAATGAAACATTTTGGAATGTGCATCGACTGCAAGTGCCATGTGTGTAGCACAAGTACATTTTTAGCATTATCTTCAAAGGAATGAATATAGTGGGTTTCTGGAGGAGTTCTGGGTTTAAATGGTTAGAATGCGCACTTTAGGTAGACTCAAGTTGCATTATATTGGAAATGCAGACCATATACTGGTACTCTTTTATCAACGATTTGTACTTGGAATGAAATTATAGGTGTCTTCTCATGGTTAAAGTGCTGAAAGCTTTTTTTTTTGTTGTAATCTTAACTTTGCTATCAAATTTTCATGCTTATTAGGAAATTCTAGTTAGTGCATTGTGTGTTTGCTTGTGAATAGATAACAAGAGATCTAGATTTTCTTTTGTCTTCTTTTCTCGCCCTTGCTGTCTGTGCACTGAGTTATGAGGTGATGATTGTCGATTTGAAAATTTTATGAATTGATATTGCTTTCCAAATGTTTTATCTGAACTGTCACTTAATTTTGTAAGCTGGACGATTCATGAAGGGTCAAATTACTTCTCTATCTTGGACACTTCCTTGGATTAAGACATTAGGTTGTTATTGTTCTCAACTGGCAGACTCTATTAATGCATTGATATTCACGTCAAGGCATTACTCTCAACCAACATGATGCTCCTTCTAGATAATCTTAGTCTTAAAACAAAACATTTCTGTTACTTTTTGGAATTTTTCATGTGTTATTCTTTTATTATGTATTAAAGTTTGTAAATTTGAAGAGGATTACCTAATACTATAGGATTTCTTTTAGCTTCCACGAGACATTTTATCGTGATGATAAATTTACATAGATAAGTGAATGGGTTCTGTTGGATATTACTTGCTGGGCTGATTTTTACTGACATAAAAGCTGGAGGGAAGAGTGAATAATGTGCACTTGAGATTCCATAAACCTCTTATTTTATCATCATGCCATCTCAGTTATATATTCTAACGAGATCTTTTTAATTATGTTATCATGTCCTAGAAATGCTTCTTGAATTCGTCTTCCACTAAGGTGGTCATTTACTTATCTCCTTTCTATTTTTATTTCTCACATTACAGAGAGTTAAGGATGAGGTTCAAAGAAGGAAGCTGCACTCCACCTGCTACTTTGAAGGAAGAGATAATAAGTTGAGTTTCACCAAGCCACCAGGGCATGAAGAGTTCCATGCTTCACTTGCTTCAACTAAATTAGTTTCCACATGTTCCATTCAAGAATGTCAAAGAGATTTGCCAAGATCACCCAGGACAATAGAGCAGGTCATTGCACCCTCAATATAACGGGAAACCAAAGTTGTTACAAAATTCTGTTTTTGATGAACCAATATAAACAGTGCAGGGTAGACCACGAGTATAGTTGGAGCATTTCTCCTTTTTCTGTATCAAATAAATTCGGCTGCTAGTCATTCAATGAAAGTCCAGAAATCAATGGCAAATTAAATTAGTAAATACTAGCAAGAAAGCTTGCATACAATATTTGTCTGTTTTCCTTTTTTAATGTACTGGTACAGTTTTTTGTTGTATGCAGCCCTTCCTTCCCTGCTAAGCATCGGTGGTACTATGAAAGTGAAGAAGATGTGTTAGCATTTGCGCTTTGAGGAGGAAAGTAGGCATTGGCCAATATCTTTGAAATCCCTTTTATTAAAAGAGAATCAACAATTTGTTTATTTGTTTTCTAGCCAACAGAAAATGGATCATCTCAATGACTTTTATGAATCTGATGATAAATTAAGTTAATTTTCTTTTGGTAGGGAGATTTGCTTTGACAAGAAAAGCTAATTCATTGTTAGCTATAGATGCATCACCATTTCCATTTGCCATTGAAAGTGTTGGTCCAACCTTATTCCATGGTTGGCCATTTTTTTTCTTTTGGCAAAGACTCTTGAATCAAGTTAGACCAGTTAAATCTTGTCGAGATGTGCAATTTTAGAAATCAACATCAAATGTGTGAATCCAACTCATTTTTTGAATGGATAAGGAATAGAGATTAAGAATGCTAATTTTAATTGCCAAAGATGTTTATAGTCAAGTTGAGTATAGACTTAGTGCATCAAAAAAGAAAAGAGATTGACGACTTTTCACTAGTGCTCCTTTTTACATGATTGATTGATGCTGGAATAAAGATGTTGATACAGATATATGGTAGTATTTCACTCGCTTTTCAATGGCATCTTCTTGCCTGACCAACCCCTTTTTTATTGTGGGGCGAAGCCATTATTATGGAATTAATTGGTCCAAGTTGGTATATTATTATTAAATAAAGCTAACCTAACCTCTCCATTTTATTACAAGGGTTAATTAGTTCACTTCGAAGTGACAAAGTGGGGGAGGGGGGAGGCTTACTATGTTTGCTGTCATTTGTACAATTAATCAAATATTATATCAGTGTCTCTACGGCATTTGTTAGTAAAACCTTATTATTATAAGATTTTCTTTTGATAATTTTATTATGAGTTTTTATAGCATTATCTTAAGAAACATTATTTTTCAAAACCCTCATTATTATAAATAAACTATATTAATTTAGATGATAGGCATAAATTGATTAGATTATTAAAAATTATGAGTCAAAGAGAATTTCGTTTTGTACATAAATAAAGTAGATAAAAATAAAAAATTAAAAATAAATTAAAATAAAAACAAAATACATAGAGCTTTTTAACTAGCATAAAGAGAAATCAAATGATTTAAAACAAAAAAATATAATCATCATTTTTATTTTATTTTTTTTGCCAAATGAGATTATACTTAATTAAGTTTCAAATATTTCTTCACACCCATTTTTTCTAAAAAAAACAAGGAATTAACGTTTCAATATTGGGTATAATAGAAAGTTATAAATTGCCATTATATTATATAGGTCAATGTTTATTTTACCTAAAAAAAATATAAATCAGTTTAAGTATATTTTAATTCAATGCCCAATTGAGACTCAATTCCATTGGTTCACATATAATATTCAGCAAAAAAATGATATTCAAAATTTTTATATTTACAATCTTTTTTAGATTCAATTCAATCGGTTCACACATAATATTTAATAAAAAATAAAATTTATATTCTTATATTTATAATTTTTTAATATTTAATTTAATTAATTTATATATAATATTCAATAAAATAAATTTAAATTTTTATACGTATAATCTTTTTTCGTAGTTACATCGTTTGTTAAAAACAATGTACTATCATCAATAATTTATTTTAATAAAGACGAGATTTTAGATTAGATGATTAAAAAAATCAAATCCGTAATCTTAGGAGGTAATAGCCTCCTAATCCAAGCATCATTTATTTAAGAATTTGTGCAAAAAGAAATTAGATAATCAAAATTTAACCTCCTAATTTTACGGAGGTTAAATCCACCTAATATAATATTCCACGTGGTCCAATCTCGATAACTCTCCCTCTTCCTTGTTAAATGAAACGGTAAAAAATATTTCCAAATAAAGAGAGCAGGCGACGGTAACATCAGATTCTTTAAGAGCGCGTGGGGTCAGGGAATCCAAACTTTCTCTATCCCCACCGCTGCCTTAGAATCTCAATAATGCCATTCACACACAAAATAAAAAAACGGAGAACCACTTCCAAATTTCACCGGCAGTGTACTTTCAGAAAACCCCTCTTTAGAACCTGAAATCTAACTTTTCTTTCCAATTTCACCCCCTCTTCTTCTTCTTCTTCGAAATTAGGGTTCAACGATTCTCGGAAGATGAAGCACACGGCGACGAAGAAGAAGAAGCAGAAGAAGCGATCACGTGCGACCAAAACGACGGGGGTCAACGATTCGTCACGTGACACGCTACATCAGCAGGATCAGCGGCGAGTAGAAGAAGTCAATGGAGAACAGAATAATCCTCTCAACTCGTTAATGATAACCTTTGGTTCGATCTCTCTGGAAGAAGCCACGTCAGCTTATAACCAAGCCAACGGCGATTCGGACAAGGCGGCGGGGATTCTATGCAATTTGATCGAACACGATAACGAAAGTGAAGATCCAGAGAGGTCGACTAGCTCGATCTGGAGTGGGTCGTCTTCGTCGGGTTCATCCGGGTCGGGGTTTGCCGAAACGGGTTGCGTACAGAATTTGATTAGCGGGAGGGGACGATGCAGAGGGGTAAAACAGCAGAAGGGAGTGGTGGCGGCAACGGGGACGGTTTCGACGGTTCTTGGGAAAGAGTACATTAGGGCAAGCCCACGGCGGGACTCGGCTGCACCGGCGGCTGCAAGATCGTCGTTGGTGAAGGAAGAAGCGGAGCAGTTCTTGTGTTCAATGCTTGGGGACGAGTGTGAACTTAGCATGGCTGTTGTTAGAGATGTTTTACGTGAGATTTTTTTTTTTTTTTTTTAGTATAAAGAAGTTTTGGGAATAATAAATTTTAATTTTTTTCCACATTTAATGACCAAAAATTTTATTTTTGCAGGTGAGTGTGGTTACAATGTGGGGAAGGTATTGTGAGTTCTAAAATGTAAAATCTGAAGTTGCTTTCTTTGTTTATTTTGATGTATCATAAACTGTGAAGCAGTTGCATAGTCATCGAGGAAATAAGTAAGACAAAAAAAAAACATAAATTTGCTTATGAAATGCTTAATACTTCCTTCAGCATATGCAGTGACATATATGACACTTTATGAATGGTTCATTGATGAAAATTAACTAATTTCTATCCATACAAAGCGCACATCTAAGGATCTGGATCCTATGCATATAAACTGTTTATCACCTTCAAGAAAGCAAATTGGGAAACTGGGTTACTTGATTCAGAAAAGGTTGGACTGGGTTGACTTTAGTTCTTTAATTCTCTCTCTCTCTCTCTCTGTCACTCTGTGTGTAAGTGAGATCTTGAGTGGAAACAAGTGTAAGGGCTAGGCTGTTGAAATATAGCTTGTTGGTACTATAGTTTGATGGTATGTTTATTTTTACTAGGTTGTCTTTCTGAAGAATGTCGTTACGATTCAGTTTATTCTTTATTTCCAGGCCTTGGATGCATTACTTGATTTATCTGCTTCCTCCTATAAACAATCCAATAATTGTAATGACAACATGAACGCCAGACAAGATGCAGGATTCCTCATTGAATGTGCTGATAATGTAAGTAATACCAATTTTATTGCTTAAATGTTTCAAATTTTCGGGGTCAGTTCCCTCATTCTGTTTATAAAATGTGCTGACAATGTAATTAATATGAATTTGATTACTTATATGTTTCAAATTCTGGGTCAGTTCCCTCATTTTGTTTATAACATCATCTTTTTTTTTAAGTAAAGCTTTATTTTTTAGAATAATTTATACATCAAATTGGTAATATTTCCAAGTAGATCAGTCCCAGTCTTCTAGATTTTGATGGAATTAAGGTGTTATGGTTGATAATATCTGATTTCAGTGCTATTAGGATGCTTACCTTTTCTTAAGAGGGGGCAGTGCAGATTCAGAACGAACCTACTTTCCATTTTTGGTTTGGTTAAAATCTTCCTTTAGTGTTCTATCTGATGGTTAATTGTTTCTTATGCTAAGCCTGAGGTTTTGACTTTCAGAGAGTTGAGTTGAGGCTTTGGAGTCAAGTCCATCTTTGTATTGCAAACTAAATGTAACTGAAGGGAATATTAATTTTGAATATATATTCATTTAGTTAATCAGCGATGGAGTGAAACTGAGAAAATGCCCCATTTCTTTGGAAACAGACAAAGCATTATGTAGCCTTTTTTGTTTTTACAGTTCTTTATAATTTACATTACTTCTTCTTTGGCTCAAATAATTTCAAAAATTCTCTCTGAAGCATTTTTCATTGCATCCTATTCATATGAAGTGATTTATAAATTTTCTAACAGTTAACAGATTGGGCATCTGATTGCATGTCTAATTCCTCGGAAAGTGAACTTCAAGATAGTATATGGTCAGTGGGCTACGGTTACAGGTAATTCATTCTGTCTGTCATGGTCCTATGATTGTTTTACTTGGTTATTCTTTTCAGTGGTGTTTTCCTATCTTCTTCTAACATAGAATTATGTTATAATAGCATAAGAGACTTAAACGTTGTAGATGACCATATGGTGTCAAGCCATTTCATTCAAAATCTTGAAGAATAAGATCATTTAGATTAGAAACAATTGTTGTGGGAGAGAGATCAAGTGATTGCCTGTTAGACTTAGAAGAAACTACAAAAAGAAGAAGGCAATAATTCCTTGAAGCTCTTCAAGTCATTTCTTATTATGTAAAAGTAGTGTTTGTCACTTAAGGTGGATTATTCACTTGCATTGCATGCAACTGTGGTACATATTGACAAATACAATCATAGCTAAGAATTACTTTTGGTTGAGATAACTATGCTGTATCTATGATATAAATGTCATGCTTGAATATTATATCTCCCATGTTAGTGCCAAAGTCTTTGTATCCTTTGAAATACTTATTTAGAATACTTTTATGTTGCCTTGGCTGTGGCAATACTGTAGAAAGCTTATTTGTTGCCTTTAAATTTCATTGCTCCTAGTTGTAGGATCTCAAGTATCAAAAGCCAGGTTTTGTAATATTAGGCTTTTCTCCTTTCTTTAATTTTAGGAATTACTCAAGGGTTCAGCTACCATCTTGCCCAAGGAGTAACGTGTCTGATCTCCCTCAGGAGTTGTTGGATTCTTTATTTAACTTCCCCAAGAGTTCTGAACAGGAACCAAGCACCATGAATTGGAGGAATGTAGCAAAGAAGATGCAGTCATTGGGACCAGGGATTGATGTCTGTCCATCTAGCGTGGCTGAGCCTCAGCAGGATATCTATGGTATTCTCTCGTTAATTTTCTCAGGCTTTATTTGTTACTATAATGTATGGGTTTGTTATTACATGTGGCCTTTATTTTTGATGTGGGATAATGAATATCAGTATAAATAGTCTTGCATTGATGTTGTCCTGTCACTATGTTTTAATTGAGCAACTTTATTAGAAGTGCAATACTGCAATTAAGAAAGACCTAATATAGTGATTACCTTTTCATTAGTAGTCACATGTATGTTAGGCACGCATATGCATTGTCATATTTAGTCTTGTGTTGGTCCCAATTACTAAGATTTAGACATGATATTAGTAATTATGAGATAAATCCTTATTTGGGACATAATTTGAATATACAAGTACTCAAAGCTACTGTATGACCCCCCTTCTTCTGAGAAATAGAAACATAAAAATATGCAGGAAGGTGGTTAATATGCAGGAAAGTGGTTAGGTCACTCTAGGGAAAAAAAGCATTAAAAGAAAAGGCAAAATTTGAGGAGGTTCTTGGTTAAATGTAGCTTTTTTAGGGGTTGATATCATTTTTTGGGTTTCTTTTTTCACTTAGCTTTTTCAACCATTTTCCAAAATATTTATCATAAACTCATTTGTCTAACTTATAGATATAAGTTTTTGCACAATTTGGCAATGTGTTGTTCCTAACAATTTAAATTTCATGGGATTGTAGCTAAGGGAGATGAATATCACGAATTTAGAAAGAGTGCCAAAGAGCATTGGGATTCCACAGGATCCTACTATCAGAAGGTATGATGTTTATAGCATTCCGTTTTTATAGTTTGACAAAGTTGAAATATGCAGTTAGTGGATTACTTGATATGAGTATTATAACTATTTGACAATACAAGGAAAATACTTCTACAGGCTGCTACAGCATATTCAAAGGGGCAACGGGATTATGCGGCTTATCTTTCTGATCAGGTGTGTGTTCTACTTGAGGGAAGAATGCTTTGAATCACAGCATGTTACCTATAAGTTCTAGATGTGATGTCACGTTATTGGCAAATTTTAGAAAAGGGGAAACTGTCAAAGAAAGCAACAATGAGATCTGGGGATCATATCCCAACAATGTTTGCTTGTCTCCTTTTCTGCTGACATCAATATGATGTCTTATGTCAAGTTTGGGGTTGGAGGTTCGCTTTATAATAAAATGCTGACATGATATCTTGCATCTGAGTAGGGGAAGAAACAGACTAAATTGGCCAGGGAAGCAGATGAAAAGGCAAGCATGGATATATTTAAAGCTAGGTTAGTCCTCGTATAACTAACTGAACAAGAAGTATTCTCTCATTGACTCTACCTCTCTTTTTTGTGGTCAAACAAAAACTAATCAATCAGCTGTCTTTGCAGGAACAAAGCCTTTGAAAATGTGATAACAATTGATTTGCATGGGCAGCATGTCAAACAAGCAATGAGACTTTTGAAACTGCACCTTCTATTTGGAATCCATGTTCCTTGTAAGCATTTGTTCTAACAAATTGTGTATGCGAGAGAGTGTGTTTGTGATGTAGTTCTACTTATTACTTGCCTTCATGTGCTCCAGCGGTTCAAACTCTGAGGGTTATCACTGGATGTGGGACGCATGGTATGGGGAAGTCAAAACTGAAACAGTCGGTATGGGTTTAAATTAATTCAAAAAGTCGAAGGCTTAGACTCTTTTCTAGTGGTTGCATTATGGTCTTAGCATCAACTTTATTTATTCCTCTTGGTGGTTACTTTTTGTCTTTGGAGGACAGCACAGCAGAGTCTATTTTCAGTAGTTTATCCTGACAATTGGTGCATGCAGGTTATTAAACTTCTGGACAAGGAAGGTATTCGGTGGCGCGAAGAGAACCGTGGAACTGTGCTAGTGAAGCTTGACGGATACAGGGAATTCAGCTTTTTAGATTCCGAGAGTGACACCGAGTAAATTAATTATGTAATATCAACCACAGGTTTTCCTCATCATCCTCTGTGTAAGAAAGACTAGGATGTAATGTAACAAAGGTTAATGTAGTGTTCCGACAACAGGTATCAGATGTTCATATGTATACTATTACAAGTCCATGTACTCTGTAGGTGGGTGAAAGCTTCTTGAAGGTGAACCCTCGCGTATGTTGAGTTTAGGGAAATCATGTATCTGACTGGGTTCTTGGTAATGACAAAGACCCATGAAAGACTGTATATTTCATTTAGTTAAAAACAGAGGCTATTTCTGTGTGTTCATTTGCTTTCATTGGAAACTCAATTTACTAATGGCCATGGGGCATCTTCTGGTCTTGGAAATAAACGTACGACATATCATAAGTTTATTTATCCTCCCATGTCTGTCACAAGAGCCTGGAGCAGGCGCGGGCCGTATTGGATCAGAACCGGGAACTCATCGAGAAAGTGAACGAGAATCACCAGTCGTAGGATCCCGATAATCTTGTTAAGAATGTTGGACTGATACAGGAGATCAACGGGAATATCTCAAAGGTTATCGAGATTTACTCCGATTTGTCGGTCAATTTCTCGGACATTGTTCGTCAACGAAAAAGGACCACCTGGTGCTCTTGAACCGATTTCGAGCAATTTTCTAAAATTCTTCAGCATTTGTGCTCTGATCAAGGTTTGGTCTTTTGTCGTGGTAGTGGTAGTCGTCGGGATTAATAAAACTTTGCCGTTTGTTTGTGTCAGTATGCCATTTGTAATTGTACAAAAAAAACAAAAGAATCAGTTTCAGGTGTTGTTTACGAGTCGAAGTTATCGTCTGTTTTGCTCAAGTCATTTGTGAACTGAACTCTGACCGGGCCGTGTTTTAGCTTTTGAGGTTAATGGTAACGCTGTGGTGGTTGTGCATATCTTTTTTTTTTTTTTTAATAGCGGCGGCACTTCCTTGTCTGCGTTAATCTACCCTGCAGACGAATATGAGGTGTTTTCCTTCTGTTTGAGCTTATTTTCTGTTCTCATTTTGTCTTAATTTTAGTGTCATTTTGCAAATTTCACTCGGTGGTTGATGGACGGATCGTCAGGATCATAGCAGCAAAGCTCCTTTGAATTTTCTAAAGATGATTCTTCTCCTCGTAGTAAAGTTTTTCTTAGTTACACTACTATTCTTTGATTCTTACGTATTTGTTAAAGGTTTCCATTCTCTGGAGGTGAATATGTTTGGTGCACACAATTCTTACATCTTAAGTCATGCTGCCAAGCTCCTCAGCATTTCCATCGACAGAAGCAGGTAGTCAATTACATAAACCTGGCATCTGATGATAAATGTAGCTTATCGTATATGTTCACTGGCATTTCTTGTCCTCTTGAAAAATAGATGTGAGAAAGTTTCAACAAGAGAATGGGAAAGGTGAGGATTGCTTTGCTTAAAGTGGCATAGGAAAATGCACCAATGCTAAGTTTTTTCATTAGAAGTCGGGGACGTGTCCCTAACACCCATAAGATCTAACCAACCACCAACAGAAAGCTTGTTGCAGTTACCATCCATAACATGTCATTCAGTAATTGAAAATATATAGATAATAATTTGCAAACGAAACACCTTAAATTAACAGAGGAAAAACCCCTAAGTTTAAAAAAAAAAAAAAAAAGTGTTCATCTCACAGTTTTTATCACGGGCTTAATTGGAATAACCAAACACCAAAGTTTGTCACTGAAACATGTGCATGATAATTACAGAGGAATTTCACCACTGTCAGCAATCACAACTTTGCTCTTGGGTGTGCCGCTCTGCCTTCCTTCTGCTTCAATTTTGTAAACCACATCCATTCCAGACAGCACCTTTCCAAATACAACATGTCTGCCATCCAACCTGTTGAAAGTAGTCAATGATTAGCGGCAAAGTAAAGAGGTGATAACTGAACCATCTTTATTGGTTGCAATTGTAAGTTTGTAATTACCAGCTGGTTGTCACAGTTGTAATGAAGAATTGTGAGCCATTGGTGTTAGAACCAGCATTTGCCATTGACAAAAGCCCTATATGCCATAAATTTTTTGTCACAAATATTCGGAGTCATTCCTCACAGAAAGTCATTTATAGCACTTTAGATAGAATGGCATATGGCTTACCAGGTCCAGTGTGCTTCAACTTGAAATTCTCATCAGCAAATTTCTCACCATAAATCGATTCTCCACCTCTTCCGTCACCAAGTGTAAAATCACCTCCTTGTATCATGAAGTTAGGAATAATCCTGTGAAATGCACTACCTTTGTAGTGGAGAGGTTTCCCACTCTTTCCAACACCCTTTTCCCCTGAAATGGAAAGCCCAATCTTAGAATAACGCTGTGTCAAACAAAATTTGCAAAGGAGCCACTCACAAAAGGCTAGTAAAGCTTCACTCTTCTTTTCATTTTCATTTTCTCATGGAAAAGGGTTGTCAGAGGTTTTGCCTAGTTCTACAGATATTACATCTTTATGCCTCTACAAGCTCTCCTCTTGTCAGTTTATGAATTTTTTGATCATACAATATTTTGGTAATGGTGAGCTAATGCACTTGGAGTTTATAGAAATATAGATGGAATAACAAGATTAATCATAAGAAAAACAAAACGGTAACAGAGGTCAATCAAGGAGATCATCCGCCTACCTGTGCATAGTGCTCGGAAATTTTCTGCATATAAAAAAATTCAAGCTGCTTAGTGAATAATTGCTAGGAGAATTGCAGCAACTACATATATGCCATTCATGTAGCCACAAACACCAACATACCTGCTGTTTTGGGAACTGTGTTTCCAAAGAGTCCCATGACAATTCGACCTGAGAACATGTTCAGCAATCTTTTAGCTATTTACACTGAAAGCATAAATCACTTTTACCCAGAAATTAATATAGATGCCTATATTAAAGTTCTATCCCCATATCAACCTAAAACCTCGTTTCGTCTCAAGATATTAGTTATTACAGGTATGCTAAATCACTTCATATACACAAAGCCTTTTATCTTTTTTCAAATTTGGAGGTTTATTTGTTCCATGATATTTTCACCCACCCAAAAAAAAGTACTGGCATCAAAGAAAGCTAAAAGTTATTTAGTTTTACAAAAGCATCCTGTTCTTATATAAATAATCTTTCCCTTTCTGCAGATTATTCACAGAAACATCTGCACATAACCACTGTTGAGCAATTCATAACACATTATGAGATAGCAGTTCAAAAAAATGTGCTTCATCACATATCCAATGGCGTTAGACCATAAGGAAGAGGAGTGAAGCATACCAGCAGGTTTTCCTGCAATTTCAACATCAAAGTAAACTTTGTGAGTAACTTCCTTCAAATCTTTCTCGGACTTTTTTGCCTGAACATTCCATAAAACAAATCAAATAATCAAAATCAGCGACCACATCTGATTATTAAATTCATCTATCTAAAGAAATATAACTTGATGCTTTTAATATCCATCAATCCTAAACTCAATTAGCAAAGTGAAAAAGAAAATGAAAAGCAATAAACAATCAGCAAAGAAAAACAGAAGAAACCCAGAAGATCTTAACAAAATAGAAAGCGATTTTCGCATTTTATTCATAGATCAAGACCCAAATATCATCAGTTTAGAAAAACCCAGAACTCAAAAGAAAAAGGGGAAAGAACCGAGAATAGAAAGTGAACCTGAGCTAGAGTTAGTGATCCAGAAAGGACCAAAGTGCAAACCAAAGTGAGAGACAGAAATCCTGATATCTCCATCTCTTCACTCTTTTGTCTTCCAAGCTTCGTAGCCACTAACGTGAAGATGGCAGGAGAAGCAAAGAAGCATTATATACAAGGAAGAACGTCATCGCCAACCTAATCAGCCAATGTGGATTTGCCACGTGGGCTGGTACGTGTTTTATTGAATGTTATTGGGTGGTGCGCGTTGATTTTTCTGACCCTGAAGCTTTGGATTCTACATCTTTTTCCTTTGGATTTGGTTTTGCAAGATATGGGTCGTATTTGGTCGGATCATATGGCTGTGTTTTGTGCCAATTTAGGTTGTACTTTATAAAATAGAATGAACCCTGACCGTGAAAGACAGTAAGAAAGTGAGAGAAACAGAAAGAGCGGCCCAATAACTCTGAGTTTAAAGGGTTACTTAAAGGCCCAATCAGTAACAGTGATTAACTGATTGGATTTTACTATATAGTAAATTTTAGAGACCCAATAATAGCAAAACACGTAAGACTTCAAAACATGTATTGGTCAGCATTCATCAGGAAAACTCCATAGTTATGCTTTCAACTAACTGTCACTCATCAACTACCATTCCTGAGTCCCAGGAAACATGAAACAAACACAAAGGAGTAAGGACTGCCTGGTGACATCCCCATCTTTCAATCGTCAATGTCTGCTCCTTTGAAATTCGTCAATCACTCATAAAGATAAAAATAAGAGGGAGAACAGAAAGGAGAAACACCTTTTTGCCAACTTTATTTCTTTATATTCACTACATCTTTGTTTTCATACCCTGCTTCAAAGTTAAACTTTTTTCCCTAGCATGGAACATTCACCAGAACATAGTCAACATGCACCTTCTTCTTCTTCTAGCTCAGGAGTCCATGAAGATGAAGAAAGTAATGGCCAAAGAAATTATCAAAGCTTGCACCACCAAGAGCAGGAGCAACAGCAACAATCTTCTGGGGTATCTTATCATCTGAATATATCGATATCCAATGTGGCAAGGATTGATATGAGGGATGATGTTTGGTCTTGTGTTGTTGTGCTTATCACATTTTGGTTTTCTGGTTAGTTTTCTTTCTCTCTATTCTTCAAGTTTATAATAAAATCTTAGACTAGCATTTACCTTTGTCTCTCAAGAATTAGATAAAACCCCACAATTCCCTTCTCTCAAAATCTAAGATCAAAGACTTAGAATTTTAATGGATATTTTCAGTATTCAGTACCAAATGGTGGTTTAATTTGTTCATGAGATTAATGATATCTCTTTAATTTGTTTGTGGCTTTTGTGTTTCCAATATTTCTGTCCCAGCAGCATCCTTGACTCTGATTCTGGGTTATTATGGATCTGTGACTTTACAATTGGGTCCGAATTGCTCACGCCTTCTACAATCTAACTCTTTCTTTGTTCAGTCTATTAAGGTGAATATTGCTGCATATATCAACTCATTCTTTCCCTCTTTTTTTTGGTTCTTGCTTCTGTTTTTGTCATTACTGTTGACTAATCTTATTCGTTTGTTAGGTTGAAGAATTGGATAAGCAAAAACCAGGGTTAATGGTGTATGGATTGAGCAGACCATCTCCCTTAGATGTTGAAATCTCCTGGACTGAAACATATGAAGTATTTGTACCAGCCAATTTCGATAAGGCAAATGGTTTCTCCGTATTTGTTAGAACATTACTTCTTTTATTATTTTTTTTTCTCCTTTCATACATGAATTATGCACCATAGCTAATTTAGAAGTTTCATTAATGGTTTAGAATTTTTCTTTCTTTTATTTTCCAGGAGTGGCTATTCTTCTTAAACAAAGGGTCTCAAGTGAATATTTCATACATTATAAGATCCTGCAGTTCCTCCCCTTTATCCCTTGTCATTGCCCAAGGTGAAACCCAATTCTTTAGTAAAGATTGGTGATTTATTCTTGTTTTTGTTTGAATGAAACATCATGGATAGTTATGCACCAAAGTTTATGTTGATATCCCCTTTAACATCATTATCAACGATTGTGCTTATAAAAAATGGTATGACTAGATTAACAGTGGAATGATTTTGCTTTACCTTGTAGAATGTCAGGGTCGTTTCAATTGCAGATCATATTTTTCTTTCCCACAAGTCTATTCTAGCTCTAAATTTGTCTACAAGTTTTCACAACAGCCTTTGCATGCTATACATGATGTTAATGGGTACTTCTCAGTAAATTTCACATAAAAATAACCAAAACAAACCTTCGGTACCAGAAATGCATTGTTCAAATGTATTCATTAGAGTAAATTTCCATATTAAACACGCAGGTACAGAAAGCCTTGTTGAGTGGGTAGAGGATCCATCATATCCTAATACAACTTTGTCCTGGAATATTATACATGGTAAGATTTATAACTGAAGTATGTTCATGAATACCGATTTGAAATACATTGGGCCTCTTAACGTGATACTGCCATGTGCTTTGCAGGAAGTGGTAAGATCCAACAGGAAATTCCGAAGTCTTCGAATTATTATATTGCTGTGGGAAATTTAAACTCTGAAGAAGTGGAGGTAATTCCTCAAATATTGTCACTCTAACATCATTAATCTACAATTAGAATATGTTCAAAAGTTCCCATAGAACCATGCACAACTACTAGGTTTTTTTGACAGACTGATTTGAATTATGAAAATCCTTCTTTGAGTGAAACAAAAAGAACACAAACTTTAATCAATTCTCATGCACATTGGTTGCTGCATCAGCTGATAAGTGAAGTGAATGGTTTATGCTTAACACTTGGTGTGCACATCCTGAGAGGCTAATCTCTTCTTAAATGTTTATGATTCAGATACAGTTGAATTTCTCAATCAATGCTCTCATCTATGAAACAAGTCAAGCATATTACAGATGCTCCTTGGGCGATCATATGTGTAGTTTGGAGCTTTATCTTCTAGGAGAAAATGCTGCTGTCCTATCTTCACCTGGTCATAATGAGGTGAAAGAATAACATCAATCAACCTTATCATCTTCAATTTGTTCCGGTTATCTTAAATGCTAATGTGCTATGTTAATCAAGCAATGAGCTTAAGTGTCCGTTCTTGTTAACTCTTAATAGTAGCATTTCTGGTGCATAATTTTCTTTACGTGTTCAAAACTCAAAAGTCAAAACATGAATGTCAATTTCATGTATTAATCAACAAGAACCTCTGATCCTGGCAAAACTATGGCAGCTGTTAGCTGTTTCAGACCCACTTAACCTCACACCTGCTTTCCTCAAAATATTCTCAGCATAATAATTAGTTTCTCTTCCAACAAAAGAAGCCTAGTAGCAAAAAGTAATGGCCTTTTGTCATCCTAATTAGTGTTTCTTGGAGTTTCTTCTGTTCCACTTTGAATTTAGTGAAAGAAATTCCTTTGTCGCAATCATTCTATACATGAATCAGAAAGTTGTTCCTACTTCGAAGATGTTTCTGCTAAGCGTGGATGATCATGTTTCAGCTGTTTTAGTCCAGACAGTTCATAGGATCATGGTGTGTTTTTTTTAATTTTTTTTTTTTTTTTTAATTTCAAATATGAGAAGTTCACTCCATTTTGGTTCTTTCAGGAAACTCAAAATGGTAGCTGGTATGTTAAAGTATCTTATGGACCTCGATGGATTACATATTTTGTTGGATCAGGTTTTTCCATTTCCCTCACGTAACCCTTGTTGCATAGAAAGAATATTTAGTCCGTTTTAAACATTTACCTCTTTTGCTACTGCAGGTGTGATGACCATCCTTATATTATTAGCCTTTAGATTCTGTAAAATGTTTCAGAGTAGAGATGAACCAAGATTCCATGCTGGAAATATGGAACCAGAACGAGCCCCGTTGCTTCCAGAAAAGGATGATGATATCTCAAGCTGGGGTTCATCTTATGATTCTGTATCCCATGATGAGGAGGATCTTGAACAGTGGCTGGCAGCAACTTACCTTGAAGGAAAGCCTTTACACGAAGGGGAAAGCAACAATCTTCCTCGTTTTTGTGTCATTTGCTTCGATGCACCAAGCGATTGTTTCTTTCTTCCTTGTGGACATTGTGCTACCTGTTTTACCTGCGGAACAAGGTAAGATATAGCGCCATATCAACTAATGTACTATGCACCCCTTTTTCCAAACTAAGCAATTCATTGAGCTCGTCAACCATTATTGAATTCTTATGATTATCAGATGCTTGTAAATCAGTGGCAAGTTTGAATTCTTCACTCTACTTATCTATGCAGGATTGCAGAAGATGCTGGTACCTGTCCAATATGTCGTAGGAAGATGAAGAAAGTTCGGAAGATATTTACAGTTTAAGCCATCCATTCGAGTAATGTTGTGCAGAGATTTTAATCATGGTGTAAATTTTTTATGCCCCATAGAAGAACATGAATTTTTTTTTTCTCACACTGCTGGCATTCGATTCGGACATACTGTAGAATTCTGTATAAAATTTGTTGCTAAGAGTTTCAAAAAGGTTTGATTGAAGGTTTTCCATATTCTTTTAGATAAAGCTTCTTCATTTGTTGTCAGTATCATGTAAATCTTTTCTTTCTGTCCCCAGGTTGAACCCAACAGGTTTAGCCTGGTTTCCTCTATTTATTATGTAACTTTCCATTTCACCAATGAATTATAGTATAAAATTCACATCGACTGTTGATCGGATGATTTGAAACAGTTTGTCTTGATCCCTCTTTAAATCTCTTCCTGGATAGATTCATAGTCATAGATGCCATAACAATCAAGTACCAAGGAGATTGCTAGCTCTCGTTACTGTTCACATCATGCCATTGCCAAGCTAAAATTGCATTAGTATTTTGGACCCAAGACCTTTAAAAAGGTGCTATGATGAAACCCAGATTTAGGAGTAAAACTCAGGGGCCAAGGCCCAGAAGCATCGGAGCCGGCATCGGAGGAGGAAGCAAGACATTCCATCCACGTGGACGGTAGGCGGTCGAAAGTAGAAACACCAAGAGGCCAAGAAAACCATGCGAGAGAAAATGAAGAAAAATTTACCTGAAAAAAAGGACACTAATTCAAGAAAAAACAAAAAGCAAAGGACACCATCGCAGAAACAGCAAATGCAAATGCCAAAAAAACAAGAATGGGTTCACACCCTCGTTCTCCTTCCTATCTCTTCTTCTCCGTCGTTGCTCTTTCTTTCCTCTCCCTTATCGCTCTTCTCATCTACAAGGTCCCTTTTTTTTGTACCAATTCAATTTGATTTTAGAGCTGGTAATAAAACGAGAAATGTTCTAACGGTTTTGTTTCTTTTCTGGGGTACTTGTATGGGAATAGGTAGATAATTTCGCTTCACAAACGAAAACAGTTGCAGGACACAATTTAGAGCCAACGCCATGGCACTTTTTCCCGCCAAAAAACTTCACCGAAGAAACCCGACAAGCCCGGTCTTACAAGATCATCCAATGCTCCTATCTCACTTGTCGCTACGCCGGCACCAACAACGATGTTCTAGCATTGGAGGAGCAGCAGCAGGAGGAACAACGGCGGCATTTCGTATCCTCTCAAACACCTGAGAAATGCCCAAACTTTTTCAAGTTCATTTACCGTGATCTTGAGCCGTGGGCTAAAACCCGAATATCGAACTACCATATAACGCAAGCCAAGCAACACGCAGCGTTTCGGGTTGTTATTGTTGAGGGAAGATTGTATGTTGATTTATATTATGCTTGTGTACAGAGTAGATTGATGTTTACGTTATGGGGATTGTTACAGCTTCTGAAAAGGTATCCCGGGATGGTTCCTGATGTGGATATGATGTTTGATTGCATGGATAAGCCTACCATTGATAGAATCGAACATGGGTCTTTTCCGGTACCGCTCTTCCGGTATTGTACAACCGAGGCTTACTTTGACATCCCTTTTCCTGACTGGTCTTTTTGGGGTTGGTAAGAATCATTGAATCACAACTCTTTTTATGAGATCTATGTTAAGATATGGCAAAAGCTGACTCTGATTAACTGAATACCTGAAGTTACGAAACCAACATTGATCCAAACCTGAAATACTATGCATAACTTATATTAGTCATATGCGGATAGAATGTTAAATTGAGTAGACCATTTGGTGAAGTATGAAATGTATGAAAATATGCACGAGTTGCTAATCTTAAAAATTAGTTGATTTATTAATTAAAATTATGTTGAGTTATATTTGTGTCACTGAATGTCATCTGTGCAATCCATGTTCAATTACTCTAGTAATCTGAATCCTTTATACAATTTCGGTATGCTATATATGATGAGATATGTATGTATATATATGTGTGTGTGTGTGTGTGTGTGTGTGTGTGTGTGCATCTATCTGGGAATTTGTCATTAGCCTCATGTGGTATAAGAGATGTGGTTTACAATATTTATTAGTGATGGGTATGGTTTGAGTTCTTGTGCATGTCTTTAAGGTAACAGACTTGTCTGCAGGCCAGAAACAAATATACAGCCCTGGGATGAGCAGTTCAAAGATATTAAGGAGGGTTCACAAGCTAAAAGTTGGGCAGAGAAGTTTCCCCGTGCCTTTTGGAAAGGAAATCCAGATGTCGAAGCTCCAATTCGTCAGGAGCTAATGCAGTGCAATCACTCTAGGTTGTGGGGCGCACAAATTATTCGTCAGGTTAGGTTGAAACTGTTTTGGAATGCTTGAATTTTTATTGCAGAAATGATAGGTGTAACACCCAAAATTATGTGCTTTAAGGTGCAATAATGACAATATTATGTTATTTGATGTTGTTACCTTTTATTGAGCATTACAGAACTGGGAAGAAGAAGCAAAGGGTGGGTTTGAGCAGTCCAAACTATCCAATCAGTGTAATCATCGGTGAGTACTCTTCATTGAGTAATTTTACTAGAGCTGATATTTCAGTTGTTTAAGGCCTTTTCTTTTCTTTATCCACTAAAATGAAAGGAAAGTACTAGTATTTTGTTTTTCTTTTCTTAGTGTCTCATATACTAGCACAATAAATTTACAGTTTTCTTTTAGATTTGCAGTCGTTGGGACCTAAGAATCAACAACGCTATGCCTTTTTTTTTTCCCTCTCGCCGAGTGAAACTCTGTCCAATTTTATAACTTGATAGTTCGATCCGCATGGATTGCATTCGACAAAGCAAGATAAATGAGGGCTACATCTATTAATGGATATTAGAAATTTTAGTTCTGAGGCTCAAAAAGTGCATAACTCAAGTGTTTTAACGAGCTTAAATGAAATATACTGACATATTTTACCCTTTTCTGCAGTTTTAAAATCTATGCTGAAGGCTATGCTTGGTCTGTAAGCTTGAAATATATCCTATCTTGTGGTTCCCTTGCTTTATTAATTTCCCCGCAATATGAAGATTTCTTCACTCGTGGTCTCATTCCTAAGTTCAATTACTGGCCTGTCTCTCCTATTGGTTTATGTCACTCCATAAAGTTTGCTGTTGACTGGGGTAATACAAACCCGTCTGAGGTATGATCTTTTGGCCCGCAAAATGGCGAGTGAAACCTGTTATTTGCCATGCTGCACTAGTTTTAATTGTTATATGTTGTTTAGCTGAATCTGGAATTTGGGCTGCTGAGTGTACACATAACATTAACAGAAATACGAAGAGTACATTTCTAAATGTATAATCAATAGTCAGTAGCAATGCAATTATCAACTAGCTTATCGCCCTTCTTTGAGAAGAAGCGTGTCATTGTGCTTTCCCAATAGCGATACATCTTGTTTTTCTGATAAATTTCGCTAAACAGGCCGAGGCAATTGGGAAAAGAGGGCAAGAACTCATGGGAAGTCTAAGCATGGATAGGGTCTATGATTACACGTTTCACCTCATTTCAGAATATTCGAAGCTGCAAGACTTCAAGCCTGTCCAGCCATCATCAGCTCAAGAAGTATGTGAGGAATCCCTACTTTGCTTGGCAGAACCGAAGCAGAGGGAATTCCTTAAAAGAGCAGCTGCTGTCAGATCATCTACACCGCCGTGCAGCCTCATCAAGCGTCCCAATAGTAACTTTTTTGATATCTGGACTGAACAGAAGAAGAAAATAATAGAACATGTGAAGGACATGGAGATGAGAAATGCAGTGAGAGAGATATGATGTAGAATGTTTGCAGTTGTCATGTATACAGAAATTCTGTAGCTTTAGTGTCACCTGTAGACTATGTTCTTTTAGATTATTTTTCTCTATATAAATACATGTAATCAGTTCACTTCGATGATTAACTACTATCAAATGTATAAACTCCCCAGGCCACTTGTAAAAGAAGGAACTTTTCTTCCAGGGTACAATATTTCCTATATAAATTGACATCTGGTCCGTGGTAGTACATATTTTTTCGTCGTTTTCTCTATCAACATTGCTTCCACCATCTCATCAGCTGACACTATAACATGCATCTATATATCTGTCAACATTCGTTTGAGGAAACATATTCATAAATGAGAGTAAGAAAGTTTGAATGTTGTAATCGTTCACATTGCATGTCCAGTTGGTTCACTGTCTTGTTCTTTCTCGTCATCTCATGGGATATTGGTTTGGTAACACTCATTGAAAAGGGTTGACTTAATAAAAAAAACGTAGAATTTCCAAAGGCTACGACCAAGTTTCATATTGTTGACTCAATGGGGCTTTGATTTTTCCATATAAGAATAATAATAATACTGAGAGTTGCAGTGCAGGTTTAGCTGTCATTACAGTTGTAATTTCTCAAATTTTTATTTACTTGATAAAATTAAAATACTAAAACAAAACTTGATTAAGCCAAAGTAAACTCCTCTTAGACACAAGAAATTTATAAAAAAAAAAAAAAATCTGCAATGTGGACAGAGCGACTCTTCAGCCAATAAGAACAGGGTAAATAACTATTAATGCTTATATTTTGTTAGATATGATAATTTATATATTTATATTATGTAAAATATTAATAATTCATGTATTTATATTATATATTACATGAATATTATGTTTTATAATTTATATTTACATGAAAAATATGAAATATATTTTATAGTTTTGTTAAATATCATATATAATTTTTATTAAAATTTTAAATTATATTATTTTTATATATTTTATTTTTATTATTTTTATATTATATTATCATATTATGTTTTAAATTATCAAATTTATATTTTATTTTTTTAACGAAATATGTGATCTTATATGAGAAATATATATTGTTTATATATTTATTTACAGTTACATACTTATGTATAAATAATTCCGTGGCAAATAAATAAATAAATAAGATATAGAGATTAATTATTACAAAAAAAAATGAAGAATTCAAAATTTAATGTAATTAAATTTTGTGATTATTTTAAAAAATAACATCTATGACAGATAATAAGCACTAAACTATTTTGTAAAATAATCATTTAATAATAAACAAAAATAGCACTAAAAAAGTCGATAATTGGGATAACCGGATGAACAACGAGTCCACGTGATAGTGCAAGTATTGCCTTTATTTTATCACTACAAACCCTTTGACCTCCCATGTCATTGGATGCCTCTTTCTTTCGAATTTTTTTAATGATTATGTCAAAAAAAAAAAAAACAATTCATCATGTGCAAATCAAGCTACCTAACTTTTACACTTACATTATTCGTTACTTATTGGAATTTTTTAGGTAAAAGGAAATTATTTTTTATATTTCCAAAAATATATTTTCTTTCAATGGACTCATCGATTTGTGTTGTTGTTGGACCAAATTCTTAACATTCATAATTTTCTCGTGCTATTAAACATCTTGGTGGAAAAGCATGGATTAACATTTTTGGCGGTGTTTGAACTTTGAAGCACAAATTATCAGTAAATACGTTCCAAATAATTATAATGATTTAACATTTTTTTTTAATCACTGAGTCTTAGAACCCCACACAATTTGGAAAAATTAATCTATTATATTTTATAAATAGGTTAATTTTTTACTAATTAACTCATTGAGAATTTAAATTTTTTTCACCGTATTTTGAAAATTTTATCCTTTTTAAAAGAGTCGGTTCAAATCTCTTTTCAAAATCAGAAAAATAAATGGAATTAATGAGACGAGAAAAATAAATAATTAGGCTTGAAGAGTTTTAAATTAAAATATGAACAAATTGATTATTGATAAAACGCTCTGTCTTTTCATTTTTTTTTTGACACCCAACAAACAAGTGTACATTTTCTCTTTATTTTCTTCGACGACAAACAAGAAGTAGACTTTAAAGCTAGAAGTCAGGGAAGCTATAGTTTCAAATGAAATAAAATCTTGACGAAAAGCTGAGACCAAAGCAAAAGCAAGGCGAAAGCTCTGCTCCATTCTCATTACACACTTCCAGAATTAAAAAAATATAGAAACAAACAAAGAAAACTAAACTAAACCCACCTTGGGATACTTATAATATAATCCAATGTCCATATAAATATCACCCCAAGGAAACCAGAGGCCCGTCAAACCTTTTTCACTTTCATTTTTGATCAGGGGAAAGGAAATACAGAGTTGATCGATGGGGAGTTATAGGATGTGCCTGTGCTTTACCAGGAGGTTCAAAGTCACTGAGGCAGCACCACCACCGGACGTTAAGGATGCATTCATGAAGTATGCTGAAGGTGCGCCCCACATGACGGCGGAGCAGCTGCATAGATTCTTGGTGGATGTGCAGGGGCAAAGCGGTGCGACGGTGGCGGATGCAGAGGGGATTTTACAGCAGGTGCTGCAGAAACGACATCATATGGCTAAGTTCAGGAGACACACTTTAACTCTTGATGATTTCCATCATTACTTGTTTTCTGCAGATCTGAATCCGCCCATTGGTGATCAGGTGCTCTGGTTTTTTCTTCTTCTTCCCATTTTTGATATTTTCATTTTTCCTCTGTTTCTTGATGTTCTGTTTTGTTGAGGTTCCAAAAACTCTCGTATCTTTTTGGAATTTTATTGGTTGTGAAATTTTTTTCCCCCTTTTTTTGGTATGTTAAAGATTTGAGTTTTTGGTGCTGCTGGAGGTTGTTTTTCGTGCTATTCATGTACTCCCAAAGTTTGCCTTTTTTCTGTCTTGTTTTGGAAAGAAAAGGAATGCTCTTTCAAAACTATAACAAAATTAGTCTTTGATGTTTCTTGTTTGAACAAGTTGTTCTCTTCAAGCAAAGTGCATATGATTTTGAAATTTTGATCCAATCACTAGCAAAATTTTATAATTTTACACAGAAAATTGAGGAATGTTCCTTATCCAATTTTTTTTTCTCTTCCTTGATAATTGCAATTCTACTAAAATTAGATAATCGGAAACTTGCTTGCAACTCTTTTGTGGAGATTATGGGGCCATTTGTTTGACAATTAGTACGATCTTTGTCTTCAGGTCCACCATGACATGACAGCACCTTTGTCACATTATTTCATATACACTGGTCACAATTCATACTTGACGGGAAATCAGCTCAGCAGTGACTGCAGCGATGTCCCAATCATAAAGGCACTGAAGAGAGGTGTGAGAGTGGTGGAGCTTGATATATGGCCAAATAACGCAAAAAATGATGTGCATGTTCTACATGGAAGGTAAAATATACTTCTAATTTCCTTGTTATTGGATTATGAAGTATAGTCAGTATGTTTTTCAATGTGGGAATGTCTTGATAGAACTATATTGATTTTCTTTCTCTAGACAGGAACTTAAGATGGTAATAAGAACAACTTAGAAATCATTGATTTATGAGGCAAAATGCATGCTTTTGTAGCATTGATTAGCAGGCATGGTTTGATTTACAATTGAGCTTTTTATGAATGGAATACTGTTAACCTTTGATAAACTATTATTTTTGTTTACTTAGTAAGATGAGAGGTTCAGTAGATTTTTTTTTTTCTCCTTGTTGGATCCCCATACCTACAAAAAGTTGAGAAACCTTGCATCTACAGGCAGTCAGCAAGATATCAATTTCCTCTGCACGAGGAGTACATAATTTTGTCTCATTTTCATTTAAGTGTTTTAGGAGACCAAGTCCATCAATCAATGAGGTGGTTTTGAAAAGTCTTGGTGCTTGCTTGTTTCCAAATTGGGCTTTTTTCCCCTGGAGGAAGTAAATAGGGTGGATGTTCTCTTCCCTATAGGTCATACTTAGCAGCTTAATTTTAGAACGTAATAGCTTTGAAGCATGGTTATTTAAGGTAGCTAATCTGATGTCTTTTTGGTACAAGTGATAGTATGTGTTAATCAATGAATCAATTTCTGTTTAGATCCATGCCCAGGAACCCTTAACGAGGCCGCAAAAGAACTTTTGAAACTTTGAATAGAGAGTAAAAAGATAATCAATGTCTATTAGGAGATAATGATTCAGGTTTGAATATCTACTTAATGCCAAAGTGGAAAGAACCATCGAATAGAGGAGAGAAAAAGTGAACCAACATCTATTCCTTCTTTTTCTGCAGCAATTAACATTTGATATTACTTCCATCTTGAGTCAGCTTATTCTTTTTATTTTGTTTTGTTTCTTCTTCTTGAACATTCTTTGAATTGTCTGTTTATGAAACTAGGACTTTGACAACTCCCGTAGAACTCATTAGATGCTTAAAGTCCATTAAAGAACATGCTTTTAGTGCATCCCCGTATCCCGTTATAATTACTCTTGAAGACCACCTGACTCCAGATCTTCAGGCGAAAGCTGCTCAGGTTCTTTATACAATTCTTTATCTATCAGCCAGCAGTTGTGCTTGGTATCACCTTTGACTGACGTGAAACTAATTTCATGGTAGATGGTTACTCAAACATTTGGAAAAATGCTGTTTTGCCCTGAAACTGATCAATGTTTAAAGGAATTCCCTTCACCGGAGGATTTGAAGTATCGCATCATTATATCAACCAAACCTCCCAAAGAGTACCTTGAAGCTCAGAATAACAAGGACAAAATGAATAATTCACAAAAGGGGAAGGATTCTGATGATGATGTGTGGGGAAAAGAACCAGCAGAGCTTACAGCTAATCAAGAAGATGATAAGGTGTGCTTGGAAATGAATGGAATTACATGTTGGTTTCATTTAACCTATTATGTACCTTTTATTAGGGATGATGAGGAATCTTTTACAGGTGCACCCAGATATTTGCACCATCTTCCAAGACTTATGTAGCTTTTTTGGTATTCACATTGAAGTTTCCTCTATGGTTTGCAGACTGATAGTGATGCAAGCGAGAACAATCAGGATGATGAAGATTCGGATGCACTTGAACCTGAAGTATCCCCTTCAGAAGCACCTGTGTACCACCGTCTTATTGCCATTCATGCTGGCAAACCTAAGGGAGGTTTGAAGGAGGCACTAAAAGTTGAACTTGATAAAGTTCGGCGCCTTAGTCTGAGTGAACAAGCACTTGAAAAGGCCACAATGTCCAATGGGAGAGATGTTGTGAGGTAATTATTTGTATTATTAGTTTCAAATCAAACCTCCCTGTTATGATGTGCTGAATATGTAAAATGTAATTGATTTTTCTGCTTTATTAATAACTTTTTGACAATTCCCATTTATATAATCCTCATGATCATTGTATTTAGATTTACCCAGAAGAATTTCCTGAGAATATATCCTAAGGGTACTCGGTTTAACTCCTCCAACTACAAGCCACTGATTGGTCGGATGCATGGAGCTCAAATGGTTGCCTTTAACATGCAGGTTTTGTATCTCTAGTTCTCTACCTATTTCAGTTGCCCAAATCATTGAATATTTAAATGCTGTACTCTAAAACTAATGCCAAGTCTTGCCTCAACTAGCTGGATTAGTCTGGAAGATTGTTTCTAGATTTGTGTTATAGTCGGTGAACTTTAGGCTGAAGGTAAGTAATAGTGTTTCATTGAATTAAGTCCCCTAGTGAAATAACTAAGTTCATATATTTGATGTGGTCATAGGTGATAAGATATTAGCTTGTAGGGATAAAAGTGTTCAATCTCCGGTGTGTTTCATTTAAATTTTCCTTATGAATGTGCTTTTTAGAGACTAAAAGAAAAGAGGTAGAAGAGAGGAAAGCATGACTTCCTGAACGTGTTTTTCAGCATTGAAGTCACAAACGCGAGCATATCGAATTAGAACATGCTATAAATACTAAAAGCATTTTCTTCAATGCTATCTTTCCTTCTTAATTTGAATGCAAAATTTGTTGTTACCACCCAAATTTGAATGACAGGGTTTCATAGTGCACTTTATATGTCCAACCAACAAGGTTTTGGTCTAATTGCAGGGATACGGTACGTCTCTTTGGCTGATGCATGGGATGTTTAGATCTAATGGAGGCTGTGGTTATGTGAAAAAACCGGATTTTCTGATGAATGCGGATCCGAAGAGTGGGGTGTTTGATCCAAAAGCTAAGTTACCTGTGAAGAAAACTTTAAAGGTAAGCATAATGCAATATTAACAGATTCATTCTCAACACCCTTTTACAGTTTTATTGAATCCTTTGTTGTCTTCTTGACAGGTGAAAGTCTATATGGGAGATGGGTGGCACTTAGATTTTAAACAAACACACTTTGACTTCTATTCTCCACCTGACTTCTACACCAAGGTAAGATGATTTGCACCAGTAGCCCGAGATAATAATTGTTTGTATGTGCATGTATCTGAACTTCTGAGTATTTAAAAGCAAAAATGATTGTGAATTGACGAAGAACAAAGTAGTTTGATTACCTTGTTGCATGAATTTAACTCTGAATTTTTAATGCAGGTTGGCATAGCAGGAGTGCCAGCTGATGAAATAATGAAGAAAACAAAGAAAAAAGAAGACAACTGGACACCTGTTTGGGATGAAGAATTTGCATTTCCATTGACTGTTCCTGAACTGGCTTTGCTTCGAGTTGAGGTCCATGAATATGACATGTCTGAGAAGGATGATTTTGGCGGTCAAACTTGTTTGCCAGTCTCTGAACTGAAGTCAGGGATTCGGGCAGTTCCCCTCTTTAATGAAAAGGGAGAGAAGTTCAACTCTGTAAGACTTCTTATGCGCTTTGAGTTAGTCGACTATGAAGAGATGTCTGGTTGAGATTTCAACTACCTGATGTCCATTATATCCTTGTAACATAATCTTTTGCTTTTCAATTAGTATCTGTGGATTATTTTCCCTGTTTTGCAGCGTATTTATGATCTAAAAAAAATGTTTTTTGTTTTGACAGAAGTAATTATTTCAGCTTCTTGTACACCTGCCAAAGAAAAAAAATAAAAAAAAAGAAGTGTTTGATCCACCTAGTGCATTCTCTCAATTATATTCCTAATCCTGAATATTAGTTTAAACCAGGATATTAGCTATTTGATTCAGAACAATGCTCCAACTACATAGGTTTACTTTAAAAACAAGTTATTCCCTATGCGTGCTCACCAGCTTAACTAAAATAAATACTTCGCCAATTCATCTTCAAGCATGACCATCCATGCTTTAATTTTCACGCAAGTGTGATTTTATTTTCGAAGTTATATACAGCAGCATTACTTGTTTCTCAATTCTCAACTAGCTGGTGTTGTGGATCCATCCCCTAATGCTACAACAAGCACTTGTTTTCACAATAGTAACGTTATGCAAAACTGTTAAAATTTCGGATCAATGGGATAGTTTTTGGCAAAGTATAATAACAATACTAGTAACAAGGCAAAGAACATAAAGCTTTCTGATTATCATGTACAAGCTCAATAAAGCAAGTCAATAGCTTTTGAAGGATGCAATTTACTCAAGTTTATCCAAAATGGTAGACCATTGTTTCATTTTCTTCAAATAATCATAACAATCACAATGTTTTCATACTTTACTCATCACTGCAGAGTTGCATTCTACAAATACTGTTATGGCTTTTGAGTTCTCTAAGCACATGATACTACTGGAACCTACCTTACAAAATGTTGGTAAATGAAAAGATTTTGAAACAAGCATTATTGTACCATGTCTCACCTCCATTTTCAGCTGTTTGTATCATTCTTTGGACTTGTACCATTTGCGAATTCAACAAATATCAGCCTTCCGCGGACAATCTGTGCAAAGAACAATAACATGTAAGACAGGGTGGCTGGGAATATGCATTTCGCAGCATGTTTTGATAACAAGGAAAATGCTCAAAATCTCAACTTTACTCTTATTAAAGCAAGTTTACACAACATAAAACAAAACTAATGAACGTAGTAAGCAGAGCATTGATCAGAACTTTCTTACACATAATGAACCACATATTTACCAGACAATCAGATGGCAAATCGAAATTGCCATTGGAAAGAAAAAGATATATAATGAAGGTGAATTATGAGGATATTACCCTGCCATTCATGGCTTTTAATGCCTTCTGTGCCTCCATCTCAGTTTCATATGTAACAAAACCAAACCCTTTAGGCCTTTGAGTCTTGGGGTCTCTGATGAGGTTAGCTACTCACTCAACAAAAAAAAAAAAAAAAAAAAAAACGACAACCCAATACAGGGATTGGTCAAGTACTCTGAATTTCGGAGAAAATCATAATAAATTGAATGAAAATTTTAGTACCTTCTTTAACAACACCAAATGGCGAAAATAAAGTTTTAAGCTCTTGATGGGTTGTGAAAAATGACAACCCTGCGACCAAGTGTTAGAATTAATTCCTTAAAAATTAAACAAAACCCAAATTGAAAAATTGAAAAGTGAAGGAAAGAGAAAGAGAGAAGGGACAGTCACTAACTGCTAACGAAGAGCTGAGCGCCCAATCTCTTTGCCATCTGAGGCTGAAATGAAGTGCAGCCAAACAGGACACCTAGAGTTGGTAGTTTCTGTTATTTGTGGACATCATAGCTATGCGAAACCACGACGTCCTTCCCTTTACCTTCGGATGGATGAAATGAAACGCTCTTCTGTCTCATGCTGCGGGTGCTTTTTTTTAATTGGAATTTATAAAAATTTTCAATTTTTTTTTATTTTTTGTATTTTATTACAATTTTAATACATATCATATTTATCAACGTTATTTTTTAGATATGATAAATTATTTCTTATACCATTTATCAGTAAAAAAACAAAAAATCACAATTTTAATTTTATGTATAATAGTTTGTATAATGATAAGAAAATAATTTATGAGGGTTTAATTTAAAAAATTATTTTCAAGTATTAGTTCATATAAAATACTTGTTTATTAGACTTTTGAAAATTAAAAATTCCAGCAAGTAATTTTTTTAAAATTAGATAAAAAAATTTTAAGAATTAAAAAAAATGAAAAACCTTTGATTAACGTGTGCCACTAATTGCATATTGGGTTAGATTTTTCGTACGGTCTTACCCAGACCCAATGGCTTAAGGAATTGGGCCACGACTATCTAAAGCCCATAATCAAGGTCCAATAATAGACAATAAGGGCCCGTTCCAAGGAAATATAAAACTAAAATATTTAGAGTAAATTTTATACTTATCACTTAATTTTTATATGTATTTTATTATTTTAATCTAATATATATTGTACATGAGACAGATTTTACATGTTTATATGTATTTTATTAATTTCAAATAATTTTTTACTATCATATGAATTTTAAATATTTGTACAACGTATAAGTATATATTCATAATATATAATTATTTAAAAATAAATATTTACGTGCAACGAGGACTAAAACTAATAATCAAGTAAATAACATGAAATTTTTATCGGAATAAAAAAGAAATTTTCAAATAATTACAATATCCTTTCCGATAGTTTTTAAATTTATCATTTTTCCCTAATAAATAGTTAATTCAAAATATTTGTCCTTTCTTTAAATATTCCTTTTCCAATTTTCTTCCACTCCCACCCACGCAATCTTTGATCACACAGCAAAAAGATAAATCTATGGTTCTGAATTTCCCAGCCATATCTAATGGTTAAAAGCAAGTTGATCTCATGGGATCTAGGACAAAATTTAGATAAATTTTTTTAGATAAAATTTGTTAAATTTTTTTATTAAAAAAAGATTTAATAAAAATTTTAAAATGATAAGTTGACAAATTTAATGAGAAAATTTATAATATATAAAATATTATTTAAAATTTAAATTTAATTAATATTAATTCAATATAAAAAATTATTACAATTTTTAATAAAAATATCTATTTAAAAAATATATTAAAAAATTTTAAATTTTTATACATTTAATTTATGTAATAAAATTTTTCAATATATTAATTTTATTTTAAAAACTTGAGTTAAATCTTTTCGAATATCGTTGTAAGGTTCTAATTATAGGTCCAACTAGAAGGCCAAAGACAAAAAAGCAAGTCAATCCAACCAAAAAAAAAAAACAAAAAAGAACAAAAATGGAAACTGCTAGTCGAAGAAAGTAGTGGATCAGGACAAATAAAATTATTAATTTGTAATAGTAAATTGAAGCATATTAAATTACTAAAAATTTGACCAGCTGGTTTACATAATGAGTAGAGAGCGGCGTTATTCACGTGCAAATGGGCCATCTCATCTCCATCGACCTGTCTGCTCTCCTTTGCGCTTTGCTATGCTCATGCTGCTCATGTTATTACGGCCCACGTCAAAAAAAAATCTCATTGACAGAAAGAAGAAAAAAGTAAGAAACTTTGATTGACTCGTTAATTAGAAGGGATAAATGTTAGATTAGACAGAGTGGAGATGGGGATGGAGATGGATGGATTGTAAGACATCTCCATCAACTATTGCAAAACTTTCTCTCGACATTTTCAGATCCACCATCTTAAAAGGTTCCTATATGTCCTGTTGCATGCTTTTTTTACCTTGACAAGCAAAAAAAAAAAAAATTGCTAATTGCCGGGTCAATTTTATGTCAGATTCAATATGTGTTTGAATTTGAATCTATTTTTGTGATCTTGGGATTCAATTAAATGATTGACATTATAATTTGAAATTAAAAATAATTTGTTTTTAATATATTGATCATTGTTCAAATGTCATTGTAATTGCAAATAATTAAGGATATTACCCATCAAAGTTTATAAGAAGGATGTTTTATTTTTATTTTCGGTTCGATCCTGACGAGTAATCCAACGTTTTGGAATTGATTCTTGTTTGGGGTCTTTTAAAATTCATCAAAAAAAAGAAAGGGATTCTTTGATTCTTTCTATCATACTCTGTGGAAATGAAAATAAAATATTCTGAACATGGACAAACATGGCAAGCTTTATCTGGAAAAAGTTTAAACAAACAAAAAAGACATATAAAACTAAATGTAAAAGAAAGACTTTGACTAAAATCACAGAAACAATCCGACACTTTAAAATTAATTTAGACATCCACGACTATCACAGATTATTCTTGTTTCTAAACAATATACCAATATTTATCAGAAATTATCTGCTTCCATTTCTTTTCTGATCATGTTTCCATGTGGGAGTAAAATCCAACTTTCCAGGAATCCCTCATGGCAGTAAAACAAAGCAGGCGGTAGTTTGTTGAACAAATCTGATATATAAAGAGAGTTGGGGAATATCACTTGTCAAAATCATCAATAAATCAACATTCAACAATAATATTCCAAGAAGGTAGAAACAAGTTGAAAGGAAAGTAAAGATAGTCATCAGCACTTGACATTTTATGTTTCTTTTTATCTGATTCTGTGAAGGAAGGTTTCTCGCGGCTCATTTCTGATCGTGGGGTACATGGGAAATTATAGCATGTGCATTTGCTTCCCTAAGAAATTTGGGGTCACTGAGGCAGGGCCACCAATGGACGTGAAGGAGGTTTTCATGGAGTACGCCGAGGGGGGTACCTGCATGACAGTGGAGCAGCTGAGGCGGTTCTTGATGGAGGTTCAAGGTGATGCTGAAGCTTCCATTGAAGATGCTGAGAGGATTGTGGAGGAAGTGCTCCAGAGGAGGCATAACAATAACGTAAAGTTTACAAAGCAGGCTCTAAGTCTTGAAGATTTTCACTTTTACTTATTCTCTGTGGATCTCAACCCTTCTCTCCTTGATCAGGTATTAATCTGCTATTTCTTCTTTCTTGGTGTTTTGTTTGGTTGCACATGTGCTAGGAAAAGTTACAAATATTAGATATTTGTTTGGAGATAGAAAAACCAAAGTACATTTTAATGTTTAACATAGAGCAAATTCCATTGATCAGGTTCATCAAGATATGACTGCTCCTCTCTCCTACTACTTCATATATACTGGTCACAATTCATATTTGACTGGAAATCAAATCAGCAGTGATTGCAGCGATGTTCCAATCATAAAGGCACTTAAGAGAGGTTTAAGAGTGGTGGAACTTGATTTATGGCCAAATTCTACAAAAGATGATGTCCTTGTTCTTCATGGATGGTATGTACATTTCATGTCTAAAAATTACAAAAAAAAGAAAAGAATTCTCAACTGAATTTACTTAAAAGATTCTTGTGATTTCAAGGTTTTTCTTTTTCTGAGATAATGTAGCGCTGGTTTTGTGTAATTATGAAATGTAGGACACTGACAACTCCTGTGGAGCTGATAAAATGTTTGAGATCCATTAAAGAACATGCCTTTTCAGCGTCTCCATATCCAGTGATAATTACTTTTGAAGATCACCTTACCCCAGATCTTCAAGCTAAAGTTGCTCAGGTTTTTTTATCATTTTCTTATTATAATTTTAATACCACCACTCTTTCCTGAAATCATACATTTGTAATTAATGCTTCACAGCACTTGTTTGGTCTATAGATGGTCACCCAAACATTTGGAAACATGTTGTTTTATCCTGACTCTGATTGTGTGCAAGAATTCCCTTCCCCGGAGGAACTGAAATATCGAATTGTCATATCAACTAAACCTCCAAAAGAATACCTTGAAGATATAAGCTTATCAGGCAGAAGAAGTAACTCCCACACAGAAAAAGATTCTGATGAGGATATATGGGGGAGAATGTCAGCAGACCTCACATATGATGATGAGAAGGTCAGCTGAAAAAAGGCAAAAAAAAAAAAAGAAGAAAAACTTATTCTCTTTTTCATATTTCTGCCTACATTTCTCCTTAGATTTTTAAATTTTTGCCCTGTTTTACCTGCAGAGTGATTGTGATACTAGTGAACATATTCAATATGATGGTGACAATGAAACCTATGATCGTCTATTACGCCCATTAGGGCCACCTACGTACAAGAATCTAATTTCCATTCCAGCTGGAAAGCCAAAGGGAAAGCTGAGGGAGAAACTAAAAGTTGAGATAGATAAAGTTAGACGTCTAAGTTTGAGTGAACAAAAATTTGAAAAGGCTACTATCTGTCATGGAACAGAAGTTGTCAGGTAAACAGCAACTGTAATAAGTAACTTTTTTAATGTTAGTGATCGCACTCCATATTTTGAAAAAGAACAATGTTCAAAATTTATTTATGACTGAATTTAATCTAATCTAATCCTGGAAATAATGGTGTTTAGGTTCACACAGAGGAACATTTTGAGGATATATCCTAGGGGTACTCGGGTTAATTCCTCAAACTACAATCCTCTAATGGGTTGGATGCATGGGGCTCAAATGGTTGCTTTAAACATGCAGGTTTGGTTTGTATTCCCTTTTTCAATATCTGAAAACTTTTTTCTACATGATCTGTCTGATTGGCTCCTAGAAATTTTTTGGGTCTAAGATTAATAAACATGTTTTCTGGTCTAATTGCAGGGATATGGCAAATCTCTATGGTTGATGCATGGAATGTTTAGATCCAACGGAGGGAGTGGCTATGTGAAAAAGCCAGACTTTCTGATGAATGTGGGTCCAAATGATCAGGTTTTTTATCCTAAAGCAAAGCTTCAAGTGAAGAAAATCATAAAAGTGAGTGTGGAAATTTAAAAAAATAATAAAAGAACTGATTCTCGCCATAGTGATCATCTTTGCTCTAATTGTCTTCCCATGCTACCCAACAGGTCAAAGTATATATGGGAGATGGATGGCATTTAGATTTTAGACAAAGGCAGCTTAATCTTTGGTCTCCACCAGAATTCTACACCAGGGTAACTATTACTACTTGCTTATGGTACTTAGAAATCTGATTGGCAGAAATCAATCATCCAATTACTCAGATGTTCAAGCAATTCCTATCTCTAAGCAGATTGGCATAGCAGGAGTACCCGCAGATAAGACAATGAAGAAAACAAAGAAAAGAAAGGGCAATTGGACCCCAGTGTGGGATGAGGAGTTCACATTTCCATTGACAGTTCCGGAAATAGCTTTACTTCGAGTTGAAGTTCGTGAATATAACATGCCTGAGAAAGATTATTTCGCTGGCCAGACTTGCCTGCCGGTGTCCGAATTGAGACCAGGCATTAGGGCAGTGCCTTTATTTAACCGCAAAGGAGAGAAGTTCACTTCACTTAGGCTTCTCATGCGCTTTGAGTTTGTCCAAGTACATATTTAGTCTTACACCGTTTTATTAGTACAGTACTTTCCCATAATTGGGATGTCCACGCAAATGCAATAGATACTAATCTCCCGAAACAAAAAACCATCACATCTCATTTTTGTGTTCTGTAATAGTAATCAAATGCAAGAAATTTATAGTGCATTACTACGTTTAGTTACTTAAATTCATCTAAATTTTGAAATTATCCAAACATGATGGTGTTTCAGAAACTTGAGTCAGAATTTGAAACCGAAAGGATGTATGTATCATACTCAAAATTGACCCGGTCACTCAAGCTGCCCACACGACGACTTGAGTCAATATATCTTAACTCCTTATTTTCAACCAAGAATGCCCTACCAATTTTTTTTTCCTTTAGGCCCCCAAGGGGCCAGCACCTGTTCTTGTCTGGTAATGTTCAAAAGGCATCAATGGTAATGAGTTGTTCATAATGGTACTAGTAGTTTTGTTAATGACATTAAAGACACCTACCAGTATACTTTGTTTTATTTGTCTTTCCAGTGCAGATGCCTGGTCAAAATTTCCAGCTCAATAATCCATAATCCATAGATTCCCCTAATATAGACTAAAACCTCGAGAAATTCTTTCCCTCGCCTGGTTAGAGAATATAAAATCTGGGTGCCAAGCATTTTCCTCTACTTTGCTGCCAAAAAGAGAAATGCACAAAGAAAAGAAGCAGGTCCCCACTTCATTCCTTGCTCTCCTTTGACCCTTAATTTTACCCTTTTTTAGCGAATGACAAGCGATCTCTTCCCTTGGTACCAAGTAAAAAAGTAGCAACTTGTTAAACATTTCATTCCCAAGCAGCTGATATGTAATAAATATGATGGAATATGGACAGTTTCAGCTTCCTTAGAGTCATTGCTTGAGCACATATTCTCACTTTATTAAAAAGCCATTCCTGTTTTTCCATCTTCATATATATACAAGGAAAACTTCAGTACTGAGAAGGAGAAAGAAACATCATCAGAGTTGAGATTTCAGTCTTAGTCTGTGAAAGGGGAGATGTTGAAGCAGAATTTCAAGGTCTGCCTGTGTTGGAAGAGAATATTCAAGGCAAGGGCAGTTGAGCCACCTCTAGATGTCAAGAATGCGTTTTACCGTTATTCACGAAGCGGAATGATGACAGTTGATGAGCTGCTGAGGTTTCTGATTGAACATCAAGGAGAAATGAATGCCACCAAGGAGGATGCTCAGGCCATTTTTGATAGCCTCAAGCATCTCAACATCTTCCACAGGAGAGGTCTCCATTTAGAAGCCTTCTTTAGATATCTCCTTGGTGATCATAACCTTGCTCACCCTCCTCAAAAGGTAATTGGGGTTTTTCTCTTAATATGAACAGAGGAATCTATCAATACTTACATGGTTTAAAGTTTTTAATAATAATAAACTACCCAAGCCTATAATTTGCAGCAGATATAATTGAATTATCATTTTTTTGGTAATTGAGGTTACGGATTTGAACCTGATTATTGAAACTGAGAGTCCAATAGTCTACATGCATTAGTTCATAATATACTAGCAAATATATACTGCCTAGTTTCTTTCTGATTCAATATAAATGATGAAATTGAAGCACTTAAACCCTCCATTCCCATAATTCCGTTCCCCTCTTCCTGGACTAATCATTGGATGATCTCTGGTAGTTATGATGAATCTAGTCTACTATTGTGGAAAGCTTCAGTCTGCCTTACTAATTCAGAGGAAGATCTATTTGAATTTAGGTGCATCATGACATGAATGCTTCATTGGCACATTATTTCTTATTTACGGGCCATAACTCCTACTTGACTGGGAACCAAGTCAGCAGTGCCAGCAGTGTTGTACCAATTAAAAATGCCCTGCTTAGAGGTGTAAGAGTAATTGAATTGGATCTTTGGCCAAATTCCAAGGGAAACGATGTGGAAGTTCGTCATGGCGGGTATGAAGTTAGCATACTCTTTTATTAATCCATCTGTATTTTTCTTGTGAGGGAAAACTCATTTTTACAAGTAAATTCTAGAATCTGAAATGAAGTGATCCTGACAGAAGATGCACTTGCTAATACTTTTTTTAAGTTATAATAACTATTATAACATTACTTTTTTCAAGTAGTTTACAATTTTTACAAAAATGCATGAAACCAAAGTGATGAATTCACTAAAACTGCAGGACTCTCACTTCTCCTGTGGACCTCCAAAAATGTTTGCAAGCAATTAAGGAGAATGCATTTCATGCTTCGGAATATCCCGTTGTGATCACTTTTGAAGACCACTTAAATCAAAATCTTCAGAAGAAAGTGGCTAAGGTGAGCTTAGAGTGAGAGTGGAATTATGGAATGTTACCAATACTAAGCCTGAAATGTGCTTTTTTCTTTAGATGGTCACAGAAACTTTTGGAGAAATGCTCTACTGCACTGAAACAGAAATTTTAGAGCAATTTCCTTCACCGGAATTATTGAAGAGAAGGGTTCTGATTTCAACCAAACCCCCAAAGGAGTACCTCGAAGGAAATACTGCAGGAGAAGAAGTTTCAGAAAATGAGAGTAGAACAGTAAGAAATGAACGTCAAGCTAGTAGCCCGGTGCCTAATTAGAGTTAAATATATATATGCTTCAGTGATCAAATGTCGACAATAATTTCTTACCTAAGTTTCATTTATGATTTGGTAGCGGAATCCATCAGATATAGGAGAACATGTTCCGGATGAAGATGAGGAGAAGGCTGTGCCTCAATACAGGCAACTAATTGCCATACATGCAGGGAAGCTGAAAGGTGGATTAGAAAACTGGCTGAGTGATGATCCTAAGAAAGTTAGACGGCTTAGCTTGAGTGAACAAGAGCTTGAAAATGCTACTAGAACACATGGAACTAAAATTGTCGGGTATACCGGCCTCTGTTTATTTTCAGCAGTTACTTTATAGTTCATAAATAAACAACTTTCTAAAGCATTAGCAGTTTTGCATGTTGATATGGATATTCTTTTCTATCGCCTGAAATTTCAATCTCCTAGTTCAACCTTTTCGATAAGACACAAGAAATTTGTGCTCTAACAATGCAAAAGATGCATAGTTTAGCAAGTGATTATATAACAAAATAACATGTTAGATACATCAGATCGGCTAACTGGCAGCATGCATGCGGTTAAACACTGATGATAAATATTGATATTTTGTGTTTTCACCCTCTTATTAGTTATCAAATTTATTGCATTCTTTCTCTAGGTTTACTCAGCGGAATTTGTTGAGGGTATTTCCTAAGGGCACACGCCTTGACTCTTCTAATTACAATCCTTTTGTTGGATGGATGCATGGAGCTCAAATGGTTGCATTTAACATGCAGGTAAGACCTTTTCAGGTCCAATATTTTTGGCTTCAGTCATATTATTTCACAGCTATTTCCGGTTTGATTGTTTCACTTGAAGAAGTTGACATCATAGCAAAAATACTGGCCTTGATTCTTTCATCAGCCTCTTCTATGGAAAAGTTAGCTAGCCGTGAGACCCATGTCAAAGAATCCCTTTTAAGGAAATTGCCTTAGCTATTGCCCACAGACCTTCCAAGAGCACTTCGGCTGATTATGTTTAACTATTAGTTCTTGAGCTTTACTCTAAATGCTTGTTGGTATAAGTGTCATTCTCTACTCATTGTTTATGCAGTTGAACTATTCTTATGATCTTATCTGGCTTCGATTCTGACAGGGACATGGAAAGCACCTCTGGATAATGCAAGGAATGTTTAAAGCCAATGGTGGATGCGGCTATGTGAAAAAACCTGACTTTTTATTGCAGAGGGGTCCAAATGATGAAGTTTTTAATCCTAATGCGCCATTGGACGTCAAGACTGTTATGACGGTGGATCAATTTAGCCCTCCTTATAAGTGCATCATTTGGTTCCTTCACTATGTCAGTCTTTCATAGCTCAAATCATTTTTTTTTTGGCATGTTTACAGGTAAAAGTTTTCCTGGGGGAAGGTTGGCACCAGGATTTCCCCCACACAGCCTTTGATCGCTATTCCCCACCTGACTTCTATACAAGAGTGAGATGATTAAAATTCCTAATATTTCTCTAATACACTTCACTGTTTCACATTTCACATTCCTAATAACAGGACAAGTATGCAGTTTTTGGTGACTTAGTTATCTGTCTGCAGATTGGAATAGCTGGCGCTCGAGCAGATCGCGATATAAGGGAAACAGCAAAAATAGAAGATGAGTGGTTACCTGTATGGAACGAGGAGTTTGAATTCATCTTAAGAGTTCCTGAATTAGCTGTGCTTCGGATTGAAGTCCTTGAGTATGACACCACAGGGAAACCTGATTTCGGAGGCCAAGCATGTTTGCCTGTATCAGAGTTGAGAACCGGGATCCGGACAGTTCCGTTACATGACAAAAAAGGCAATAGGTACAAGCATGCAAGGCTTCTATTGAGCATCAAATTTGGGCTCCCTTATGATATCTGACTGCTGAGATTTGTTTGATGTTGTAATGGAACTCGTACTCGTACATTGCATGCCTAAACATTGGTCAATCAAATTGCTCAGTCTATTATACATCACCACCGGCTTGGTTTCAATTGGTCAATGAAGTTGTCTTTCTTCTCTCTCTCAATGAAAAGAAGTTAATCAAGTAGTCCTTCTTTGACTCCTGGTTAGCAGTAGCTCACTATAATAATATGTTTCTACTTTTGTATGAGGCTGGCATTAGCAGGCTAGCTTGATTTGTGAGGATTCTCATCACTAAAGAAAGAAAAAACTTTCTATAACAACTTAAAATCAAAAGTAGTCAAAATAAATTCTTTGCAATCAATGTAATGTACCTTAGTGTTGATTGACATTGTAGTTTTTTTTTGTAAAAAAACTATAGTTCTTTCTCGATTATTTATTATACTAATATAACTTGAAAATTTTAAATAAGATATAATAATAAGATACAAAAATAATACAATAAAATTTTAACAAAAATCATATATTAATTTAACAAAATAAAAAATATATATTTTATCTTTTACATGTGTTTAATACTAGATAAACACGAAATAGATATGTGAATTTACATGAATTGCCGAATTACCACAATTCAAATGACAATAAAGAAAAAAAATGATAAATTAGCTTGCAAGTTGTAAATGTTCATCATGTATTCACTACAAGTAACCATTAATGTTTTTGGGCCCATTAATCCTTTTAAGCCCATCTTCCAATCTCCGTATTGGAGGCGGGATGCCAAACGGCCTATAGCAATCCTTGGGCAAAGATCAGTACATTCTTTGTCCGATTGGGCCCACCTATTAGGCAATAACAAACCTTTCGGAGCCACTGTTTTCGCTAGCTCACTATGAATGCCGACAAAACCTTCTTCCAACTATCAGGTTTCCCTATCAAGTATGGCAGAGAAAAATCGGTGCATGTTGCTGGTCAGTTATCTTCTTGTACTGAAATAACTATGGAGCAATATTTATTAAAAAATGACGTAACTGTGGACTAATCAAGAACATGAAACAAGCGAATTGGCCTGAATCAGAAGCTTAGGAAGAAATTAGGTGTAACGTGACGGAGCAAGGTCAGCGATTAATAGTTGCTTATGGAGGGGAAGGTAGTTGAGGTAATGTCTGTTACCCGAATGTTTCAATGAAGCCTAAGACTACTAAGTATGAAGTCCAGAGTGATAATGCATTTGAGGTTGAAGCATTAAATGATGATCAATCATCTCTTCAAACTGGTTTGTCTGGTTCTGAAGCTGTTCTTGCGCTAGAACTTAAGGGCCTTGCTGATGTGGGTCTGGTAGGGATGCCCAATGCTGGTAAAAGTACTCTTCTAGGGGCTATCTCTAGGGCTAAGCCTGCAATAGGTCAGTGTGCTCCACGACTCTATCCGAGGCCAAATTTAGGGAATTTGAACTTCGACGACTTCTCAATTACAGTGGCTGATATTCCAGGATTAATAAAGGGTGCTCACCATAATTGTGGAATTGGACATGCTTTCCTCCGCCACATAGAACGAACTGAGGTTTTGGCATACGTTGTAGACCTCGTTGCTGCATTAGATGGTAGGAAAGGAATTCCACCGTGGGAACAACTGAAAGATTTAGTCTTAGACCTAGAGCACCATCAGGAAGGTCTGTGAATCGACCATCCTTGGCAGTTGCAAATAAAATTGATGAGACTGAGGCTGGAGAAGTGTTTGACAAGTTGGAAAAAAGGGCAAAAGGCGTTCCTATATATCAAGTCCGGGCAGTGCTGTGGGAAGGAATATCAGAGCTGAAATCTGGTCTTAGAATGCTTGTAAATGGTGATGAGAAATCAAACTCAGTGCGGAAAACATGTATTGATTATGTTATAATGAGACTTATGTCGTTTTGACATCATTCCTACTCCCTCCTCTATCATTTCTTTGCTTTCTTTCTTTTAACTATTATTTTTTAAATCTTATCATTTGATTAAATTGAAAAGAAAAAAAAAGAACAAATATTGATTTTTTCTTGGCTAATTGAAACCAAAGATTGATTTAATCAATCAATTTGTGATTTACCAGTATGTATAGAAATTATAATCCAGCCATGAGAGGTCTAACTAGGTTTTCTTATATATCATTACAAAGAAAGAGCAACAAAACTTAGACGTTGCAAGAAAAATGTTTCGTCACTTTGATGCCTACAAGTAACAAGTAATGTATCTCAACTAGGGATATTAGTCCGATCCGAGCCCGACGAGTTTCAATCAGATTAAATTAGACCTCATAGAATCGATTTTTTTTTTTAAATCGAATTTCAGGTAGGATCGGATTCAGATTTTAGACAAATTCGATCCGATATTATATTAAAAATTATCTTTTAATTATTTTTAAAATTTTTTATTTATATATAATTATATAATTATATATTTATATTTAAAAAATAATATTTTATATTATAAAATTAATATTTTATTAATTTCGGATCGAATACAATTAATATAATATTGAGTCGGGTTCGTGTATGAAAAAATTAAAAAAAATTCAAGTCGAATCGAATACGAATTTTATAATTATAAAATCGGATCAGATCAAGGTGAGTAAAAATTCATCTCGATCCAACCTATTGCCATCACTAATCTCAACTTGTTTTATTCAATTTTTTTTTTAATTTTATTTTCATCATATTCTATTTGGCCATCAACTATTTTATCATATTCTCATCATATGCTACAAAGTTTCGATATTCCCACAGTTGATGGATTAGAATTTATTAGAAAAATATTTACAAGCGAAAATGATATATGATTATATATGGATAATTGACATCTTCTTGATGGATGGCAAATTTTAAATTTTAAAGGGATATGTATTTATTATAAGTGAACATCAATTTTCAATATTACTTGTTTACTACCTTAATATCTAACTTTTACAACCAAAAGAGTAATTATAAGAAAAGAAAAAGAGATCAAAACCCAAAGCAACAATTAGCTTTAGCAACCCATTTTTGGTTTTCATTTATGCAAGAGTTTGATCTCCAGAGATTATAGCATCTTAGTTTCACTTTCACACGCATAAAATTGAAAAATATTTTCCCCAACACTTTAAATTTTGAATAATTAATTTTAACAACTATTTTTTTTCAATTATTTTTATATTTAAAATTATTAAAATTTAAATTTTAATCACTGAAATTAAAAATATAATATTATCAAATAAACCGCACAGCTGTTGGCAATCATTTCCTTTCCTTGTTGTTTACTGTATAACTTCTTGTTGTATGATAACAAGAATCAAATTAAGCATTCTCCAAATTATTTTAAAAAGGCTTATTGTCTTAAATGATTGTGACAAAAAAAAAAAGGGGTCAAATAAGACTATAGTATTAGTTTTTTGAATAATGTATTTTTTATTTATAATTTTAATCGCTGTCCACAAGGATTCAAGGAAGGGCAACAGACAAAGATTTTCGTTTTTTTTTTCTCCATGGGGAAGAGCCTGATGCAATTGTACAATTCCAAAGAAGCAATTATCCAAGGATTTGCCACGTGTACGGTGAATATCCACTCTCCCTTTCTTCAAGTCCACTATAAATACCAGTCCAGGTCTCGTATCAAACTCATCTCTTCCTTTTTTCTATTGAATCCCTAGTAGAAATTTTCCCAATCTCCTCTTCACTCTGCAAAAAAAAAAAAATGTCTTCAGGATGCACCTGTGGTTCTGACTGTAAATGCGGTGATAGCTGCTCGTAATATATAATTCTATCTGTTACTTGTAATTATCGTTTTTTTTTTTGTTACATATATGCGCATATGTGTATATGCATGTGCATACGCGTTTATATTTTTTAGAAATAGAAGATAAGAGAACACATTTGAAACCAATTCTCTTTCAACTTGTTTGATTTCAATTTTTGCCTTTGAATTCTGCAGATGCAGCAGGAACCTTAACTTGGGATACACTGAGAAGACCACAACAGGGACCATCATCTCCGGAGTTGCGACAGTGAAGATGTTAGTGGCAAAAAAAACTAGATTCGAATTTTATTATCACCAGTAAATCAAAGTTTTGCTTAATGTTTTTATGGGAATTAAGAAAATTTGAAACCATGGGTTTAACTCGCAGGAACTTTGAGGGGTCCGAGATGAGTTTGGGAGCAGAAAGTGGGTGCAAGTGTGGAACAAGCTGCGGCTGTGATCCATGCACCTGTGGCTGAAGCAAAAAAATGGACATTCCAAAGACAAAGCAGCAAATGCCTGTAATAACTGAGGATTAAGGAAGGTCTATCTATAATCTATGTCTTGTGTAATAGATCCTGTCGTAAATAATACAAGCCAGGGCTTTGGCAATTCCTTTTACAAGGATTTTGCTGCTGCTTCATGACTAGTTTTATCTGTTGTTAAATTGTATGACGAGTCGCTGCTTTTGTCTGTATGGAGTGAGTCTGGGTTAAAAGTGGAAGCCCTTAAAGGGGAGGTTTAAGTATTATTTGGAGTGAATGAAGAATCAATTATTAATGAATGGATCTAGCTCCTTAATTTCATTTTCTGTTGTAGATTTTATTTATTTCTAGTTTCTGCAATTTGTATGGTTGACGTTTTGGTTGCTTTGATAATTGATATACTACATGATGTTGATTTGGTCAATCAGGGGAAAGAAATTAAATGTTTGCCAAGCTGATGCCTATGTGATAGTGACTTAAAATTTAATCTTATCCTAACAATTTTTTTATTAGGTGGCTTTAAGTGATTTGAGTAAACATAATAAAATTTTACTAAAATTTATTTATTCTGTCTTTGTTTTTTTTGTTTGTATATGTATTACTAAATGCTAAGACCAAAGAGAGTGGCAAAAACAATCTTTAAGTCAAACATATATGATCTAGCATGCATAAAACTCAAATCCAAATTTATATAAGAAAATTTAATGGATTTAAATAACGGAAATACCCAAATTAAAAAGTTTCTTATTCTTTTAAATTATCAGAAAACATAAATTACAGTTCCAATCTACAATTTGATTGAAGAAAAGGTATTACAGTTTTATCATTCTTAGACCCTAAAACAAAGGTTTGTAGCAATTTTTTTTTTTTTTTGGTTTGAATTAATTCACATCATAGAACAAGCGCGAGGATTCTCATCACTAAAAGCTGAACCAGTTTGATGACCAAAAATAGTAGAGTGAGCAGGGTGACGATAATAGGCAGGATCATTGCTATCATATCCATGCTTATAGTAATTGTAAGAAGAGGAAGGTTGGGGTGCATAATATGTCAAGGGGCCATTGCATTGGTGTTGATTGTAGTGATTAGCAAAACTGTGGTGCTCTGGATTGTAGGGAAGCTGCCACAGCTCGGCTCGCCGGCCGGTTTTCCTAACAGTTTTAAGAACCTTTTTCTGGTCAGCATATCCATTGACCGTCACCTTTTGCGTGCCCATATCAGTGTCAACTTCGTCGACGCCTGTGTGCACATGGAAAATCCTTAATATTATCATCAATTTAAAATTTTATATAGGCAAAGTAGGAGGATATATAATCATATAGAAGTACTAGATTTGTGGTATCAACAGCCCACCTTTGAGTTTCTGAAGAGCAGTTTTCACCTTGCTTTCACATCCAGCACAATCCATATGAACTCTCATCTCTATGATCTGAGAAAATAAACCAATTAAACGAATTAGTACTGATAGGATATTGATAATTGAGCTGAAAATAACTACATATAACAAGTTATTCAAGTTGAATATATTTGAACCTGAGACTTAAATTTTCTTATTATAAATAAGTTAAACAACTGTACATAAGCATTGTAATTTCTAAATTTTTTGTCCTAGAGAAATTGGAATTTTCTTTTTTTTAGGACCAAACTTTGAGGGAAACAATTTTGAAATAAATCAGGGATCTGGTTACATTCAAAACTTCATAAATGAATTGCAACAGTACAAAAAGAAACATACCGTCATTTTGCTTTGCTTCAAAAGCTTTAGAGGAACCTAACTATCTGAAAATTCTGGTCGCCAAGTGTGTAAATATATGATTTATTTGAAGTGGATAATCTATGTATGAAAAATTTAGACACAATATAACTGATGATCAAAGTCTGTACTTATATATCAACTATGGCATGGCCTGGTAGTACTTTTTTTTTAATGATCAGTAAGCATAATTTATGATTTAATGCACCGACTTTTAGAACTCTCAACGGTCTTGCAGGAGGAGAAGTGGGGTATTCTTGAAGCCACCTTGCTTTTCATGGGCATCCGCACTTCCTACCACAGTAACATGGTTTGATCGATATGGGCGGCGTTGACCTTAAACAATAAGCATTGATTATTGGATGTAAAATAAATCAGTTCCACGTGAATTTAGCATAAGCTGCTATAATTTCTTTGGACACAAAAAGTTCCACTAATTCTTCTTTATTCTACAACTTGTTTCGGACAACAAATCAGCAATGATTAAAGGAACAGAGGAGAAAAAAAATTGCAGAAAGTTTTACAAGCATTAATGGGCCGAGCATGAGATTAATATAGAGTCAAAAGAGTTAAACATGGTAACTGTAGGTCAACAGACTCTCTTCTAGAGCAGGGTACTCCTGGCTTAATTGTGATTAATGAGCACCTATATATTCCAGGCTGTACTTACCATTAACTATATAGAAATTTGAGAGGATCCGATATATCAAATTGGTTACTTTGATACATTCACGAGAATGCTGCAAATCTACAATCAAACCTATAGGAGTTGGATTCAGCCAGGTTCGTGTTCTTTTTTTTTTTTTTGGGTAAAGATGGCTTCTGCTGTTCCTTATTGTTGGAACATTTTTCTATCATCATCTTGGAAGGGCTAGAGGTAAAAAATCCAGGAGTGGTTTGAAAGTTGAAATGGGATATCTTTATCACATATATTGTAATACTGTAAGGTTTAGAGAAATCTAAACAACCTATCCCACTCAACAATGAACAAACTACTGATCGGATCTCTGAATACTTTGTTAGATTCATTTTTATGAGAAAATATTTATAACTTTCGAGTCCACCAGGCCTTGAACTGTTAAGATATATCTCGACTTTAGAGAACTTTTATTACATGGTGGAGAGCTGGCGATGAAATCATATCCAACCAGTTCTCTTAAATTTGACCAAAGCATGAGCAGGCAGCAGTATAAAAATCTCACATTCGCCACAACGCCTGGATTTGCTCCAATTGGAAATCAGACAGCCTGGAAATCATGACAAGGCCCTTTCAAACTTTAACCACTGCCCTTTTTGGGAAGTGTAATCCTTTTAACTTCAGCTTTAATGTTTCCCAGCGAAAATCCATTTTCCTTAACAAAATTAGAAATACGAAGAATGATAACTTCATGAACTAGAGATCTTGAACCGTTTGGTGTAATTACATAAGACAGGTTGTTCTATTAAAAAATCAGCTGGTTCTTATTGTCATCCAACCCGATTTTTGTTGGAATCTCTCTAATGCCATTAAATGGGCTACATTTTTGCCTCCGTGCCTCCAACTCCAAGACCAGGTCTATGTTGATTAAATATTACCTTGAATGGTCGAACGCAAGGCAAGAGGAAGGTGCCAACAGCTAGATAGTTCAGGTGATAGTTTTTCGGTAGTGCATCACCAAAGATTTGAAAGGGTTCAAGGAAAAAGAATTGACGAGGGAAAAGAAAATGAAAAGAAACGACTTCAGGACTAATTGCCACTTTGTCTCCTAAATCAGGCCTTTGATGTTGACAACAATACTTACTACCGTAAACTGACAAATGAAAAAAGCCAGAAAACTGATAAGAAACCACTTCAAGTGCAAGATGTAGGACAAACGAGAAAAACTAGTCAATGTATTTGAGTTGCAAAATAACGACGTAGAGACATGGAGTTAACAACCAAAACAAGATTAGAGGGACCATTTTGTCTGTGACCAGTGATTCCCAAAAACACATTCTTTTCTCTTTTTCAATCTTTTGGATATTTTTGTTTGCTTCAAAGAACACCACATTGTTCCACTCTCAATCTTTTATTTACGTTCAAAAAATAATAAGAAGAATCAAGAAAATTGGGTTACTACTCAAATGGGGAAAAATCAGTTAAATGAACTCTTCTTCTTAAATCTCATTCTGAAGGAATGGAAATTGTTCTAGAAGAGAGACTAGCAGGGCTATCCTTACAAAGCGTCAGCGCTTTCTCCAAATTGGCAATAATGTTTGTCATATTAGGCCTCTCCTTTCGCTCCAAATTCACGCAATGCAGAGCCGTATAAGCCATCAGCTCCACAGCCTCCGCCTCATGAATCTCGGGGACACCAACCCTTCTATCCACCACTGTCCGGAGATCACCTGTCAATATCCTCGGGCTGGCATATTCGACCACCCCGATTGGTCCTGTTCCATCTTCTTCATTTTTGAAAACAGCTTTTTGTCCTGTCAAAAGCTCTAGCAATACCACCCCCAAACCATATACATCACTTTTTGCTGTCAGTACATTCGATACATAGTATTCAGGATCAATGTATCCAACCGTCCCAACTGCCCTGGTTGACATAAATTCTTGATCAGATCCTGGTTCCATTAGTGATAATCCAAAATCTGAAATTCTAGCCGTCCAATCTGCATCTAATAGTATATTTGAGGACTTGATGTCTCTATGAATTATAGGTGGAACTGCATAGTTGTGGAGGTATTCAATCCCTCTTGCTGCATCCAATGCAATTTTGATCCTCATTTTCCAGGAATTTAGAATGCTACTGTCTGTTTCAATATTGTCCTTGTTATGCAGGTGATCATAGAGTGACCCATTGCTCATGTACTGGTAAACCAAAAGCCTCTCATCATTATCTTGGCAGAATCCAACTAACCCGACCAAATGCTTGTGGTGAAGCCGGGATAACAATGCTAATTCTGAGTCAAAAGCAGTTTCTTTCTCTTGGAATTTCTTTACCTTTGCAGAAGTTTCTGCTCTTTTAATGGCTACTTCACGATCATCAGGAAGTTTGCCTTTATAAACAACTCCAAAGCTCCCAGCACCTATCCTGTTTTCCTCTGAGAAGTTATTAGTAGCACTAGCAAGCTCTAATAATGAAAAATTTTGGGTTTTCTCTGCATGTTTTGATGATGATGACCCACTTCTCTGGCGACCTAGTCTTTGTGAGCTGTTGCGCCTAATGGAAAATGATCGTAAAGATGGGGCAATGGAATCATTACTATCCACAACAGTTGTAATTATATTGGCATCTGTAACCGTTGGCTGCACAGAATTATGCGTCCTGCATAGCAAGAAGCCACATACTCCTGGCCATAAGCAGTAAAAAATAGTGCAAATCCCTGCAAAAGCTCCAGTTGATCCAACAAACAAAAATACCAAGGAAAGCCTGTTAATGTCCTTCCTTGGTGGAGAAAATGGCTTCGATCCTTCTGATGGAGGTGGTGCTAGTAATGGGGACAATGGCACTGGAATTGGAAGTTCAGTCTGGCATGATTTGCAAATGTTTCCTGAACCATAACACAAGGTCTCAGAATTTAGATACGTACCACAATTACATGTAACCTGAACGCATGGACCTGGAATTACCATTCCCAAAGGAAGATCACTCATTGAATTAACCCCATTAGACCACCCTGGACCCCAACAAACCATTGTTAGATTCCCTGTTGTCAAGCCACAAATAAAATTCAAACCAGAAACAATTGACTCAAATGAAACATCTTTCACTGCATCATAATCAAATTTAGATCTGTTAGCTCCTCCCCAGCAGAGAACCAATCCATTTTTTCGCCTGATACCACAACTAAAGTTTCCTCCTAATGAAAGGCCAGAGAACTCAAAAGCTGAATTAGAAGGAACATCCAATTGCCCGGACTCATTATTCCCTCTACAAACCAAGAATCCTGTCATAGTCAATCCACAAGCATGAGAATCTCCAGCAACCAAATTTGACATCGACAAATTACCAAATAGTCTTTGGATTTCAACTCCCATCTTATTACCACCCCAACAGAAAACTTTGCCATCATTCTTCAATATCCCACAAGTGAAGCCACTCCCTGATGTGATTGCACGAAACCTTAAACCAATCCCAGATGATGGAAATGGAGAACCACTTCCTCCTCTCCAGCATCTAGCTATACCAGAATCCACTTCTCTAGCACAAACCTGATCATCACCAACCGCCAGGTCAGTCAAGGATATACTGTAGTTGGAATATATACGTTTTGGCCTAAAACTTGAAATCATTGTAGTTTGAGTCTCCCAACAGTAAATTTTGAATCCACCTGACCTGAGGCCACAAAAAAAGCTTCTGCCACCAGAAATTGCTTCAAATGATACATTAGGCAAAACTGAAACGTTGAGTCCATTTTGGTAGCACTGGACTCTCTGTGTTGGCTCACCAGCAATGATGCCACAAACAGTGGCCGTGCCAAAGGTAACAGCAGCCGTGGAGGCCGAGCCGAGGGCAGTAACAAATGCACATTTTGTTAATGTAATGATGATGGTGGTGGTGAGGAGAGAAATGGTGAAGAAGAAGGGTGTTAGGGTCATTTCAGAGATGGAGATGGTAGTTTCTTGTTGTTCCTCGTTGAAGAGTAAAAAAAAGATGGAAGCTGAGAGCAGAATTTGAGTAATAAAACAAATACAATACAATTCATACAAGGGTGGAGCATGTGGTCCCGTGAAATTGGTGATATTGTTGAGAGGGGAGGGTACCTGGTGATTCCAACTTCCAGAAATTTATTTTATCAAAAAAAAATTTACAAAAGGTTAAAAGGGTATATTAGTTCAATGCACTGCCCTTTTCCACAGACCCAAAGTAACTATCTTTCTCTTTCTGTCAGGCTAAAGTTCCTATTTGCAGTATTCACTGTTTTCAAACCTTTTAAACGTACTTTTAGTCATAGTTCCCACAACAAAAAAGATTTTTTTTTTCTCTAGGATTGATAGAGATAACAAAAATATAAGGAGAAAATAATTTAATTTAAAAGAATTCAGTTTATTATAGTCACAAGATTAGATTTTATCACTTGCATAGGATTCTTCATTGTTGTTGAGAAAGAGTAGCATGTTTTGGCACTCTAGGGAAGAAAAACAAGATATTAACTTAGATTATATGGATTTTTCATATTTATAACAAGCAATAAATCCAAGAATTTTAAAAGGAAATCTTGAAAAAACACACAAAAAAATGAAATCTTCCTTGTAGCTACAGGCCAGTTTTTGTTAGTAGATCGGAACAGAAGGGCAGTTTGGTTAATGTTCTGTTCTGATTGTTGTTGTAATCTGTTGAGTCACGGGCTGAGCTTGTTAACTATTTTTTAAGCCGGTTTTAATGTACTTTCTGTCTGGATTTGAAGGGCGTGATTCGTCATTAATATGGAAACTTAGCAATTTAAGATATAATATAATTGTGATTGGTGAGCCCCATCAAAGAAACTGTTCTAAACGCATCAGAAAGATCAAATTGTTATCAGAAATATATTGATATTCTTTCTTTTTTTTTTCTCCCAGCCTAAAAATAACTTCATTATCTACCAAATATGTATAAAATGCATAGACTTGAGTTTCCCCAAGGATGATAGATAAGTTAGATGCTTCATGCTGAAGCCACAAAGCAATTTACGTTCCAGTTTAGCTAGCCGCTCTATGAAAAGGTCACAAGGCAAATCTGTCAATTGCATCCTTTCTTTTCCTTTTACTATGAGATATGTCCGACAAGTACAGTGCCTGGTCAAAGGCTCAAAGCATCATCTGAAAGCAAAGTTAATGAGTACATCAAAATCAATACGATACCTGCTACAGCTCTTTAACATTCAATCCAACTCCCAATTTACAGCTTGGACCAACACTCGGTACAGCCCATGATTGGCCTCGATCTTGGTTCCCCCGCCTATAATATGAGATGTCTCAGGTAAACCCATATTTCCAAACCCTTAACCCAACACTTTTCATAGTCCGACTATGATATGAGCCATACTGGGACAAACATGATCCAATATATATATATTTTTTTAATGCATAAAATTTTTCTTCAATTGTTAAGTTTTAAGCTCAAGTGACTAAAAAAATTGTTTGATCATTTATAAACTGGTATTTTCCATGTGTAAATCAATATGCCTTAAAACTAGTTTGACAAAATGTTTATTTGTATTTTTATATTTTAACCTGAGGAATAGATTTTTTGTCTAACTCAAAACCACTTTTCAGAGTCAATATATAATTAAAACTATATATTATTCTCCATTCCTCATTAAATTTGCTAAAGTGTAGCTTAGTAGAGACATAGCTGGTCCTAACTCCTAAGATTTGTTCATTTTCAATGTCTTCATTGCCTAGAAAAAACAGTTTGAATGTGCATTTGAAACAAATATAGCAAGCTCTTCATAGATTATCTTTGTTTCTCTTAAAGATAGTATTACTTGGTATTATAATTGTCAACATTATGCCTTTCTAGCTAATCCCAACTCTTATCTTTTGATTTTTACAATTTTTCTTAATTATCAATATGTTTAACTCTTTTTTTCTCTTATGGTTTCAAAGAATTTTCAAAAAGTTAACACCAAATTGTAAACTCCATCGAGTCAAGTAGCTAATTAAAAAGGGATTTTAGGATTTAACACTATACCCAAATATGCTTTTTTTGAAGTAATTGTTTTCGCTTTTTAAGAGATTTAACAAATATAAATATAATACGATAATATTATATAAAATAATATAAAAATATACGTTTAAAATTTGATAAAAATTATATATAAATTTAATAAAAATAAAAAATATATTATATATTTAATATATTTACATAATTATAATATATTAATTTTTATATTTTATATGTATTTAATATAAAATAAGCATAATACAAATAAAAAAAAAAAACCAAATTTACTTTTGAGCTTCTTATTTTAGTGGAAGGTTGAATATGTGCAAGAGAATCTTACGAATCCAGCAATCCATCAACATAGGGAACTGTTGCTTCCCTTTGCTATGTTGGCCTCGTCCCCCCCCCCCCCCCACCCCACCACCACACACGCCGACCCATTTTCATCTTTCATAATTTTCTTTTTTTGTCTAAAAAAAACAATACTAAATTTACAAATCAATCATAAAAAAGTATTACAACAAATTTTAAATATAATCCTTATGAACAAAATTTCCGTCGGCTTTTGATAATTTTCTTTAATCATCTTTTCCCACTGAGAAAAAAAAAAGTTGAAAAATGGTGTCAGATCAAATGATCAAAGTGCCTATCTTATCGTTAAAGTTAGAAATACAAACACATGAAAAAAAGAAAAAAGAAAAAACCCATTGCTTGCTACATGCATACCCTTATTTACTTTGAATGATTCAAGTCAATCGCATTCTTCACACATCACATCATCATGTCAAACCCAACATGCACCTTTATTTACACTTGAGATTTACGCTACTTCAGAATGTGAACAAAATCATATTTTTAAATCTTTGATTAATTTTAGATTAAATAAAATTTGATTTTGCGAGCATATCCTTTAATCCGATTTACGAATACCTATAATTAAAGTATGACGGTTAATTATTTTTAATCAATTAATATATTATTAAAATTAATATTTAAATATTATAAATTTAAAAAATTTTATGCAGATAATTTTTTTAATCAAATAAATTATGATATATCGTATTCCAAAAAAATAATATTAGTATTTTGTTTTCTAAATAAAAAAATTTTAATTATTGTGGCCATATAAGAATCAATAAGATATGTAGCTTTATATCCTAAATCATCTAAAAAGAAAAATAAAATGAACACTTTTTAATCGGCATCTTTCTATTTTTACAAATAAAGTAGTATGAATTATTATTAGAGAAGAGCAGTCGACTATCCACTTGTTATTAAAAAAAATAAAAAAGTTTTAAAATAATTTATTTATCAATCTCATATTTGATCCCTTCAAAGTCTGCATAAATACGGACATTAATAAAGAAAATGCAAAACGATACATTAATAAATTTTTTTGTATCCAAATCTATTTTATTGTTAATTTACCTTGACCGATCAATGGAAAAAATTTTCTATTTATGACAAAAAAACCCAAGCATACCGCCAGCATAAAAATTGCAGAGGCAAGATCCGAGATCGTTTGTTGTTTGGTCTGGGCTCAAACAGAAGAAACACAAAGGTAAGTGCCAACATTTTCATTGTGTTGTCGCCCAAAATATTCCAATTCAAGCGAAAGCTACTTTATGAAGAAAGCGAGATTCAACATAAGCCATAATCACTTAGATCCTCCTTTCTTTTCCGCCTCCGTTATTGCCTGCAATTCTTCTCACGCGCTAATTTCCTCCTCAATTTTCTACTTATTGACGACGATTTTATTGCTTGAATCAATATCTAAGTAGCATTTTTATTTGATTTTTTTACTCACAACAGACGGAACTTGCAAATGACCATATAAGTTGTTGCTAAAATATTTTATTTTTAATTTTAGTTACTAAAACTTAATTTGGTCGGCTAAAATTAAAAATAAAATCCCATTGGTGCGTGGTTTTCCCGTACTTAGGAATGCATGCGGGGTTGGTAATTCAATGAGGTTGCAAGTTGGGTCGAGTAACTCCAAATAAGCTGACACGAGGCAAGAGATTTAGGGGCGAGAGTCAGAGTAGCCCCCTTTGGCCCCCCCTCTGCCCCTTCGGCGATTGAGAGGCTGGAAGCTGATAGTGATTGGGGATTGAACGAGCATCCGTGTCTCCATTTTAAAGTTATTAAATTATTTTATATCAGATAATAGTTTTAATAATAAATAATTAAAATTTATTTATTTATTATATACAAATAAATTTTACTTATTTATTTATTACTTCATAGTTATTAAATAAAAATCAAAATAAAAACTTAACTTGTAGTAACATTTTTATCTCTAAATTAAATTTCAAAGATAAAAAATAAAATAAAATAAACCAATGCAATGAAACAATTAAAGTAAAATTAATCAGTGACCTTGACCAACCGCGTTATTTTGATAATCCATTTGGTTCTCTTTAATGCGTTCGACATTATTTTTAATTGCGATTGAAACCTCATTAAAATTAGGTGATACCCAAATGAGCTCTAAATAATTGAAGAGAAAGGTAATTTTTATTTTAGAAAAATAAATACTAGTAATAGTAGAAATAAGATGTTGATGTTGCTTCTCAAATGGTTAGCCACATGTTCGTGAAAAGACCTTAGACACGAATTATAGGCCCACTTGGGCATTGAGCTTGACAAAGGCAAACTAAAAATGGTTGACATTGCCAAAAAAATATTCCCACTACCAAATTAAATTTTTTCTAACATTTTAAAGGTTCCCTTTGGTCCAACTATGGATTAAATTAGTCAATAATCAATTTTTTAATGAGATGCATAATTTGAATCCAACTTTTGAGTTTGAAAAAATATCTATCAATTACCAAATCAAATATTCAAATATAATTAATAATCACTTCAATATTGAGAAAATTTTGTATATCTTGTGTTTTGTGTATAAAATTATTCAAAAAATTAAAAGAATACGATATTGATAAGTAAATTATTTTTAAATAATTTTTATAGATAAAACTTGTTATTTAATTTGATGAGTCGGACTTAAGATTTGAAGTTAAGAGTGGTTCTTCCTACTAAGTTAAGAAAGATTAATTTGATAATTTTTTTTAATTATTAAACTTTATTTAAATAAATTATTACATTTTTATTGTATTTAAATAAAAAATTCTTTAATTTTTTTATCTTTTCATTTGTATTTGTATTAATTCCTATTTCAAATAAAATATAAATTTATATTAAAAATTTTTATTTAAATATAAATTAATGATTAAAAATATATTTGAATACAAATTAAATTTCAATTATTTATTTAAATATAAATTAAAATTAAAAGTTTATTTATGTATAATAAAAATATAAAAATTTATTTAAATAAAATATTAAAGTTGAGAAAATTTTTATTATTTTAACCTTAACACTATTATAACACTATGCATGTAAAAAACTTTTTTTTTTTTTTAAATGATTGAAAGATCACCACAATGTCAATCACATCTTATCTTATTTATAAAGTAAGTCTACATTTTCTTTCCTTAATACTTACCAACTTTGGCCACTCCATTGATATTATTAATCAACAACTTACTCCAATCCTTTTTGCCATAATTGATTCCACAATTGAATTTATTGGAAAACAAGTGGTAGATTATAATCTTACTTTTTTTTTTGGATGAAAATTATAATCCCACTTTCATTCATTGAAGATATGATAAATTGGATTTGACTATTTGAGTATTTAATTTAATAATAAGTCTTTTCATGTATTTTTTGTTAAAATATTAGGTTTTAATTATTTTTAAATAAAAAATAATATTTTTTCTAAGAATAAGCTTTTATTTAGCATAAAGTGTTAGTAATACTTCTTTTATTTTTTTGGTTTTGAAATATCTTAAAATTATTTTTTTAAAATATATTTTTAAAATTTTTAAAATGTTTACATTAAAAATTATGGAGCTTCATCTTTATAACAAAAATTTAAATTTTAATATTAAATATACTAAAATAAAAAAATTTTAAACTTCATAAAAATAAAAATAAAAAATTTATTTAGAAAATAAAAATCTAGAAGTCAATTTTTATATTTATATAGAATAAAAAAATTAAAACTTTTGGGACGGAGGCGATATTTGCTAAAGTGGAAGGAATAGTATTTTTTGGGCATTTCCTTTTCCATAAAGAAAATGTTGAGAAAATGGAAAAAGGAAGAAACAAACGGAACAAAAAACGAAAAGAAGCACGTCAAATCAACATACCTTTCTCCATTGAGACGAGGATAGACGGAGAAGCACTTGAATTTCAATTGGTTTCTCTCCCGTTTGGAGTTATCCTCAACAGAGCATCAATCATCTACATTGACATTGACACTTGTTTAGCAACATCCACATGCCAATGTCCTATTGGGTCACAATAAAAAATAAATAAATGACTCGGCCAACCTGCCATGCACTTGACAATATGGACCAATCAATGAAGGAGAAGAAAAAGGCTGTAGTACAGGAATGTCAAATGGCAGCTTAACAATAGGTTTTTTTTTATTAATTTCCTTTATTTTTATTAGATATAGTTATTTATATTTTCATATCATATAAAATACTAAAATTTATATTAACATAAAAATTTAAGTTTTATTTTATTATTTTATTAAATATATATAATTATTATTAAAATTTTAAATTAAATTAAATTATATTTATTTTTTAATATTTATATTATATTATTATATCATATTTTAAATTACCAAAAAAATTTTTTTAACTCTTCTTCATTTGCTTTTTGCTAATGGGGCACGGCTCTTGTCAAAAGGGTCATTGTCAAACAAACTAGTTAACTCAACTCTCTATAAAAGTATATATAAATATCAAGTCCATAAGCCATTTTAGCACGAGTTCATACCTCATTCATATCAAATTATTGCATCACCTAATTAAAACCCTTTTTTCTTCTTAAAATTTATAGTTGATCCATCAATATTGTTTTTTTTTCCCCATTGATTTCTTGATTACATATGATCTATAAATTTACAATATTTAGAAGATAATGCAATTCTATTTGTTATTTTTGTGCTAAAAAATGTTAAAGATTAAGTTTTTATTATTAAAATTAAAAACTAACATTCTATCAAAAGAATATACAATTGTTGAGGAATATTATATTTTTAATAAACTTTGAGTTAAATTTGAATTTAATTTAATTAATTTATACAATTATTTTAAAAAAATTAATAAATTTAAAATTAAAATATTAACAACTAAATTAATTTCTTTCCCTATTTTTATATTACAATCTCATTTGTAAAAAAATAAATAAATTTGAATTTCGTTGGAGATATTTTTTCATTTTTAGATAATAAATATAATGATAATTGTGACTACAAAACTAATTTTAATTTGAACAACTTGTACTTAATTATGTATATTCATATAAAGTATATTTAACACGTGTACGGTTGCTGATTTAGGTAGAAACCGAAGAAGAAAAGTTGTAAGTTCCAGAAATTAAATTGTGACAAGTATGCAAAGGATGTTTGTAAACTAAAAATGAAAGTTATCATCTCAATATCAAATTTAAATTGTTCATCGCTTTCCAAAAAAATAAAAAGCAAATTTAAAAGCTCCACTTCAGTTTAGGATAGACAACGAAGTGAGGCAATATGGATTTTTGTCAGCCACAAATCAGACCTGATCCCTTTAAATTGATTTGACCTAATTGGATTTAGTTCGATGTCTTTTTATTTTTGACATACAAATGGGCGAAAAATGGGAATCCAACATGTACCACTTTGAATTTTGTAGATAATGTTTTCATTATACTTATATATTTATATTTATACAGTTGAACCTTTTTTTTTAATAAAAATTTAAGAATAAAAAAATTATTTTATTTTTAAAATTAAAACAAAATCATTAATCTGATTGAGATTTTTAAATCATTAAATATTTATTTACAAATCATTTCTATAAGAAAAATTATAAAAAAAATTAAACCTAAATACTGTAACATTCATTCTTTATCATTTTTATCAACCACGTTAATGAATTATTATTTTGACAAAAACCATATTTCAAATACTTCATTTTAAAGGATAATGAAAAATAATACTATCACATATCTATATAAATTTCTAAATATGAACTTTTCTATTTTTGCCTTATTTAACATTTATCACATATATTAGTATTTTATTTGATAACAGAACAAGAAAGGAAGCAACTGGTACTTATAGTAGTAGAAAGTGAGAAGATCCTTCTTTTGGATGATAGAGAATCTATGCTCACCATCTGTTTGTTCCTTTTCCCCCATGACATGACCCCACCCTCTCCACACACAAACAAACAAAAACAGCAACAGTTTTTTATTTTATTTATTTATTTGTTTTTCACTCCCCTTCTCCTCCCCCAATAAATAATTTCAAAAAGTTGTTGATTGAAGTAAACACTTCCTCAAAATTTTTTTTTTTTTTAATTTGCCTTAGCATCCTCTCTAACTGACAGACAAAAATACCAATCCAAAGTACACCCCCTAAAGAAAAACACAAAAGTTCCTTTTTTTTTATTATTGTGATTTTCTTAATTAAATTTGCATTTTTATTTTTAAATCAAAGTTTTGTTTTTTTGTTTGTTTGTTTGTAGTTGTTGTTATTTGTATTTTTATGGTGGCCGGCGATGCCGACGCCGGTAAGTACAGCTCGGCAATGCTTAACGGAAGAAGCGGCGCGTGCGTTAGACGAGGCGGTGGCGGTAGCTCGTCGAAGGAGCCATGCGCAAACGACATCACTCCATGCAGTGTCGGCGCTGCTTTCCTTACCGTCGTCCACTCTCCGAGACGCGTGTGCACGCTCAAGAAGCAGCGCGTACCCATCGAGACTTCAATTCCGGGCGTTGGAACTTTCCGTCGGGGTTTCGCTCGACCGTTTGCCTTCATCGAAGACCGTCGAGGACCCTCCGATCTCCAATTCCTTGATGGCGGCAATCAAACGGTCACAAGCCAATCAACGGCGCCATCCAGAAAGTTACCATTTACAGCAATTACACAGTAACAATAATAATAACAATAACGCCACCGGTTGTTTCCAAACGGCGTCGCTTTTGAAGGTTGAGCTCAAATACTTCATTTTATCTATTCTCGATGACCCGATTGTTAGTCGGGTTTTTGGGGAAGCTGGGTTCCGGAGCTGTGACATAAAGTTAGCTTTAGTTTACCCGCCGGTAACTCAAGTTTCCCCTCGGTTTTCACGCACCCGTTGCCCACCTATTTTTTTATGTAACTTAACGGATTCAGTTTCGGATCGAGTCGGGTTTAATTTTCCGTTCTCGGGTCAAGAAGATGGGTTTGATGAGAATTGTAGGAGAATTGGTGAAGTGATGGTTAAAAAGAGCGGTAAAAGCCCGCTGCTTGTTGGGGTTTGCGCCATGGAAGCTTTAAGGGGTTTTACAGAGAGTTTAGCGAGAGGGAAATCTGGTTTCTTGGGTGGGGATTTGGCTGGGTTGATTGTAATTTCGATTGAAAAGGAGGTTAGTGAGTTTGTTACTGAAGGAAATGAGGAAAATTTGGGGTTAAAGATGAAGGAAATGGAAGGTATTTTGGAGAAGTGCAATGGGTCTGGAAGAGGAGGAGTGGTTTTAAATTTTGGGGATTTAAAAGGGTTGGGTTTGGATGGGATTTTAAGTGATTCTGTTAGTTCTTTGGTTTTGAAATTAACAGGTTTAATGGAAGTTTATAGGAGGATACTATGGTTGATTGGAGCTGTGGCTAGTGTTGAAATGTATAGGAAGTTCTCCGATAAGTTTCCGAATATAGAAAAGGATTGGGATTTGCATTTGTTGCCTATTACTTCTTCCAAGAGTTCTTTTGATGCGGCTTACTCCAAATCCAGGTGGGTTATTTGCTCTTCAAGTATCTTTTATTTGTATGTGAAACTATGTTTTATTGGTATGCTTATCTTGCTTGATTGCAATTTGTTGATTCCTGCAAAAACTGAAGTTTTCTCTATGCATTTCTACAAGTGGAGTCACCATTTTTGTTTTCTTGTATACTACTATTATTATGTTCTTTGTTTTTAGCTGCTTTTTACTTTTTGTGTGTTAAGGTTATTAAAAATTCTTCTCTTTAGGGGTTTTTGCCCACCTGATGTGTTGTGACTCTTTTGATTACATGTGTTCAATAAAATAAATGAAATTTCCTAAAATTACTACTTGTTAAAAAAGGTTTTGATGCCTCATTGCTTTGTCCTTTATAATACTAATAAAATAGTACTACTTGATAAGATAATGGCAATCAAAGGTAAATGATTGGAGTTATATCAAGGCTATAAGGTGTCCTTTTAATGTGTAGATATAGATATCAGTTGAATAAATGCAGAACCAGTATTTCAATATGATATCTTAATACTGAATTAAGTTCTAAACTCTTTGGGCTTTGGAGCAAAAACTGGCGTTGATTTTGTTTATAAACAGAGCACTACCAGATATAGATGCTATGGTTTTGGAATTAAGTTCATTTTCCTCTGATGACCACATTAATTGGATTTTGTCTTTAGTGCACTGTAACAATAGTGTGTATGATATACCTGGGAGTGGTATCTAACATGCCCTAATATATGTGTGTATTATGTTATTCTGTCTGAGATATTGATGAAATTTGATTGCACATTAGTAGTTAGCGCCATTCTAAGTTATATTGATATATGTGTGTAACTACTGCCTGTGAACTTTAGCTTCTGACAGTTTTTCACCCATTGGATCTCACAGTTCCATGCTCATGATATACTTACAGCTTGATGGGGTCCTTTGTTCCATTTGGTGGCTTCTTTCCTACACCATCAGATTTGAGAAGTCCATTTAGTGGCAGAAACCAATCTATCACTCGGTGTAACCTTTGCAATGAGAAGTATGAACAAGAAGTTGCTGCTATTCTGAAGGTAGGATCAACAGTTTCAGTTGCTGATCAGTATTCAGAAAATTTGCCTTCTTGGTTACGGATGGCAGCAGTTGATACGAGCAAGGGAGAGGATGTGGTAAAGGTGAGTTAGCTCTTCAGGTTTTTAAATCTTTGACTTGGAGTAGGATATACAGCTAGACACCTACTTTTTATCCATTTTTGGCATTAGTCATATGCTGTCTTTTATCAATAAAATTATAATTATGTTTATTTAAGAATGTGCTTCATCATTCACTGCAGACTAAAGACGATGAAACCATGTTAGGTGCTAAAGTTTTGGGGTTGGAGAAAAAATGGAATGATATTTGCCAACGTCTCCATCACACTCCACCATTCCCCAAGTTAGATATTACTTCCTCCTTGTCCCAAGTTCCAATAGTTGAGGGCCCTCAGTTTGCCACGGACAAGAAGCAAAGAAGTGGTGAAGATCCGTCTATCAATGAAAGTAGATTTCCAAATCAGAGTCCCAACACACAAATGCACAAGCAAAAGATTTTTCCAAGAAAACTTAACATACCGACACCACATACTTCTGAAGCTGAGAATATGAATTTCCAGTCCAGGTTACTTGTAGATGTTTCAAGCCTAGCTCATGATACAGATAAGGATTTGCCCTGCTTTACCCATCATCGTCGGCGAAATCTGAGCTTTTGTCCTGCAGGCACACCATCTTTATTTGTTGCTCCTGTCACCACAGATTTAAAGTTAGGAACAATATATGCATCAACCAGTCAGGAATCAAACACCACAAAACTGGTAGATCATAAAGAACATCTTCAGTGCTTCTCAGGTTCCATATCTGCTAAATTCGATGCAAATAGCGAGAATACTTCGTATCAATTTGCTGAATCTTCATCATGTTCTGGTCTTACATCAGGGGAGCATTTTGATCAAGGAGATTACAAGTACATTAGGAAAGTTCTTGCTGAAAAAGTTAGCTGGCAAGACGAAGCTGTAAATTCTGTTAGCCAAGCGGTATCCCAATTAAGGAGCAGGTATGGAAGCCGCGGTTGTGTAAACTGTAAAGGGGATATTTGGCTTACTTTCCTTGGACCTGACAGAGTAGGAAAAAGAAGAATTGCTTCAGCACTTGCTGGGGTGTTATTCGGCAGCCAGGAATACTTAATATCTGTGGATTTGAGCTCACAAGACAAAGTTAGCCCGTCAAACTCGATTTTTGAATGCCAAGAGTTTAATGGTTATGATGTGAAGTTTAGAGGGAAAACAGTTTCCGACTTCATTGCTGAGGAGCTGAGAAAGAAACCCCATTCTGTTGTCTTCCTTGAGAATGTGGATAGGGCTGATTATTACGTCCAACATAGTTTGGACCAGGCTATTAGAACAGGTAAATTTCCTGATACGCATGGGAGATATATCAGCATCAACGATGTGGTTCTTATTACAACGACAGCCATCACAAAAGGTAATATTAATGCCCCCGGTGAAAAGAAGCCCTTGAAATTCTGTGAGGAAAGAATACTCGGAGGCAAAAGCTGGCAAATGCAAATCTTAGTTGGTGCTGTTTCTGATGATGTCAGCAGAAGCAATGACACAGCCACCAGAGTTACAACAATAAAAGAAGCTTCCATTTCTGCATCTCTTAATAAAAGAAAGCTGATCGACACTGTTGAGTCTTCTGAGTTGGAAAAAACGGACACACAAGAACCAGTACACAAGGTGTCTAGGTCCTGTCTAGATTTGAATCTCCCTGTGGAGGAGACAGAGAGGGACATCGGTTTGGGGGACTCTCAAAGTGAGTCTCTCTCTGAGAACTCAGAAGGTTGGTTAGAAGAATTCTTTAGCCAAGTACATAAAAAGATACTTTTCAAGCCATTTGATTTTGATGGACTTGCGATTAAAATTGTAAAGGAAGTCAGCTCACAATTTCAGAGGACTGTTGGATCTGAGGTTCTGTTGGAGATTGATCAAGACGTCATGGTACAAATACTTGCGGCTGCCTGGTTAGCAGACAAAAAGGGTGTGGTAGAAGATTGGCTTGAAAAAGTGCTCGGAAGAAGCTTTGCTGAGGCTCAGCATAAGTACAATCTCACTCCTCAGTCTGTTGTGAAACTAGTTGCCTGTGAAGGTGTTGTTATGAAAGAGCAAGCTCCTGGAATATGTCTTCCTGCAAAAATTAATCTGAACTGATTTTTTTTTATGCTGTAATTAAATGTATAATGTAGCGTCTAGTATCTAAAGGCCTTGTTGGGCAAGTATTCCCGTAATTCTTTTGGGTAATAGTTTTGTGTTGTAGTGAAAGCAGTCAAAGAATGTATAATATGCTTGTTGTCCAAAGAGTAACGGGGTTACCTTATGTTCAGCTTGCCTGGATTACCTTGATTCATTTATAATCCTACCTTCCCGAAGTCAAAGCTCGCATACAGAGACTCAAAGGGCAAAATGGTGCTGATACTTTGCAAGTAGTCAATTGATGAATCAGCCATAAAACTTTTTCCTCCAGAAACCATCCCATATTCTCAAAAGGTACTGCTAAAATCAACCCAATCGATTGTGTCACGAATCTAAGGAAGAATCTTGAATCTCACATTAAACATAATAAAAAGATCACTGAGGTATATAAGGGTTCACACCACCTCCGTCTTATGAGGCATCTTTTGTAGGACAAAATCGTGAGGTCAAGAAGACCAGAGCGGACAATACCTCACAAGGGTGTGAATCGTGACGGTCAGGCTGATCCGAGATGTCAGAAAAGTGAATGTCCGAGACCCGAAATCGCGCGAATTCGAAGCTTAAGTCTCGACCCGTAATAGATAGATTGCATCATCATGATTATTATTTTTTGTCTTTTTCCGTAATCATCAATTGTATTCCCCTAACCCAAGTCAATATAACGCTGCTTTTACCTGAGCAAATGTTTCCTGTTTCAGGCTTTAAATTCAGGCCTATGTGCCGCTGTTCAGCCCCATGGACCTAAATTCATGTTTGGTTGTTCTTTTTAAGGCCTGAAACTAGATGAGATAATCCCACTGCTTTGAAGTTTGAAGCAACAAGCGCGCACTTGATTAGTCCTAGAATTCCACTTTTAAGTCACTATAATAATATTTGACAAGGTCAATTTATGTCGTGATTCTAATTTCTAGGCCTCCAGAACTGCCTAACCTCTTTTGTCTCACAAACCATTTACAAACACGAGTCAAGTCGACCTTACCTCGTTTATTTTCTATCCATTCTAATCATAAATTACTACTACTGCTTCCCTTCCTACTCCCCATGTTTGTTACCCAAATCAATCTAAGTTTCCTAGGCCACTGCTTTTTTGTTTTTCAAATTTCCAATCGAACATAGAGATGACAAATTTCCTGTTAATTCCTTTAGGTTCCTGTCATTTCTCTTTTGGTTGGGTCAGGTTTAGTGACAGGGGTAGAGACAATGATTTTACGTGAAATAGATAAAAGGATGGGCAAAGACAACTACCTTAGCAAGTAGAATCACTTTGCTCCTGGCGTTAGCTGCCAAATGGTTCTACATTTTGTGATGGCTCTATAAGAGATTTGTCCAGGGTTGGTTATCAATATGATTTGATGGGTTTAGCCCGATTGAAGTTATGGTTTGGATGAAGTCTTGTTTCCATCCGGTTTCGCAATAATATTTAATTAATAATTTTTTTTTAATATATGTTTAAAATTATTGAATTTTATCAAAAATTTAGCTCCAAGATATCATTTACTCATCTCTTTAAACAATTTACGTGCCTTTGTAAACAAAATGCAAATCCATTACAATATCTAAGGAATTCATCATTTCTCCAATCTTTATAACCGAAGATTTTTGGACCTTTTAGCTTTGATGTAATTTGCAGTGAGAAGGAGCTGAAGAAAAAAAGATGAAGCAGATGGCATGGCAGAAGGCTGGTGGTCCTTGTCCTGTCCTGTCCATTAAAAGCTCACCCTGTGGAAAAAGAAGAAACTCCAATGCAAAGTCAATTTTTCTACGCCAAGTCTGACTTTTCTTTCCCTTTGATTTCGTGGCTTATTTGGTGCTGGAAATTATTGAACAAATGCTCAAATTTCCAAGTCTCTTCCATGTGTTTTTGCTTTGGTTCCATGGAGAAAGCTAGGGGCAATCACCCCAAGTATCGGTTTTGAACACTAAAATATGAAAAAAGGTCATATGTTTTTATAAATTATTGTTATTAATTTGAAAAATATGAGATGAAAACATTGAATTTTATAAAGGTATGTTATCTCTCTCTCCTCTACAACTTTGATTATTTATATGTGGATATTAGATTAAATTGTGCAATAAACAACTCACCAATTTACTTTGGTTTTGCTGAAATAAATAAGAATATCATTGGTTTCTATAAGTGATTGAGTTAGTAAAAAAAGAATAATTTACTTGTATGGTTTATTGAATAAACTATATATAAATCTTTATTGAAATTTACAATATGATCAAATCATACAATCACACTTTTGATTTATGTAAGAAAAATTTATTACAATGAATTATGATGTCTAACTAACTAGCCATGATTATGTATAATTTAACTTAAGTTCAGGGACCTAGTCATTTACTTTGATACTTTATTTGAAAATGATTATAGAAATTAGAATTTGATCTATATAAAAGAATATCCTCTTGAAAAAATATGATCAATTCAAATTCTTTTTTTTTTAATTAAAGCAATTACAACATTCTGTTACACAATCAATAATAAAATTCTTCATATTTTTTACAAGCTCAATCTATTTAAAATTTCAAGTGTAAAATCAACAACAATTTTTTTTTTTTTTTAAATAAGTAGTTAATTTTATTGATCATCAACTATATCAAAAACTCATTATTACCCCCAATTATCTTTATGTTTCAATTTATAATATTATTGGATTAACTTTATGTTATAAGATAAATCATAAAAAAATTTAATAAAAAAATCGTAATTTAAAATTAATTGTATAAATTAAATCCAAATCCAATCATGACCATTGATGAACCCATTTTTTTTTTCTCTTAAAAAGCACTTTCCACTTTTCTCCCACTATATTAAATGAGCATGTTTTCATGACTCCTTATGAAGGGTGATGTAGAATAACTGATGACAGCATCAAAATGCAATCTTTTTCCACCCATGGAAAATGACATCAATTTTACTGATTTGAGGTTTCCTCTCTTTTCCTTTGCCCCAATTTTCAATTGGGTCCCATTTCTAATTTGTAAACCTTAGTCAGTGTCGTTTAATGTATATATATACATATATATATTTTAATATCCCATGGGGTCCCTTATTTTAGCACGCCATGGACTATTCTTTTGGTGCTTTAACATTTTCTTTCACACTTTATACTAGTACTAGTCAAATTTGTCCCAAAAAAATCAGAGCCGTTGGATTCCTTTGACCCGTTTAATTGACGGTCGAAGATATTTCAATGATTAAAATTTAAAATCGTATCATGTAAAAATTGAAAAATATTTTAATGTAATAAAAATGCTTAATTTTAGTATTTATGAAAAAATTTAATATATATGCCTAACTATTAAAAAAAACAAATTTAAATCATTTTTAAAATTAAAAATCTTAAATTAAATCTCAATTATAATTCAAAACATAACGTTTATCCATTTAAAATGAAGTACAGATGTATGGTTGTTGGTATGATACAGTGGTAGAACTGGCCCCATTTATTATTTTAGTTTCTGATGTGCACATATTACAAATTTATTTAAAGAAGAATCTTTTATTTATATGAATTATACTTTTTATTTTCTAATCAAGGAAAAAAAATACATATTAGATTATCTAGTCAGCAATTACCTCAGCTTTAACATCTTGGACGATTAAATTAAATGTCACGTTTTTGTCTTTTTAAATAATTTAATTTTAAAAAGGTTTATAAGTTTTATTTTATTTTTATTAATTATGCTTTTTGTTTTCGTCATTTGGCAATTATATTGAATTATTGATCCACTTGCTAAAAAGAATTTGTAATATTAGTCAACTATTAAATTGCCATTAAAATTAAAACATAATTTAATGAGCTTTTAATAATTTTTATAATAAATTAAACAAAAGGCCGAAAAAAGAAGAAGGATAAATTAACGACAGACAAATGCCTCTAGAACTTATCGAAACGCTGCGATTCGTCGATAGCATCAACGAATCTGGCCTCCATAGAACAATATCCAATTCAAACTCACTTATTCTTACCGCTCACGTCCTTCACGGACAAGTAAATTCTACACAGTACGCCTTCAGTCCTTCCACTCCATTGGGCAGTCTTGTTAATGGAAAGTCACAGTCAACAAATTTTATCAGAAACTACTAAAGAACCTTGTTTTAAATAAAATAAATTTGACACGTGTCTTTTTTTCACTCGTTGTAGTTTGATATTAAGAGCTCCTTTCGTGGACCCCATCACACTTAAACAAAACCCAATAAAAGGAATTTAAGTTTAATTTACATTTCATGTGCATTTGCATTTGAATTTAAATTTGAGTTTTTTTTTTTTGGTCTCAATATTTCAGAGTGAAAAAGCAAGGAAGGAGCCAAAGGCTGAGTCTTTTTCACTCTTATTATAAAAATAAAATATTAAAAAGAAGAGAAAACTAAAAAAGTCTCTTTTCCTTCTCCCTCTTTTAAGCTCGGGTTTAAACTCTGAAGTTAAAAGACACAAAGATTGTTTTTTCTTAAAGAGACATTCTGGGTTTCTGCTCTTGCTCTCATTTTTGTGTTTCAAAGGTATGATCTTTTTTGGTTCTTTTTTTTTTTTAAGTTGATGCTTTGTTCGTGTTCTGTTTGGTTGGTGAGAAAATGTGTGAAAATAATGGATTTTTGAAGTGTTTTTGTTGGTGGGGGTGGTTAGTTTTTGTATGTTAGTACTATGTTTGGAAATTTGGCTGGGGTGTTTTTGTATATTTAGTTAATTTTTTGTTGAGGTTTTTGTAACTGATTTTCTGTTTCTTATTTGGTTAATTAAAATTTTATGTCTTGGTTTTTAATTCTTGGATGAGTTTATTTATTATATATTTAATGGTTGTGGTTTTTAGAGATTGGTTTATCTGTAAAATCGAATGCTTTAGGAAGAATTTATGACGTCTTTCTCTTTCTTTTTCTGTTAAATTCGTGAATTTTGGGGTTTTAGAGTCCTTCCTGTCTCTGTCTTTGTTCCTTTTATGTCAATTTTAGTCTCTGAATTTATTGGATGAGTTGGTGAAATTTTTTCCCTATGTTTGGTAGTTTTAGAAATGAAGAGAAATTTCAATGTGCAGTGGTCCAAAGAAGAAACCAACTCAAATTGGTTTTACGATGGAGTGTGAGTCTGATAAAGAAGTTGGGTTTCCTCAAAAGTTCTCTATTTTGCTGGAGTTGTCTGCTTCAAATGATCTGATTGGATTTAAAAGTGCTATTGAGGAAGAGGGTCAAGATATTGATGAGCCAAGCTTGTGGTATGGAAGGAGAATAGGATCAAAAAAGATGGGGTTTGAAGAAAGAACACCCCTTTTGATTGCTTCCATGTTTGGGAGCAAGGATGTCGTTAATTATATTATTGAAAGTGGCCATGTTGATGTTAACAGGGCTTGTGGTTCTGATGGGGCAACGGCTCTCCACTGTGCTGCTGCTGGTTGCACCTTTGATTCAGCTGAGGTTGTCAAAATCTTGCTTGATGCGTCTGCTGATACCAATTCTCTTGATGCTAATGGAAATCGGCCTGGTGATTTGATTGCACCAGCTTGTAACTCTGCTTTCAGCTTGAGGAAGAAGATGCTGGATTCTTTGTTGAAAGGAAGTGGCAGTGTTGGTGAAATAGAGGGCTTGCCTGCTCAAGTAGGAAATGAAATGGAAGGGCAAGAGCAGGAAGAGAGTTCATCTCCCCGGGTTTTGAAAGATGGAACTGAGAAGAAAGAGTATCCCGTTGATCTTACACTACCTGACATTAAGAATGGGATATATGGGACAGATGAGTTTAGGATGTATACTTTCAAGGTCAAGCCTTGCTCGAGGGCTTACTCCCATGACTGGACTGAGTGTCCCTTTGTTCATCCTGGGGAGAACGCAAGGAGGCGTGATCCTAGGAAATATCATTATAGCTGTGTCCCTTGCCCTGAATTTCGTAAGGGAACCTGCAGGCAGGGTGATAACTGTGAGTACGCACATGGTATTTTTGAGTGCTGGCTTCATCCTGCTCAGTATCGAACTCGTTTATGCAAGGACGAGACTAATTGCACCAGAAGGGTCTGTTTCTTTGCTCACGAGCCAAAGGAGCTTCGTCCCTTGTATGCTTCAACAGGTTCAGCAGTGCCTTCCCCTAGATCTTATTCAGCTACTGGCTCCTCCTTAGACATGGGTTCAATGAGCCCACTTGCTCTTGGCTCCCCATCTGTTATGATACCTCCAACATCAACACCGCCCCTGACCCCTACTGGTACATCTTCTCCTATGGGTGGAGCTATGTGGCCAAACCAGTCCAGCATCATACCTCCTACCTTGCAGCTTCCTGGTAGTAGGTTGAAAACTGCGCTAAGTGCTAGGGATATGGATTTAGACATGGAACTACTTGGGCTGGAAAGTCATCGTTGCCGCCAGCAGCGGCAGCAGCAGCTAATTGCTGAGATATCTGGTCTTTCCTCCCCAACCAGCTGGAACAATCCTTTGTCTGCTGCTTCAGCCTTTTCTGCCTCTGGTGACCGAACTGGGGAATTAAATAGGTTAGGAGGGGTGAAGCCCACTAACCTTGAAGATATTTTTGGTTCTCTTGATCCTACTATTTTGCCACAATTACAAGCAATCTCACTCGATGCTGCAGCTCCTCAGCTACAGTCTCTCACTGGGGTTCATACGCGTCAGAATATTAACCAGCAGCTCCGCGCTAGCTACCCAACCAACCTAGCATCCTCTCCTGTGAGGGCATCTCCACCCTTTGGGATTGACCCATCTGGGCCATCTGCAGCAGCAGTTTTAAGTTCAAGGTCAGCTGCCTTTGCAAATCGGAGCCATAGCTTTATTGAGCGTACTGCTGTAAATCGTCATTCGGTATTCTTCACCAGCTTCTTCTGCAAGTGCAATGCCTTCTAACCTTTCGGATTGGGGTTCTCCTGATGGCAAATTAGACTGGGGTATACAGGGAGAAGAGCTAAATAAACTAAGAAAATCTGCTTCGTTTGCGTTCCGAAGCAGTGGCAGGAATTTGGGAAATGCGGCACCCTCAATGTCACCAACTTCTGATGAGCCTGATGTATCTTGGGTCCAGTCTCTGGTGAAGGACACCCCTTCTGCTGGGCAGTTCAGTTTTGAGGACGAGCAGCAGCAGCAATGCCATCTTAACACTGGTGTTGCGGAGATGCTCCCTGCCTGGGTGGAGCAATTGTACATGGAGCAGGAGCAGATGGTGGCCTAAAAGCAAAGCTATCCCCACCATTAGCTCCTAAGTTAACGTTTAACTAGTTTGTTTTTGGCCATTTTTTGAAATTTTATCAATATTCAGCATTTGTAATTGGAATTAATTGGAGAAGGGGAAAATTGATTGGCCCCTTTAGGAGAATACAAAGTGAGCAGAACAAAAGGTTTCTGTTAATACTGCTCATAGGTTCTCGAGAATAATGTCTGTTATTCTTTGTTTTCCTTAAATCTGGTTCATTTCTTGGATGGAGTTACATATTCATCCAAGAAACATCATTTGCATAAGAGGGTAGTGAGGCCAATGTTCGCTAGTCAAATTTCGGAGTTACATTAATTTCAATTGGCAAATGGAAGCAAGTGTACTGATATTTTTTTGTTTATTTTCAGTTAGTGGGGGCTGAAGAACACATTTTATGTACCAGAAACTGGTGGATTATTTAATTAATATATTTATATATTTTTCAGTGGAAACTTGCTTATCCTTTTATATGATTTTCGATTTTGTAATCTGTAAAGGCGGATGGCTTTTTTGGCTTTGCTCGTTACAACCAGAGTTCAGGATTTCCTATTTCTGACTTCCCAGCTGGAAATATGCATATCAGTCCCAACATTCTATTTTTAGCAGGAAACTAATGGACATGAATGTTTTTGGCATCCATTTTCTGCACTCTTAAATGCCACAATTTGAGAGTTCCATTTCGTTACGCAAGGCACAGAATGAATGGATCTTTATTTTTTTTGTTCATCTTTACAGTGTCATTTGCCAATAAACTTTTTGAACTCTGCATTTGCTTTCGGCATTCAAAAGGTATTAGGCTCATTGATTCCATGATTCTAAGTGGGTGTGATTGTTGAGCACTGACAAAAAGTCAGTCCTACTAGTGTTTAGCTTATTTGTGTCTTTAAATTTACTTTTCTTATTGGGTGAACTTGGAAGTGGGATGGGCACTAGGAGCTGGAAGAATGAAGAAAAGTAAAGCTTTGTCATTTTAGACAACCAAAGATTTTTTTGGCTTCTCATTAGCAAAAGACTAGAATAATGTTTTTGTCAATTTTCAATAAGGTTTCTTGGGGATGCAGAAATCGAATAATCAACTTACTGTTACTAAAAGAAATAAAAAAATTTTCTTAATAATATAATATCTTCATCCAGAGTAGGCCCTTGCTGGACTCTTGCTGCCGGCTTCGGGATTGTTTTATATTGGTGTGGGGGCTGCATTGCTTATTCTTGCTAGTTGTTTGTAATTTAATAAAGCAATAAACCATTGTTTCGGGTTTGCCGGTTGGAAATATTCCTCTAACATCAAACTCCGGTCAAATCAGGACAAAATCAAGTGGTATCCTGATTGAAACGCTGCTTCACAAGAAGGAATTTTCTGCAAATCCAAATAAGTTAATTTCTCACGTTCTAGGTGAGACAATAGATAAATAATAGCTACACCTTTTCAAAAAATTTGAGTTCCATCTGTTAAACTAGTTTTAAAGTAGTGGATAATGAAATTTGCAAGCAAAGATTTGTCTGGCAGCCCATTGTGGTCCTTGGTAGGGTGGTGGCCTGGTAGCCATGCAACATTCCTACTACTAGAATTTGTTGTCCAATCATAATTTTCTCTACCCTTTTAGTATATTTTAGTACTAGTTTATACCAAACTTAGGGATTTGGGTTTCCCATGAAGATGTTCATTTGAAGATTTTAGCACGGGTAAAGATTCATAAAATGTGAAAACAAGAAAATCGTTTGCTGGAATTTGGAATTTTTTTTTTCTAGAGAAATAAAGGGTCTTCTTGTATACAACTTTTTCTTCTTAACTAATTTATGCAGAATTTTAAAAATTTAATGATATTTAAATCAGTTTTTTGCTGTCAGCCACAGCATGAAGGCAGGTACGGAGGCGCGTAATCCTTTCATTTCAAAGAATTTAAATTTAAACTATGCATTATTTTGACAAATGGATGCAAGACTTGACAGAAAGTACTGTATATCATTGACTATAGGCTTTCCATTGCAAAATTTACCGAAGGCTTTACTGCTGTACTTTTACGAGTTCAAATTCTTCAATTGAACTACAAGCTCATCTAACAATTGGTCTAAAATTTTTGATCCAAAATCTGCAGTAACATCTTCAAGGTCTTCATTCTTTGAGCATAACCAACTTGATTTAGCCACTTCAGCTTCAATCATCCCGCAAACTGCATCCCAACATTCCAAGTTTTTCTCACTGTGGCAATCTTTTTTCCTAGGCTTCAAATCTTTACCTTCAAAAATGTTTACCCCGGGATCATCTTCAATCACATTACTATCATTACTAGGAGGTTGGCATCCATAATTTTCCATGTCTGGTGATAATTTCCTTCTTGTGTTAGACCTTTCGGCTTTTGAATCTTCCTCTGTTACAAATAATTCAAATTTAGTCAAAAAGATGAATAACAGAACTCTATTAAATGATGAACAGAATTAAGAGGCACTAACCTGATGTAGGAACATCATGATCAATGATGAATTGATCAAAATCAAGAACAGATACCGGGCTCGAATCTTCTGAGCTGCATTCAGGCTCTACATTTTGAGCTATACGATGCTGTATTTTCTTCTTTTTCTTGCTCAATTTTGCTCCATCAGGCACACCTTTCTTGTCTACACGTTTTGAGCAGTCTAGACCCTTTATGCTGACAATTGGTCTCTCCAATGAGAAATAATTAAGTTCACTGCATTTGGCTACTTCCCAATTAGGCTTATCAACAATTCTTCTGTTCACCGTCTCCACATTCAACACATTCAAAACCCTTTTGCTAGCCTGTTCATGAGCATCCTTATTCTGTTTCTCCGGAACCGTCTCTACACTATTTTCCTTCTCTTCTTTTCTTTGCTTCAATTCTCCACTGCTTCCTTTGCATTTCCTTCGTTTTGATCTCATCTCTTTCGCTTCACTTCCCTTCTCAAAGCTAAGCACAAAAAATTCGTCATTTTCTAGCTCGAAGTAGGTAGGCATATCGCGGAAAGACAATGTAGAGTTCACTCGCCTATGCTTCCCATGGATTGTATCAGTATCTTGCTTGTAATCAGCTGAATTCATTGACCGGCTTCTTGTAATTGAATTTGGATTTGCTTGTGTCTTAAGCAAGCTGATTTCAGGTAAGGAATCCAACCCCATTAGCCTTGCTACAATCCCTGGTGTGACCTTGGAAGCATCATCAAGCTTGTCGACAGCATTGACTCGTTGCTTCTTATGACTTGCTACTGAATCAGCCTCAGTAACGTGATCAGAAGGGTGTGTTGGGAGACTCCGGAAACAAAGAATTCGACGTAAAATCCCTGCAAGGCAACCACCCGTTGCACTTTTTGAAGTGCACATTTTGAGATCAAAAGAGACAGTTGAAGAAGAAGAAGAAGAATAAGAAATGGAAGGAGAAGAAGACAACAACTTCATATTGTAAAAGTAAGTAAACAACTAAGGAAAGAGGAGGGAAAACACTAAGAATGATTTGGGTTTGTTGAGTAACTTTAGCTTACAATTTTGCAAAAAGGAACAGTTTTCATCACAAAGAAAAAGCAAAGCGCCACCAAAGTCCAAAAGGAGAAAAATTTGAATGTGGGGGTTGATAGTGAAAGAGTGCAAAAGGGAAGTTGGAAAGAGAGTGAGAGATGGCGGGATTTGCATTTGAAAGTGGGGGGCAAACGGCAATGGGCATTGGGCAAGGCTTAAAACAATATGTTTGCACGCGCTAGGACAAGTCTATTTTCCAGCAATTTGCTGTCTACTTGTCTTGCATTACAATGGGTTAAACATGAAGTAACCTTCTCCCTGCGCGTAGGGGAATTAGTTTACTATCAATATCACTTACCACCATCAAAGGAAATAAAGGATAGCTTTTAGATTCTGCATTCGTTTTAATTTTTTTTCATTACAATAACCAATCTTATTCGTTACAGTTATTTTCAAATCCCCGCAATACAAAGTGGGATATTTATATTGAGCTCGAGGAGACAATTGGTTAGGCGAAACAGTGAGTCAGAGAGGACTTGACTAGTCTAAACTATTAAGGCTGTGGAAATTCTTTGTGGTTTGGAGCCGAAGATGCTGGCAAACTTGGCCGCTAGTTACGAGTTGCCCAACAAAGGTTTTAAATGACAGGGTAATGCTGTTCTCTCTCCCGACCGAACCCTGTTGCTATGTTTGATGTTTCTATCTACCTTTTATCTGTTGTTGGGAATTTCAAATAGTTTGAAAAGGGGCTCTTGCCTAGAAAAAAATATAAGGTGAAACTTCATTTTTCTAACATAAAGCATGTGGCCGTAGCCACGATCCTAATTTTCAATTATTTTTGTTATTTTGGGCTAGGCTACATGACGTAGTCTAAGCTTCGGCCGCATTTCTTTTTCTTTGGGTGCTTGTCTTCTTTTACAGAAGACCAGCCCAATTATTGCAACAAAGCAAACCAAGAAAAAGACAAAAAAGAGATGATGACAATAGGAAAATGGTTTACCATGAGCTCGATGTTAATTTTCATTTAAGCATATAATAATGGGATGATTAAACAAAACAATTGAGAGGTTAGGATGAATTGTTGCTTGCAATGATGGTTTTTTTTCATAGGTGAGAGATCATGTGCTGATAATCAATCTCTGAAAAGATCACTTAAACTTCAATGTTTATTATTCGAAATGACAAAAAGAAAGACAAAACAACAAAGTTCTGTAAATTTATATCATTCAGATTTGCCAAGGGAAAGTAACTGAAATAGCTGTGGATCAGTATGATAATATACTATATCTCCACTGTTGCTCACGTAATGATCTTGTCTAAGGCTTGTGACTAGATTCTTGATCAAGTGAAATGGAATAGGCCCTGATTTCTTTGGCTCCCGGTAGTAATTTCCGATCACTGGTTTTGCTGCTTTAGTCTTCAAGGCAAAAGCATCAAACCATTAGAATATTTAACTTGTTTTGTAAAACCAATCTGTTTGGTGAAATTAGTTTAGAATATTACCGCTTCTACTAAGTGATAATGAGGGATTTGAGGGAAGAGGTGATGTATGACATGGGTGCCAATGTCATGGTGTATATTGTTGAATAAACCATAATCACGGTCCACTGTTGTAAGCCCTCCTCTGAGGTAACTCCATTCCTGTCAAATTCAGGATCGAATTATTCATTTGCATTGGATACCAAAATCCTCTGAGCTTAATTGAAGTATTTAGGTAGGCTATATCCTTTACCTTGCCACGGTACCAAGGAAGTTTCGGTTCATGGCCATGGTGATGTAGGTAAGTCACTAAATCCAGCCATATCACGAAAATCTACGAAATGGTAGATCATTCCAAACAATAAATTACTATCAGAAATTCCGTATACGTAAAACTAGAAACTTGACGAGTAAGGTACCACTTGACATACCGAGTAGGGAACGCCGTAGAGTTTTAATTCCATGGCTGGACCAATTGCAAAGGATAAATGGGCAAGCAGAACGGCCATTGCACTCCAGCAGGTGGTAGAAATCATCACAAGTTTCCTCTCTTGGGGAGTGAATAGGTTGCTGTGAGGGTTGAAGTGAGATCCTTCCTTGCCTGGACTTCTATGCCACTGTAATGCAACAACTTAAACAAAGATAAGGAATCTATTCTATAATTACAAGCATAATGTTAATCTTTGCATATAATTAGTTCCATTAACACAAGCTTTCTCACCAAATATAGAGGGTATGCAAATAGGGGGAAGGGGACAGTGAATCTCAGAAATCGCGTACTGATGTCCAAATTCTTGTAAATATTCTCAGGCAGCTGAGATTAAAAAATGGAGTGTGAAGGGTCAGTTTCCAATTTGATACATACTTTTGCATGGAATAGAAGCAAAAGGTAAAGAATGTTTTACCGGAACCCATGACTCATCGTTCTCAACATTTCCATGGTTCTGATGATGAGTTCTGTGGCTTATTCTCCTACAACATTTTCAAGTAATGTTAATGTAATTGCTTACTGAAATGAAGATTCCAAGTAACAAATGTTACCTCATATACTTACCATCCGTGGTAAGGAACAAGAATTGAAGAATGCAAGATATGTCCCACCACACTATTAAGAATGGGGCTGTCTGAAAAGCTTCCGTGGCCACTGCGCAGTCCAAAACCAATTATATTTTACTCTAAAATGCAAACCAATACTGAAAACATACAACAGGAAAGATTAGATATGATTACCAATCATGTCCAAGGACAAAGAGAGCCCAAAACATTGTTCCCTGCGCAACCCAGTAGATAGGCCAAAAGAACCAACTATTCAAGTAGACTGCTGCTGCTCCTAATGCAAAAACCACATTGACATCCCTGAAAACATAACTCATGGACTTCCAAGGATTCTTGATCCAACAGTGCTTGGGGATGGCAGCTCGGATATCAGCAATCCGGAACGGAGGAGGTGCACTTGGATCAAAATCACCTTGCTCATTGATCCCATTAATCCCATTATCATATTCTCCTTTAGTCTCCATTGTTTCGAATGATGTATCCTTCTTTGAGGGGCTCACTCTCAGGTTCCCACTCCTTGTCTGCAAAACTAAATCAAGACTCAAAGTTATATAGAATCAAAATTCTAGTATTAGCTGGGCGAACCAGGGGGTTAGGCGCATAGGCCACCAGTAGCTATTTATTTCGACATTTTTCGACCCTTATCATAGCTGTGAAACCTAAATTTTGTTCTTTGGGCCATGCAATTGAAAAAAGTAAAGGATGTTTTCACTAAGCCAAAAAAGTAAAAGCTTTGGAAGTATGAAATTGTCTTTCTGTTGTTGAAAAGAAACATTCATATTCCAATCACACAGGCAATTCCTTTTCAAGGTTATTTTCCTTTATCATATTTACCATAATTAATCTAATCTCAACGTCTCTAAATCTATAGACTATAGTTATTCTCATCTAACAATAAACATCGCTGCAATGGCAAAAGAAAATTTCAATAAAAGAAACGTAGTAATTGAGAAATTGTATTTCTCTTTTTTTGTTGTCATTTCAGACAAGTTACTGTATATCTCATAAATAAATAAATAAATAAATATATATATTTATAAATTTATTGTTTTACGGATCGAACCCCCCTTTTTTTTTTCCCATAATAACTCTCATTAAAAGTGGTAGAAAACTTGGGTTTAAAGATTTTCACATTGTTCAAATAATTGCACCTCCTGGTTTGGAAACAGTTTCTCTTCAATGATTTCTAATTTTCAATATCAATTTAACGTTCGTTCTTACTTTTAGCTGTACGTTAAAAGGTGAACAAATGAAAACCCTCTTTCGGACAAAGCAGACAATCAATGTCTCTCTCCCTACATGCATGAAACTGTAGTTTTCTTCACTTGAAGCAAGAATCAAAGAAAAAAACAAGAGAAAAAAAAAAAAAAACAGAGAAAACAGAACAAACAGAATAGTAAAGTAACTTGATTTATCTTAAAGTCGGTTTGCATTAGGGCTATAGTTCCTGATACAAGCAATTTCAATATATTTTTTAGTAATATTACGAATTTAATATATTAAAAATATAAAAGTAATTGATACATATAATAATGTGGATTAGTCGCAAAGCGAAATAAAGTGAGACGAGGGGAGACTTTGATTTTTTGTTTTTCTTTTAAAGAATTAGGACATTTGGATCTTCTAACTTATAAAAAATATTAAACTTTTTGGTACAGCAAATGTTAATCAATATGTTAATCAATGTGGATTGAAAATAAAGTTTAATTTAAAAGCTAAAGGGTTTGAAAAGAATAACGTATAATGGGAGTCAACAAGTTCACATCTGTGAAATAGTACTAGAATTTTTGGGTTAATTTTGATAATAAAATTTAAAAATTTTAAATATGATAATTTCTCCTATTGAGGTTTTTTTTTTTTTTTTTTTTGGTTTTAAACTCGAACCAGAAAAGATACTTCCATTAATAGTTTCATTAACTTCATTAAACAAACAGGTATTGGAGATAGAATTATTTAAGAACCAAAAGGATATTATGTGCAATAACTAACGCCATATTCCGTAAAAAAAGAAACCGAAATGTTGTCCGAATCGAATGATCATAAAAGAATAACGTCTAAACAAGGTTAACTTATTCGTCATATCCATTAATAGTTTCATTAACTTCATTAAACAAACAGGTATTGGAGATAGAACTATTTAAGAACCAAAAAGATATTATGTGCAATAACTAACGCCATATTCCGTAAAAAAAGAAACCGAAATGTTGTCCGAATCGAATGATCATAAAAGAATAACGTCTAAACAAGGTTAACTTATTCGTCACATCCATTAATAGTTTCATTAACTTCATTAAACAAACAGGTATTGGAGATAGAACTATTTAAGAACCAAAAAGATATTATGTGCAATAACTAACGCCATATTCCGTAAAAAAAGAAACCGAAATGTTGTCCGAATCGAATGATCATAAAAGAATAACGTCTAAACAAGTTAAACTTATTCTTTATAGTCAGAACTCTTGTGTTGGAATTATAAAAAGACAATTAAATCAAAACGAACAAATTTTACTTTTAGAGGGGTGTCGTAATAGTTTTGTGTCGTCTAATAAATTTGAAAATGAAATAAAAAATAACGAAATCGTTATCAATCTTTTTTATTAAGTGTGATTGATCACCTATTAAAATTTATTTTTTTAATAAAATTTTAAAATTAATTAAAATTTATTAAAAAGATAATTTTATGATCTGAGAAACAGTTTGAATTTGAGAGTCGATTACACGTGGAGAATGATTAGCACCCTCACAATGCCCATTTAAAAACGGTACCACTTAACTACGTGTTATCCTTTAATTTTGATAAAAAATAATTTCATTTTCGGTGTTTGAAAAATAATTTTCTTAATTTTTTATTTATTAGAAATTAGTTTATTTTATTAAAAAAAACGGTTTATTATTCAAATTTTATTCGAGAAAAATAAATTAAAACATTTTTATTAAAATAATTCTTAAAATGTTTCAGTACATTGGTAACATTAGAAGAACTCTTTTTCACTTAGAGATTTCTTAGGCATCGCTTCTCGGAATACTTTCGAATCTCATCTTCGGAGGTTTAAATTTATTTTTCATAAAATTTATGCCATGCATGCAATACAAATGATAATGCGTTAATGCACACATTTTATTTTTTATTTAGAAGTTTTATTAATTTTAATTAATACTTATTATTATTTTCATTTTTTAAAAAAGAGAAATTTTTATTATATTGAATATTTTCTATAAATATTCTAATATACTGATAATATTTAAAAAATCTTCTCACTTAGGGATTTTTAGAGTATCTTTACTTTGAATACTTTTAGAATCCCATTATTGAATAAAAATTTTTTTTCTCATTTTTTATTACTTATTCTTAATTTATTAATTAATTTATTATTTTATAACAAAAAAATTTATTATATTGAAAATTTTTTATAAATACTCCAATACACTGGTAGTATTTAAAAAAAATTTTCTCACATAGAGATTTCGTAGGTATCACTTCTCGGAGTACCTTTGAATCTCATCATCGGATAAATTTTTTTTTTTTAGATTGTTTTATTAATTTTGTATTATTATTAAGTTTATTTTTTATTTTTAAAGTTTATTTTAAAAATTAACAAAATTATAAAAAAATTAACTACATATTTCATCATTTAATCTAACAAATATAAATATTTTAATATGCATAAATATTAATAAAATAATATATAAAAAAATAAAAAAGATTCAAAAGAAAAAAAAATTTCACCTGAATCGAACCGATCAACGGTCCAATCAATGCCAATCCGTTCAGTTCGACGACTCAGTTTCGGTCTAGTTGGCTCGACGGTTCAGTTGCAGTCTAATTGGTTCGACGGTCCAGGGTCAGTTCGACTTGATATGGGTCAGTTAAACTGTACCGGTCTGGGCCTAAGGGTGAATCGGGTTTGTCGCGTGGACCCCGGGTCTGGTTAATGGGTTGACGCGTGGATCTTGGGTGCTTAAAACGGTGTCGTTTTGATCTTTATTGAAACGACATTGTTTTGAGCTTTGGCAATTTCTATAAAAAGGCCCAAAATTTTTTTCGATCATTTTTTCCCTAAAAAAAAAAAAAAAACTCTTTTCCTCTCTTTTAGGCAGATTGGGGGTCGGTGGCCATCTGTCGTGACGACCACTATGCTCCTTACCGGTGACGAATTTCAATCATCGTGTCGATCATCGAAAAATCTCAAAACTCACCAAAACGTTCCCCTCAACCTGATTTTTCTAGATCTAAGCTTCTTTTGATTGGAAACAACCCTGATCGACGTAGATTAAGGCTCAAAGTTTCGGTGTTCTTCTTTTTTTTTTTTTGAAAACCTAAACTAACAATCTCTTTCTTTTGTTGCAGGACTGTTTTGGAGCTGAGGTTCCTCCTTACGGGGAGGACTATTTTTTTCTGTGTGTTCTTTTCTGTGTTGTTTTTTGTTTTTACAGAACACCCCTTCTTTGTTTTTGCAGGATCTCACTTTCTCTTCCTCATCTCCTCTTTGGGGTCAACCAGAAGCTCTATTTATAGAGCTCTGGCTATGGCCTTGTGCCCAGGCAGATGGCACAGGGCTTGGTAGAAAGGGGGTGCTGTGTATGGCACCCCAACACTAACCTCTCTGCCTCCTCTTGTTTCTTCTATTTTATCTGGCTTTGGCCCTATGCCCCTGGGTAGGTGGCACAGAGCCTAGTAAAGGGTGGTGCCAGTGGTGTCGTGCATGCCACCAGACACCCCCTGCTTTATTTTTTCTTTTCTTGTATTTTTCTGTTTATCTTTTGGTTCTTCTATTTTATTCTTCTTTTTTTGTATATTTTTTATTATTGTATTTAATAATATTATTATTATTATTATCTTATTAACAAATTTGATCAAGGTTGAACAAATTTGATGTCTACAGTTGTCCCTCTTTGCACATTGCTGAGAATCAAGAATAATGCAAAGATAAAGACATCAATTTTGTTTGTAAAAGTTTTTTTTTTTTTTTACTTAAACTAATAAGAAAGCTCTTTTCATCAAATTGAAATGCTTTTTTTACTTGAGGCTGAACAACTTTTAAAAATTTAGAATTTGAAAAAAATACTCCTCTCAACAGAGGGCTCAACTTTAAAAATTCTATCTTGAAAAAGTTTCTCTTAGCAGAAGCTCAATAACTTTTAAAAATTTTATCTTGAAAACAACTTTAAAAATTCTATCTTGAAAAAGTTATTCTCAGCAGAGGCTCAACAACTTTTAAAAATTTTATCTTGAAAAATGCTTCTCTTAGCAGATGCTCAACGACTTTAAAAATTATATCTTGAAAAAAGCTCATTTCAACAGATGCTCAACGATTTTAAAAATTATATCTTGAAAAAGGCTCATTTCAGCAGATGCTCAACGATTTTAAAAATTCTATCTTGAAAAAGCTCCTCATCCTAGCAAAGGCTCAACAACTTTAAAAATTTTATCTTGAAAAAGCTCCTCTAAGCAGAGGTTTAACAATTTTAAAAATTTTATCTTGAAAAGGCTCATCTCAGCAGAGGCTCAACAATTTTAAATTTTCATCT